TCAGGTGGGTGGATAAATCAGTATAGTGGACTCGAAGAACTCGAAGAAGAAGAAGAAGAAGAAGAAGAAGAAGAAGAAGGCGGCTGTACATAATAATAGTATGTATTCTATGTATGTATATATCTATGTATTATTACACAAATCCCATACCTTACCTTACCCTACATCCCCCATCCATCCCATCTTCTTTTTCTCTCTTCCATTTCACCATCATTCAACACGTGATGCGCGCAGAAATAGGGGTGCTTACATAATCCCCACAGCTCTCGGGTATGATTTCCTGATTTGCAAGATTTGATTTCCACACGTGTTATATTACATTCCCGTATTATACCTAAGGTACAGCAGGGGGGGCTTTCAATTCATTTCATTCATTCAAACTCGAAGCAAATCAAATCATTCGATTCGATTCGATTCCCAATTCGATTCATTTCATCTGGCCGCTTACTTTCCAACGAACACCACTCCGAAGAAAGAGAGAGAGAGGGAGAGAGAGGGAGAGGGAAAATGTCCACACACACAGCACCCAAACAACAACCACCTTCCCCCCTAATAACGCACTACCTACCACCCTCCAGCCCATTACACATCCTAACATTTATCCTCTGTCTTCTAACCTTCATCCTCTTCCTCCTCACTCCCCTCCTCCCCCTCCTTTCCCCCCCATCTCCCCTTTCCCCTCTGTCCACCCTCCTCACCCCCCTTCTCACCACCCTCCTCCCCATAATCCGTCTAATCCGCATTCCAGTCCTGATTATCCATGCTGGTGAAGCATGGTGGATGAGTCAGAGATTAGAAAAAGAGGGAGGGTTGAGGAGAGGAGAGAGTGTTTGGTGGATGTGGACCCTGAGTGCGTTTTTGGAGGGCTGGGGTGCGTTAGTAAGGGTTGATGGGTTGTTGAAGAGGGGGAATGGGGGGAAGATGGGGAAAGGGGGGGAGGGGAAGGGGAAGGGGAAGGGGATGTGGATGTGAAAAGAAAAAGGAAAAAGGGGGCGTTGCGAATAGGGGGGAGGAAAAGGGGGGGAAAGGGGAAAGATTTGGTTCGTGCCGTATGAGAGGGGTGGAGCTTAATGGATAGGGTGGAGAGAAAGAAGCTTGATATTTATGCATTGGAATGCGAAAAGAAAGAAGCTCTTAGAGAGAGGCAGGGGGCTTGCAGGACAGTAAGCTGGAATGGAGGTTTCGAAGCACGAAGCACGGAGCACAAGCACGGAGACGGACAAAGAGCGAGGAAAGGGAATAGGGAAGTGCAATTCATCAGTGGTATATACAAATTAACGTGTTAATGCAATGCGTACGTCGTCCCGCGCGTAGGAATCCAGAAGTCTTTGTCTCTCCGCCCAGCGAGTGTAATTCAATCAGCTCCGTTAAAACAGCTTATCCAGCCGGAGAACGCCCTGCGAATGCGAATCGTTCATTCGCTCCATTATCGGCCCTCCGTCCTTCCCTCCCGCCAGTGTCCCCCCCCTTTCATTCATCCCCCGCCCATTATTATATACCGTGTCAATTAAGAGTTTGGATGATTCCCCGTATCAAGCAAGTTCAGTCGTCCGATCCCACATACGCCCCGTCTTTAGGCGGCGGCACGGGTGGCATATCTCCATCTTTGCCCACAGGTTTTAAGTCAGCACTCGTTCTAATCCTCTGCCGTTCTACAATCACATATTCGGGCTCGGATGATTCACCTTCGCTGGTGCCCGGTGTGGGCGGTAGTGCTCCTGGCATCGGGGGTCCCGCCGTGTATGCCTCCTGGGTTCTCCGCGACGACTGTGGTCGTCCATCCCTTGTCTTTGGCCGATTGGCGGTCTGGGGACGGGAGGGCACCTTGGTGGACTCCGAGAGGGGCGAGGCTGGCTGTTCACGCTTTCCAGGCAATGGTTGGGCGAAGGTGTCGTTGAGAGGGGCTCGCGGTCGGGGGCTGGAGCGCCCAGAATGGTTGGGGGCGCCGTTGGCGGCGGCGGCTCTGAGGCGCTCTTCTGTCGCTTTCAGGCGGGCTTCGAGGGCTTCGAGTTCGGAGGTCTGAGAGGTGACTTTCATCTTCCTGCACAGGCATCAGTATCTGGTAGGGGGGCCGGCGGGAGGGGGCATCTACTTCTCGTAGATCACAGCATCGAGGTCTGCGACGGAGTTGTCGATTTTGAAGAGGTCATCCAAGGCGAGGGAGAAGGAGCGGGCCAATGTTCTACGCGCTGTTAGCTGAGACAGCATTGGACGTTGGGAGGAGTAAACATACGACTGCGGCCTGCCATTTGGCTTCCAGTCTCGGTCGAGCTCGTCGTCGGACATGTTGGGGGTTGTAGGACAATGCGTGTTGATGAGAGAGAGCAATAAGGGTATATAGGAGTAATGGGTGAAGGTATGTAGGAATCTGAAAGCCCGCGGCCGTCAAAGATGAAGTTCCCCTGTACAGAGGACACAGAGATGGACAGAGAGAAGCCTATGTTGCTCTGCGGATCTTGCCCGTCACAGCTAAATTGCCAATAAGGGGGGCCCAGCTAGTGTCGTACATTCGGGCTGGGATGTGTGGGAGCATCCGCTGCGCAGCTCGGTCTTTTGATTGCGGCACAATGGGGGCAGCTTGGGGATAATCAGAGCAAAGAAGAAGAGGGTATCATTCAGGACATTTGGTTTTCTTGAGGTCAAGGAGATAAGAAGAGGCTATGCGAGCGCATTGAGGTTGTTGATGGGGGAGCGGCTGCACTGCGACGCTGCTGCACAGCTGCTGCAATCCCCCATGCGCCGAGTCGACCTGGCGATGATCAGCGAACGGAATAAGAGATGACGGGCATGTTATGCCTGAGGAGTAAGGCAGAGAGAAGCATGGATGATAAGGTACCATTGGGCATCAGTTTCGACTCTCGAGGAATCAAAGATGTTAGCATGAGAGAGGCAAACAGACAAGAGACAAGAGACAAGAGGCAAAAAGACAAAAGACAAAGACAAAGACAGAGAGACAACAGACAAAGGACAAAGACAAAGAGACAAAGAGTAAAAGAAGTTGATAACCGTAATGTATTTCACAATTAGAGGCTTAAATCCATTATACAGGTAATACGGATGATATTGACAATATAACCAAATCTATGCCAGATTACGCCGTAATGTGGCGGTTTGAACCGTCCGGGTGTCTGCAGGTGCAGATGGTATGTCCGGGCAACCGTAATCAGGTAAACCAGCTGCGCGGAAGTCGGTCAATCTTGTATCCGTCCTTGGCGCGGTCCGAGATGTATTCCCGCTTATGTAAGCCCTTCTGACTAATACCTGACTCAGCGTCGGGTCCTTGCCTCAATTCTGCCGACCTCAATGATGACACGTGACCCTAACGATTGAATCTTTTGCTACAGTACAGGACGACTTTGGATGCCCTCATCGCGCAAGATCGAGTAAACCACGACCAGCCACCACATGAAGTCCATCATATCGCGATCCATTCGATTCAGACGCCCCAGCCCTTCCTCCATGTGAGGTTTCGCCGCCCGCGTCGCGATCTACAAGGACCCCTCCACCAAAAACACCGATCATCGTCGTGGCTCCCCTTCACCTTCTCCCCAGCCGTGGCAGTCCCCTCGATCGCTGGCGAGGAGGATACCGGGGCATGAATACCACGACAGCCTACACGCCACTCGAGTGCCTCCTTCTATTCCAATCGCTCGTCGCATACGGCACAGAAGAGAAATCGTTCGTGCGGATTTCCTCCCTCCTGACGAACAATTCATTGGTCAAGGATGGAGAGACCTACGATGCGGCCAGATTGAGTTCCGACGCGCTGCGGGAGTTGTATCTGCAGCTCCTGCGCGAAGAGTTGAAGAGTGAGGAGGATGGACCCGAGGATGGTGCCCAACCGCAATCGAAAAAGCGCAAGATTCAAAGCCCGGTACTGCCAACCATCAAGGATGCCCAGGAGCACAAGGAGAAGCTGCCAATGCTGGTCGAGAGACTGTACGCGCGATATAGGGATTATATGGTACGGGAAATTCGAGAGGACGAGAGGCAGTATGCACAGATTCAGAGGGATATTATGGAGATCGAGAGGGGAGAATGGGACGAGCGGATCTTGGAGGAAGAAAAGGCGCTGGTGAAGAAGAAAGGAAATGCTTCGCCGGAAATCTCTCGCCCAAAGATAAATGGCACAAGTCCTGTTGTTCCAGCTCAAGAGAAGCTGCCCGAAGCTGTACCTGCAACAGCACCGGCGACAGTACCAGCAAATGCACCGGCAATAGCACCAGCAAATACGCCAGCTGTTGCACCAGCAATCCAAGAGCCGACTGTTCCTAAGAAAGCTTCGCCCACTCCAGTTGTACCCTCTCAACCTGAGTCGAAACCGGATGGTTTGGCAATAAACCAAGTGCTAAATAGTCACGGGAAGCTTTCAGCTCCATCTTCGCCCAAGGCGGGTCAAACTGTCCCTAATGGCTCACGGAGCATCCCTCCTCCCAATCAGCAAAAAACGAGCACCAATGGACCACGTGGACCTTCTCCCCTTCAATCTACTCCCCAGCAACCTGGAATTGCCTACAAATGGGAACCGCCGTATCAAGCAGCACCACCTCACCAACCGCCGCCCTACCAAGCACCGTCTGGCTCTCCATATCAACCTCAATTCAATGGACCGCCATATCCTCAACAGTTTGTGCCTCCACCACGAGGAACATTTCCAAGTCCACAGGGACTACCTCCTCCCCATCCGCATTTACCCTCAACGCCTATGAATGCGCAACACCAACATGCCATTCTTTTACCACCGCCAAACGCTGTCAGGAGATCACCAGGGTCACCTGGGATGCCTCTGGATGCTTTGGCAGATCTTGCTGGTCAGCAATATCGTCCGCCGTCTGGGTCTCCCATGATGCAACAAGGTCCAATTCCTCCTGCAGGTTATGCTCCGCCTTATCCTCCACCGCCAAGGACTCCAGGGAATGGACCACCGCAATGGAATCAACCATACATCCCACCTTACCAGGGGCCACAACACCAGGGGCCACCACACCAGGGGCCACCACAACAGTATATTCCTCCGCCTCAAAATCAGAGACCCCCTTTCCCCCCTCAACAGGGTCTTATTCCCACGGAGAACAGACAATATAATTCTCCTTATAATGCAAACCAGGTTCCGCGACCGCCAGTATTGGCTTCTCAGAACAACCCTCCAAGACCGGTGCCCAGTCTTCCGAGCACGCCTCAGACAATGCCTCGATTCACGACTGGGAGCGGTACGCGGTGGACTCCAAATATCAGCGGGGCAACACCTAGACCATACACGCTGGCTCAGCCGCCCCCTGTTGAACCCATCAGCCCGATTCTTCGAGCGGCAAAGCCTCCTGCGGTTACGAAACCGGTCAAAAAGCCGCCTCAGAAGCCCGAAGTGCCAAAACCCAAGCCGACACCGAAGCAAGCACCTCAGCCTGCGCGGGCACGGAGCCGAGCAAGAAGTCGGGCGAGAAGTACGGCGTCTCCAGCCGTTACCGAGTCTCGCAGAAGCGTGTCTCTCATGTCACGTGCTGACGATGTCCAAGCCGACGAATTATCGATGGATAGTCACGTAAAGGAAGAAGTCGATACACCCCTCCCTCTGGGCACAGAAGAAGAAACGGGCGATACCACGGCCGACGAGGCATCTCTCCCACCCACCAAACCATTCCCCCGGCCTCACCAGCCCGTACAATCGCCCACACGCCTGAAACGCAAACGCAATGGCAGCATTGGCGAGTCTCCTCACGAGCCCACCGGACCACCAACACATGTTCTCTGGACGCGCAACTTCCCCAAGATCTCCACCAGCGCTATGGAGAGTATCTCGGGCCACCGCAACGCGTCCACCTTCGCTGCACCGGTCAAAGAACGTGACGCCCCTGGCTACACACACCTCATTCTCCGGCCGCAAGACCTGAAATCCATCAAGTCAGCCATCCTAGCTGGTCATCGCGCAGCGACGGAGAAAGAAAAGTCGATGGGCGACGGGGTCAAATCCGAGAGCTCGGTCTGGCTCCCGATATCCGAGGATCTGGTCCCACCCAAGGGGATCATCAACAGCTCGCAGCTAGAGAAGGAACTCATGCGCATGTTCGCCAACGCGATCATGTTCAACGCGGACCCGGACCGCGGCTTCGGCGGGCGGTTCGGCGGGGGCCGCAAGGGCAAGAAGGGCGGCGAGGGCTACGAGATCGACGAGGATAGCGTGGTGAAGGATACGCGGGCCATGTTCCTGGACATCGAGAAGATCATGGCGGGGCTGCGAAGCACGGAGAATTCGGGCGGCATGGGCGCCCCGGGGTTCGCGCGCGGGAGCAGTGTGGGACGGGCGGGGAGTCTGAGAGGGAGCAGTGTGGTTGCGACGGAGGCGGAGGCGGAAGACGACGAGGTTGATGAGCTGGCTGGGGATGGTGGGGAGGGCGTTGCGAGTGTGGCGAAGAGACGGAGGAAGGGTTGATGGCGTATGTTCTGGGGGGGACTGGCGGGATGGAAATAAAATGGGAATGAATGTATTAATATGAGTACATAGGCATGCATCTGTAATAACAGTATATTGGGATCGTGAAAGGCAACACTGGGTGAGTTTTCGATCTTGGGTTAGGTAGGTAAGGTAAGCTTGTTATGGAGACAGGAGGTGAAGATAGGTACGTATTATGATCAATCCTACGATGTGTATTTCTTGATTGATTGATTAATTATGATTAGAATAAACCCAAAACTTTTTCCCTTTCCCTTTTCCTTTTCATAAATCATCATCATCATCATTCATCCCCCTCCTCACACACTCCCCCCCTCCTCCCTCCTCAAACCCTCCTAACAATCCAACACCTCTTCCCATCCCACTTCAAATCCCAACCCACCTCCCCAAACACCCTCTTTCCCCCCATATCATCCAACCTGTCATACACATCTCCCCCAAGCACCACCATTTTCAAACTCCCCCGTCCCAAAATCACCGATCCTTGAATCCTAACCTGTTCTGCGACTTCTAGACTTGTTAGGTCTAGGATTTTGATCCCTTTGATGACTGGGGAGGGAGGGGGAGAGAGGGATCGGATTCGGCGTTTTAATTTGCAGCTTAGAATCGCGTTGCGGAGGGTTTTTAGGGTGGGGTTTTCTTCTTGTTTTCCTCCTTCTCCTTCTCCTTCTCCTGCTCCCCCGGATCCAGATGGACTGAAATAATCCGAAGAAACAGGTAATTTATCAACACCTTCCAAATCCTTCGCATCCCAAAACAAACCCTCGATATCATCCATCGAGAGTCCGCGTCCAAGCCTCACGATCTGAAGCTCTTGATCTGCGAGCTTTTTGATTTGTGAGAGATGTGAGGTTTCCATGTTATGCCCTGAGAGGTCGAGAATCCGGAGGGGTGAGAGGGTGAGGGTGCTTAGGAGTGGTGTTAGATGGGAGGAGGAGGAGGATGAGGAGGTGGTGGTGGAGGGGGAGAGATGATGGGCGAGTTCGAGAGATGAGAGAGTATGTGTGAATGCTGGATGCGTGCGTAGAACTTTAAACAACTCCTCCTCCTCCTCCTCAAGCCCCGCGCACCGATTCAAATTCAAATGCGTAACCCTCGCACATCTAGGAATCTTCTTCAGCGCAGCGCAACTCATCTGCGTCTCCTCAACATTCAAAACCTGTAGATCCGAAAGATGCGGAGTCAGAAGCTCGAAGATCGAAGATGGGAGGGTGGTGCAATGGGATAGGTTGAGGAGGGTGATTGATGGGATGATTTTTTTGTTTGAGGAGGGGGTTTCGGTTTCGGTTTCGGTTTGATCTTCTAGGAGATGTGTAAGAGCGGAGGTGAGGTTCGGCGTAATGCAATTTTCCAAAGACAGCGTCTTCAAATACGTCAGCGCCGTGAATAATTTCTCGAACAGCCTCGTAGGTAAAAGATTCGATATCTTGGGAGAGATGAGAAGATGTTGAAGCAAAGGCGTGCGATCGATACAAGCTTCCAGATCACTCGCGAGACCTCCTGCCTCCTCCTCTTCCGTCGTATGATGATGATGATGCGAAAGAGGAAGAGGAAGAGCCACATCGTCTATAGATGATAGATCAAGAGAGCGCAAAAAGCGCCCTCGAGTTGGAAACCGCTCAAGCTGGAAACGTAAACTCGTCAGGTTTGGAGCGAGTGATATGGATACTTTGCGGTACATGATTCGGAGTGCTGTGGTGTATATGGTGCGGGATGTGAGAAGACAGGGAAGAAGACCTGCTTTTTCTCCTCTTCCTCCTGCTTTTTTGGAATTTTGATTTTTTTCTTCTTCTTCTACATCTTTTGTAGAGTTAGAAATGTTTGAATGTTTGGTGATTGGGAATGGGAAAGGGAGAGTGATATCTACCTACCTTGAAGAGACCGAGCCACACAATCCAGCGGCACACAATCCGCATTCAAACTCGCCGCGAACAATATCTTTTGCAACAGCTCAACGGGCAATAATTCAAGCCCTGAGTTCCCAGGGGTGTATTTCTCCTCCTCCAATGCCATGATATATATATATACCTATAAACCTTAGGGAGATAAGGTAGGTAGACAGACAATTCAATTCAACACGGTACCGCAGCAATTGCTTAGCGAAGTGTGGAATAGGGGGGAATCGATATCAAAAAAGGGGTTTTTGTTTGTTTGTCTTAAGAGAAAGAAAGACGACTTCTTCAAACATATAAAACAAAAGCCCCAGGAAACATAAGGTATAGAATCTCCAAACCCAAACCCAGAGCACCTAGGTAAGGTATATATATATATATATCATATCCCAATAATAAACAATAAATAAATAAATAAATATATCCCTCAAGGTATCCCGTCCTTTCCCCTCAATCCACTCGCTCGCACGCAAGACCCCCCATCCCCCCATGCCATCCAATCCTCTCGCCCCCGTGATCAAAACCGCCAACAACATAAAGTTCAAACACACCAATAAATCCTATTCCCCTTATAAATCGCACCGCAAAAATGACCCAAAATGACCCAAAATGACAAAATAGTCGCTCGCGCCCAGCTTTTCCCCAGAATTTCATTATTCATATATACCGCTGCTTCGTCATTTTACGTAATTTCCTCTCCTCGCCTCTCACGTGAAACCCCTCCTTACCTTACCTCACCTACCTACCTATATATAGAATATGTCTCGGCATAGGTAATGTAATGTCATATGGCGTGTGACTTGTGTGACTTTTTCTATGGTTTTCTTTTTTGGGGCTTTTTTTATATTTAGGTTTTTCTGTTTCTTGATTTGGACTGGTATGATGGGTTGGAAAGTGGAGAAATTATTGCATAGGTAGGTTAGGTAAGGTAAGTTAGAAGATTCGGGACGGGAAAGGGGCGAGTTCACGTGATTGTGCGTGATAGGGTGGCGAACGATGACAGCTCTGGACTTCTGCCGTGGAGAGTCCAGAAGAGGGCTGTTATGTGGAAGACAAAGGCAGTCTTTACTTTTTCTATAAACCGGGAGAGTGGATTGCTGGTTATGGCGTTGATTGCTTGATGTTGTACAGATTCAGGGGAGATAATCCTACGCCAATATGATATCTTTCTACATAGGGAACTAGCTGAAATATGCTACTACTTGAACATGGCAGACGTCTAATCCAATCACCCCCCTTCCTATCGACTCAAGATAGTCTTCAACACATGTAGTAGCTTCTCCTCCGGGTTCGTGATGATTCCCTGTGATCTCCACGCCACGAATCGATCAGGGCGGACTAACACGCAGCCATCCTCCGAGATCTCTCTCCTCCGCGCCCAATCGAAATACACATCCTCGTAATCCTGATTCCAGCCAATAGAGTAGGATCGGATCTCAACGTCGAGAGCCTTGGAGGCCGCAGCGGCAGCTTCCTTCCACTTGTCGCCGCCGATGCCGGTGATGAGGCAGAAAGCACCGTGGCCAGCAAGATCGATGGTCGAGAATTGCTTTCCGGGGATCTTGGTGTTGATCCAGGCGTGTGGTAGTCTGCTTCCAGGATATGTTGTGATCTCGTGCTCGAGGACAGGATCGGCGGGGAGAGGTGGTCGTGGATTTTCATCCTTGAGATAGATGGCGCTGGATTCGTAGCGTTGGTTCATCTCGACGCCAACGCCGTGGAACTCGTGAGCTGTGTCATTGACCGCTTTCTGAAGCCTGGCTCGTCTTGCAGCTCCCTTTTCTGATGCCTCTGATAGCTCTGCAAACTGCCTTTTCCGGACTTCCAATGAGGGGTCCATCATACCCAGAGCCTCCCACACAGGGGCGTGATCCCGAAGGCCCTGGTTCGCGCGAGTAATTATGGATTGTCCAACTGGCTGACGTTCAGGACTGAAAGACTCGAGGATCTTCGGGTCTGCTTTTCCTTTCATTACGTAGGCGATCTTCCACGCGAGATTGTAGGCGTCTTGGATGCAGGTGTTGGATCCGAGACCATTGAGAGGGGGGTGGCGGTGGACGGCATCGCCAAGGCAGAATCTATCGACTGTGAGCAGAAGTAAAAGGCGAGGGCTAAGACACCTACATGTTGCCCTCGGAGTAGTATTCAGCGACGATTTCGTTGATGAACCACTTGGAAATACCAAGGATCTCAACTGGTAGCGATTCATCACCCACAATCTTCTTTACACAATCAAGATATTCCTCGTGGGTCGGATTAAACTCTGTACCCGCTCCAGGTTTTGGGAAAAGGATGAACATCCATCTGTCTCTGTTAGTATAGGTGTCGTTGCGTTAGAGAAGACATACTCATTCCAAGGCTTGACCATCCTGACAATGCACGTGTTTGCAAAGTCAGGCGCCTCCTCGTCCGGTCTCATCACCCAGTGCAGGTTGCCCATTCTGTTCTCGACCACATGTTCCAGATCTACTTTGACCAAGACATTGATGGCGAGACCCTGGCCAGGCTTCCTGATCAATGGGATCTTCAGCTGTCTCAGCACCTGACTCCGCGCCCCATCGCAGCCGAAGAGGTATTTAGAGCGGATCTGGTAGAGCTGGTTGGAGATGTTATCCTGGACCGTGCTGAGGATGGTGCCCGCGGCTTCGTGCTCGAATGAGAGGAAGGTAGTGTTGAAACGAGTGGCAAAGCCATTGAGACTTGCATGGCGGACGAGGATGGGTTCCAGGACGGTCTGGGGGATATCGACATGGTTGCACGGGCTGGCCGCATCGTAGTCGCCCTGAACATGTCAGCGCACGTCTCCCACGATCGTTCCTCCGCTCCTCACCAGGCGCTGAGGGTCGTTGCCCCAGGAATAGGTGCGGGCAAACTCCTCGCCGACCATGGAGCGACACCAGCGGGTGTGCTTCATGCAGTCGCCCTTGACGGCGACCTTGATACACTCGTCCTCGAGCCCGATGTCACGCAGACACTCGAGGGCGGCCATGTTGGTGATGTGGGCTCGGGGGGTATCTGAGGTGGTGGGCGTGGATGCCAACATAATGCCCTTGAGGCCTGGCCGGTGTCAGTACATTGTCATTGTGTCTTGCGGGTGGTTGCATCTACCGTGCTGTGTGAGGAAACATGCCAGCGCTGCACCGGCAGGACCAGCGCCGATGATCAGAAGATCAGTCTCGACGACGGTGCCTGGGGAGGGCAGCGGGATGGTGGTTTGGGTCATGGTGGGAGAGGAGGGAGAGGAGGAGGTGAAGCTGAAGGAGGAGGAGGAGATGAGACTGGAGGTGAAGCTGGATGTGAAGCTGGCCCTGACCCTGGATATGAATGTGAATATGAAGTTGAAGCTGAAGATGAAGATGAAGCTGAAGATGAAGATGAAGTCCCCGACCCTGAATATGAATCCCCCCCGGAATCCCAACCCTCGTCGCCCGTCATGATATCGTCGCCCATTTCACGCGGATCCTCGAGGGAGAAAGTCTGACGATCCCCGCAGATTCCTTATCCCGGCGCACCAGCCGATGCCCCGCACGTCGGAGTTACCCCGCCAGTCCCTCCGCGACATCTTCAACTGACCGACGGCACGACTCTGGTCTGATGCCGGGGAGAATGCTTTTGCCTGTGGTGTTGTGTTGTGTTTTTGAGCCTTTTGCCTTGGCTTTTGCCCTGAATCGATTATGATCTGATCATTTCGGATCTGCTTTGGTTTGTCTCTCTTTTCTTTTCCCTCTCTCCTTTTCTCCTTTCTCCTCCCCATTACCCCACGAACCGACTGCCGAGGGCTGATATCCATATCCCAGTCTCCTGTCTCCTGTCTCTTGTCTTCATGCTTCAAGACACCCTCCAATCCAGCCTCAATTCTTAATATCTAGTTGCACTTTGCATTCTGCACTTTGCATTTGCATTCTGCACCTCCCCTTTGCAGTTCTTCCTCTTCTACATCCATCATCCCCTTCCACCATGTCTCCCTCGGCCACCCGCCAGAAGATCAGTCTCAATCGCATCGCCCACGTCTACTACACTCACAAGGACCTCGACAAGGCCCACCAGTTTCTCCTGGATTTTGGCTTGAGTGTCGTCCAGAAGACCGACGACAAGATCTACTATCGCGGCTATGGCACTGAGCCCTTCCTCTACTGTGCGACCCGCGGCGACGAAGACAAGTTTGGCGGCACAGCATGGGTAGTTGATTCCCTCGAAGACCTCGAGCTGGCCACGTCCCTCCCCGGCGCAACGCCCATCCACGACTCTGATGCGCCTGGCGGCGGCAAACGCGTTACCTTCTACGATCCTGTCGACAACTTCCCCTTCCACCTCGTCTACGGCCAGACGCCCGTCGAGATGACCGAGACCTTCCCCGAGCTGGCCTACAACTTCCCGACTGTCAAACACCGACCCGTGAACAAGACGCAGCGTTTCAAGCAGGGCCCGGCCCCCATCCACAAGCTGGGACATTTCGGCCTCTGCGTCACCAACTACAAGGCGGCCTTCGACTTCTACACCTCCAATTTCAACTTCAAGCCCAGCGATCTGGTCTATGACCCTGCCACGAATGAGGATATCACGACCTTCCTGCACCTGGACCGGGGCGCCGAGATGGTGGACCACCACAGCTTCTTCTTCTTCGAGGGGCCCAAGTTCCACGTGCACCACTCGAGCTTCGAGGTCTTTGATTTCGATATCCAGATGCTGGGCCACACCTGGCTGAACGAGAAGGGCTATGAGAACTGCTGGGGCGTAGGCCGACATATCATGGGCAGTCAGATTTTCGATTACTGGTGTGTCTTCTCCACAGACCATTCACCTTGTACGGTAGCTAACCAACCAGGTTCGATCCATCGCGCTTCATCTTGGAGCACTACGTCGACGGCGACTTGGTCAACGACGAGACTCCTACAAACCGAACCGCCGCCGGACCAGGAAACCTGCACGTATGGGGTGAGTCTATCATCTCCCATTCCCCATTCTCCATTGACTAACAATCCAGGTCCCGATCTGCCCCCAACATTCCTCCTCTGATCTCGCGTCGTGTCCGGTCAAGATCTCTATGTAGCGCAATTGTCTGCCCTTAGAAATCAATATATCATCAGCATCATTATATATACAGATATATAAAATCAAGATTTACGTATCAATAAATGAATGCTACTACCTACCTACACTCATGCTGAGCTATCTTGTATCTTAGCAATTTATCTCTTTTTACCATTATTTGTCTAGATCCCTTGGGCGTGTTATTTGTCTATTTACTTTATCAATGGAAGCGAAATAAGAGATCTTAGAGCTAGTAAATCAATATATCAATACATCAATGAATCAACTCCATGATTGACTCACATATCATATCATATCCTGGCATATTCACTTATTCATCCCTTTCTTTGTTCGTTCATTTATCCAAACAATAGGACAATAAGAAGCGCTCCCAAGGGAGACAATAGTAAAAGGGGGTCTACCGTCTAAGTGAATCAATCAATCAATCAATCAACAATTCCTGAATACTAAGCTGGAGTATTGATATTATTCTATTGACGCGTACAATCTACCTACTTACCTACCTATCTATCTCCTGATAATATTCTACAAACTGGGGACTACTTCGCACACACATACACGCATACATCAGAGACTCTCACATACACACGCATTCATAAGAGGGGAAAGAAAGAGAAGAAAAGAAAACTTCTTTCTTTCATTCAATCATTCACAGGAGCTAAGAACAAGAGATCAGATCAGAACAAGGGATCAGATCAGATCAGAACAAGAGATCATCAAATCAAACCTCACATACCCCTCACACACCCCCCATCAAACAAACAAACAAGAAGCAAACCAGTACGTCCAATCCCAATCCCAATCCCAATCCCAATCCCAATCCCAAGACATCTTACCTATCTAACAAGCTCTCAGAATCATGGCCCCCAAAAAGCAACCGCAACCGCCCCAGCAGCAGCACGACGAGCCAAGACTCTATTATAAGCCCGGTTTCATATGTCCCAAAAATCACGGGTTTATCGATATCATACCCGAATCTTCATCTCAATCTCAATCTGCAGCCCAAGAATCTCATAATCAAGGTGCTGCGTCAGAATTCGAGAAAAAAGGGCAAAAACGAGAGGCAAATAAACCCAAACCAAAACCCAAACTAATCACACGTATAAAAAACCCACATATACTGAGTGGATGGCATGGACGCGCAGCTCTTGAAAATGCGGCGCTGGGGGAGGTTCATAGGGTGTTATTGCTTGGGGGGGAAGATGGGGATGGGGATGGGGATGGGGATGTGGATGTGGATGTGGATGTGGGGGGTATGAGCGTGCAGGTTTTGAAATTCGTGAGTGAAGAAGGGGGGATGGGGAGGGGGATGGGGAGGAAAGAAGGTGGAGAATTGGTGGGGCTGGGAGATTGGGAAGTATTGATGTTGAGAGCGTTAAGGGGGGTTATTGATGGGAAATTAGGGATGGATGAAGGGGGAAAGGCAGAGAAAGGGGGGGAGAAAAACGAAAAAGAAGAAGAAGCGCAGAAGAAGAAGGGAAAGGGAAAGGGAAAGAAAGAGAAGAGACACAGAGAGAATGAGGATGAGGATGGGGATGCAGATGAGGATTCCTTGGACACACCATCGAAGAAGAGCAAGCAGATCAAGAGATGAAGGCTCGCTAGGAATGGAATGAAATGGAAAGAAAGAAAGAAAGGGGGAGGACTGATGAAGAGCCGCACGTGATGAGATACCTCAAGATACCTAACCTAACCTAACCTAACAAACCAAAAATTCCCCAGAATCCCCAGAATCCATCTCATCTCCATCTATCTTTCTGAGCCGCTGAGATAGATAGATACCTGGGGTACTTCAATCAAATCAAATCAAATCGAATCAATCCGAGATAAAAAATAATCACACCGAACCCTTGAGTCCGGATCTCAATTTTAATTACCCCGAGCAAGAGCGAAGACATGAAAATGAATGAGGCTGAAAGCAGGCAGAAGCCAAGTCAGTCAGTCTGTGAACTTACGTTGACAGGAGGAGAAAGTCATACGTTCATTCGGCTAAGCACTCGTCGTACAAAGCCGCAGCCGCAACCGCAAAGCCCTCCCTCAATCAAGATGGGTAAAGTCCGTCCGTACCTACTAAAATCCCATTGCCCCGGACGCAGCTCGGCCCGGGCTTTCTTTCTTTCTGTGTCGTTCGTTTCGTGTGGGGTAAACAAATAGCCCGAAGATCGTCCGAAGATGTAGCGAGTGCGGATTCGGGAATTCCCCCTAGGAGATTACGTAATACATCTAGGACTGCCTGTTACCTTACTTAAGGTACCTTAAGGTAAGGTACGGCACGCCTTACGGAGGATCTTGAAAGTCCGAGATGCGAGATGCGAGATCCGAGGTTCCTACCTAGGTACCTAAGGTAAGGTAAGGGGATCTCGACGAGCGCTTCACGTGATAGATAGCTCGAAATAGGGGCCGAGAATCCGCTCGCTTCCGTTGGGCCAAAAAGGGGTCGGCAAAATAGGGGGTTTGGCTTTTGGGCTTTTTGGGATGTGCGATAAGGTATTGAATTGATGTACTGCTTACCACCTTACCTTACCTTTATATAAAATACATTCAATAGTGATGTGATGCGTGGTGTAGATAGATAGATTCGTTGATTGTGAGCTTTATGACTCTGACTTGGTATATCGAAAAGATTGGTGGTCTTCTCATAATAGAAGGGGGATTGATTAGTCTGATGAATATGGCAATATCACCTAGAAGAGACGCATCAGCACTGTAGTCCTCTTGTAAGTAATCTGTGCCCTATAAGAATTGAGTAAGGAGGGTAGTTAAGAACTGTCTGTCGATTTCGAGTAGTTTCTGATTGATCTCTTGTCATATAATGCTAGTGCATCCCTAATTGTATATACCTAGGTAGCTATGCGGTTTTCTAATCACATTTGTGACTTGAATTCTCTTGTTAATTTGACTTTCGAGTCTTGTCCGCAAGGCCCTCAAAATCAATAGTTGTTAAATCATCAATCCTTGATCGTTTACAGACGGTACGAGAGGCCAATTATCATCTGTATTCGCCGCTTGAGAAGTTATTTGGTCATCGAGTCTTTTCTCCGCCGCGATACATGATATGAGTATCAAATTCAACCTTGTTCTCATGTGGGCTTCACTTATGGGAGATCCATTTGTAACATAATCGATGTCTTCTATACACTGTCATGGCATGTGACCTCGCTTGTATCATGTATATAGTAACATCTGATAGCTTCCATCAATCCGCAGACTAAACACAACGTTCAAGGGAATTGAACCTCAGAAACACGCACTATTTAGTGTCAATAAAATAGACCTAGAGAATTGCTATGAGTGTCAAAACTTACTCAATGGATCTGGTACATGATACAGATGATCTGGGTCAATTTGAAGGGGGAAAGTATAATCTCTACCCACACGATAGAGCGGGCAAGCCTGGAAACAAATGTGCCTCTTTGGGCGGGGGCGTTGGCTGGCTCTAGCACGGAATTGGCCTAACGGGCCACATGTCCAGGCGGCGGCGAAGCGCGCCGGTATGATGACGAATATCACTCCAGCTGCCATGATTGGGAGCGGGAGCGGGGGCTGGACATGGTTTGCAATCATGTGCAGAATGTCTATCAGACGCTGGGAGTGCTCTAACAAGAGGTCTATTCTGCCCAGTAGTTCCTCCATCGTCTTGTGATACCTCTTATCTCGAGCAAAGCTCTCGCTATTGATTTTGTTAGTAAAGTTGTTATATTAATCCTTATACTAATCGACTTACTGCCTTGCTTGTATTGAAATTTCCGCTTGTTGGCGGCCCTCACTATCGCTTTTGCTGGCTGATCGCCGTGCCATCGTCGGTAGACCCAGGGGATCGAACCCCGTAGCCAGAAGATCGCAATTAATTGTAAGGTGAGGTAGATGACGCCGAGAAGTTCAGCAAGAATTGCAATTGAAGAAGAAATGTATCGGATAATTATGTGCATTTTGCCACAAATAAAAAGAAAAGAGAAGAGAAGGAAACTCGCGAGGGAGGTAAGATAGTCACGCCTACGGCCCGTTAGTCAAATTATGGCCCAAATTTGCCCTGTTTGATCAACTTACGCAGAGAACAGCGAACACCTTCACTGCCGTAATGGCATTTATCACAACTGCGGCTCAGATTTTCCGGGACCGTAACACACACCATCCACGGACCAGAGCTGACTTGGCAATGGGTAGTGGCATCGTAGCCCAACCACTTCACCTTGTACCAGGTTTGCCTGCCCTTACGGCCTGGCGCCCGACGCGTCTCGCAATCTAATATATCCTCGATGATATAACGCTCCTCGTCGTCAACATGTATCGGGCCGGGCTCCGGTTAGGGCCTGTTAAAAGGGTCTACTAGGGCTGGTTCCAAGTGTTCAAAAAGATCACCGGGTGCATCCTCAGCTAGTCAGGCAGGCGTAACTCAAGTGCCAGGGGTCTATAGGCAAAGACGATATCAAACAGACCTGCTTCTATGAACGACAGCTTAGTCTGGTTCTGAAGGTGATATCCCCTCTCACTCTTCTTACTTAACCGCAGGTAAGCTCGGTCCCCGAACTTTAGCGGTGAGTGGTCTTTGTCGTAATAGAGCTTCATTCTGGCTTGTGCCAGCTTGACCGCGTCTGCAGCTTCTGACCTGAGGTCCGCTCTGTGTTGCGCCCAGTCCCTCAGGTCCCCTCCCGGTGCAACCTGAACCGTTAACTTGGCCCACTATGTGGGATAATAATGTGGGCAACTTCGGCCTCCAGGTTGCTGGCTCTGGCCCGGGCGGGGGATGGGATGGCGCTGGCACTCTCGGGGGCGATCAAGTGTGCATAGTAGGTGATTTTATCGACCTCGTGCTCGAATACTTTGTAGGTGTCTTCTTCTGTCGAGGTATACGAGAGGTGGTTCTCGGCAGTCTTGTAAATATAGTGCCGGAAACGTCTTCGTCGTTTAGTCCTAATAGTTTTGTATAGCTCCTAGCATATCTTCTGCATAAGTTTAATGTAGGTACTATCGTAAAAGGTCGTGTTGACTGATTTAAAGTAACACCCATATCTAAGTGTCTGCTCTTTGGTCTTTTGGATATAGAGGAGACTCTCCGTCAAACGTTGTAGTGCTGGACCAAGTGTTTTCGGCGAACACTGTGTCACTAGTCATCCAAGTCTTGTTTGATGAGCGGAACTCGGGCAGGTCATGTTTAGACTCTGTTATTCGGTGTTAGTTAAGCTTGTCACATTATGAGGGGAGGGGAGGGGAGGGGAGGAAAGAGGAAGTGGAACTAGAAACTTACAAGTAACACATGAGTCTAAACCCTTTGTGACTTCATCAAGGCGAAATGGCCCAGGGCCTTCAAGCCCGGTTGTGCAAAGTGGCACTTGTGTAGAGACACGGATACCCTTCACTTGTATGGCTACAGTTGATGGGTACGTTTGGTCTATTCTTCTCAGGAGGAGAGGGAGAGTCTAGATACAATAGGGTTTGGTGTTTGTGGGTCACGTGTTGCGTGTCCCAACATAGCTGGACATATGGCAGAAGTTCTTCCCATGTGGACTGGTCGTATCTCCCCCCAAGAGCGCAGCGGAGGGCGTAGGTGAATATCTGATTGGTCCGCTCTGACTGTCCATTTGCCGCGGAGTGGTGCGATGCCGTGAAGGCAAGCTGGGTCCTTGCCAAGGCAAACTGTCTGCTTGGATGAGCGGAACTTGGGCAGGCCATATTCAGACTCTGTTATTTGTTGTTAGCCAAGCTTTTCATATTAGGATGGGAGGGCAGTTGGTCAAACCATCGGGGGAACCTCACGATCAATGACGTGATTTTTCTTTATGAGATCGTTGAGCGCTGTGGGTATGAAGCTGAGCAGAATTTTGTGCATGGTTCATGTTTCGAGGGAGGTTGATGCGCAAGATCAGAAGGGCTCGCTGTTTGTCCGGTAGTAGGAACGCGACAGAGCACCAAGCTTTTCCAGCATAGGACTGGAGGCTGCTTGGGAAGAGAGGAATGTTGCCGACTCCTGGACCGAGTGCTGGAGCAATCTGGTTCCGCTGGCTCTTGCCTATCGAACCATCAAATGGGCGATTGGCACAAGCGGGTATGAAATTTGGATTCTCAATATGTGCTGCAGTCCTATGGTAGACATATATGCCTCCCGGCTGAGATAAAGTCCAGGTCGAGGATTGATGACACATGTTCTCTAGGTTTCGAGTAGCCAGTTGGAACAACCGTCCCCAGAATCGGGATAGGAATTTGGAATCCCTATCCGAGATGATTCGGTCTGGGAAACCCTAGTCTCCATAGACTTGGGCAAAGTATGCGTCCGCCCAGTCCTCCGCAGTCCACGTCTCCTTTCCAGGGATTGACGATAGCCGATTCCAGGCTTCGAAGATATTTGGGCCTACTAGAACCCTGATACTTGAAGTGTGCCTTCCAAGTTTGGACTGATTCCGTGGTAAATCTGACGCCTGTCACAGCCCCAAAGGTTCTCTGTTCCTTGAGAAGGTCATGGTCACCTTGTTGGTCGTCCTCCAGGTCAAGCAAGGTCTTTGATGTTGAGGAGTGGCCGAAGGTAAACTGGGTTCTCTCCGGCTCCCCGACCGAGGATAGAGCTAGAGGCTCCCATGCTCGTTGTTCGTATTAGTGAAGAAGGAATGAAAAGGTGGTTTGAGGAATTGAAACTGATGGTGGTTCTTGGAGAGTGAGGTTTCAAGAGGTGGGTGGAGGATCGAAGATCGGGGAGGTTGCCTTATAGTTGTTTTTCGACTAAGCGAGCTTCGCGTTTGATGTAAATGTGGTTACAAAAGCGAAAGATAGGGAAAGTAAAGATTCTAGAGACCGAGTGTTGTAAAGTATACCTTGTGAGTCTACTGTAGAGTATCTTACCTTATTGTAAGTCAAGTAGCTACTAGCTCTTGCGAGTCTACTGTAGAAAATGATGCACAACCAAAAGTCTGTCTGCCTGCCTCTGGTGAGTCGAGCACATTCGAACTCGCGCACAACCTTCAGAACCTCAGTGCATAGATAGGATAGATCAAGGTTCCCAACTGGTTTTGTCGTAGCCGTGCCATTTGACTTTATATCAGACTTCGCGGCGTGCTGTTTCCCCGTTCAGGTTCTGCAGCGATGTCGACAGGGAAGATTTGGGTAAAGTGCATCCGATGTTGGACAGCTATCTTATTACTAAGCGGTCTCGATTTAAGGTAGCTGCTAGCTGGACCCGCCACTATACTGGATACGGAAACCCCCATATTCAGGGACGGATTCCGGGGGTGTGCATCTATTATTATCTGGCTGTCCCGCCGGAAAAGAGTTGTTCCGTAGCTCCCGGCGGGGATCCAAATCTGGCCTCAGGAAGAAACAGCTTCTTCCAACTTCTCTCCTCTCGCCTCTCTCTCCTTCTCATTACTCTGTTCTCTCTCTCCTTTCCAACCTTTCCATCTCTTCTCTCGACTGCGAACAATGGATCAGGATTACGGAGGATATGTCCTGCTACGCCCTGCGCGTTCCCGTCCCTCGATCCTTGCGGCGACCCGTCAATCATGCCTACAATGGGTGTAGGCGGCGAGCACACCTTCCCGCATTCCCATGACGCTACGACTCCAGGATGCACCAAGGATAAAGTCCCTGTCGTCCCCCCCACATATCACTTGGAGTCCTGCCTATCATTCCCCAGACTCTATCGCCCGGAGGAGTGAGTATCATCAACTTCATCTGTCGAGACTTGATCAACTCCTTCTCTTATCTTCTCTTCTCTCTTCTCTCTTCTCTCTCCTCTCCTCTCTTCTTTTCCTCCCTCACCTTCAGATGCTCTTCCATCTCCACATGGTCATCAATCCCCCCCAGTCCTCCTCCTTCGTCCACAAGATCAAATGGCGAGCTCAGATCTCCCCCCTCGTTCGCCAATCGTGACCGTGGAACACCATGTCGGCCCCGTCTCCAAATCATCTCTCCCCATCGTCCCCCCCGACGCCGAGTCCAAAGACCCCTCCTCATCGATAGGCGGCGAGTTGGCAGAACCCGCCGCCCTCCCCCAAGGGACCATCGACCCTATCTACGAGGCAAAAGCGCGGATCCTGAACCATGCTGTACGTACCAAGTATTGTATTGCGCGCTTCTTGCGATGCCCACGTGAGACCTAACGTGTGACAACCAGATCCAGGAGATCGGGATGGGATGGTACCAGTGGCAGCTGTTCATCGTCGTCGGCTTTGGCTGGGCTAATGATAATCTCTGGCCCATTGTCACATCCCTCATCTGTGTGTTCTGCGCCCACGTGCAATCCTTCCCCCCGACCCCCCCCCCCCTTACTGACAAGAGATCCAGTCACGCCAATCGCGAATGAATTTCTTCCACATCGGCCTCCCCTTCTCACGCTCGCCCAGAATATTGGACTCCTTGCCGGCGCTGTGTTTTGGGGCTTTGGCTGTGATGTGTTTGGCCGCAGGTGGGCTTTCAATCTCACCCTCGGGGTGACAGCAGTCTGGGGCATGATTGCGGCCGGCGCTCCCAACTTTGCTGCCATCGGCTGCTTTGCTGCCCTGTGGAGCTTTGGCGTTGGCGGGAACCTCCCCGTCGACTCGGCCGTCTTCCTCGAGTTCCTCCCCGGCTCGCATCAGTACCTCCTGACCATCCTATCTGCCGACTGGGCAGTCGCTCAGGTCGTAGCCACGCTGGTTGCCTGGCCCCTTCTCGGAAACCTGACATGTCAAGAGAATACCACGTGCACCAAATCGGAGAACATGGGCTGGCGGTATTTTGTCATTGTGATGGGTGGCATTTCGTTGATCGAGTTTGGGATTCGTTTTGCATGCTTTACGGTCTTCGAGTCTCCCAAGTATCTGATGGGTAAGGGTCAGGACGCAGAGGCTGTCAGAATTGTACACGAGGTGGCGAGGAGGAACGGCAAAACTTCAAATTGTGCGCTCGAAAACTCCCTCTACCGCACCCCACCGCTGACTAGGAGTAGTGACGCTTGAAGATTTACAAGCATGCGATCCGGAGGGAACGGGCACGCAGACGGATGCCGCAGCCGCTTTGAAGCGCAAACTGGAGAAGTTCAATCTCTCGCACGTGCGGGCACTCTTTGCGACCCCGAAGCTGGCGTTTAGCACAGGCCTGATCATGTTGGTCTGGGCATTGATAGGTAAGCTGAAAATCGAGTCATTCGGATTGGATGTGGTGGTTGACTCAAGACTGACACTGGAATTTAGGTCTTGGATTCCCCCTGTACAATGCCTTCCTGCCATACATCCAAGCGACGCGCGGTGCGAAGTTCCATGACGGCTCTACATACATCACCTACCGCAACTCCCTGATCATCGCCGTGCTCGGGGTCCCAGGGGCCCTGATCGGCGGCCTGCTCGTCGAGATCCCGCAATTCGGGAGAAAGGGTGCGCTCGCCATGTCCACGATCCTCACGGGTGTGTTCCTGTACGCATCCACGACGGCTACGACATCCAACGCCCTACTAGGCTGGAACTGCGCGTACAATTTTTGTTCGAATATAATGTATGCAGTGCTCTATGCTTACACCCCAGAGGTCTTCCCGACCAAGGACCGCGGGACGGGCAACGCACTGGCGGCGACAGCGAATCGCATCTTTGGCATTGTGGCGGTGAGTACTGCAACTGTGTGCGGTTTTTCTTCTGGATGCGTACGTACTGACTCGTCTAATCGTAGCCTATCATCGCCATGTTCGCAAACCTGCAGACCTCGGCGCCAGTGTACACGAGCGGCGCTCTCTTCATCGCCGCGGGGCTCTTTGTCATTGTGCTTCCCTTCGAGCCGCAGGGGAAAGCCAGTCTCTAATACCAACAATATATCGTGATTTTCGAAACCGCCAAGGCGTGAATGAATTAATGAACGAGACATGTATATTATCTTTTTACCTTCTATTCTATCTATCTAGCAATATATATCTAGCAATGCTCTATTTACAAACAACACTTTTTGCCCCCTACTAATCCCATCCATCTTCCCATCTCTAAACCCCTCACGTGATAACCTTCACCCTGAACCCGACCTTCGACGTCCGCGCCGCGAACAAGATCAGCGTGCCAATAGCGACCGCTGCACCCGTAAAGCCAATGGCAGCATCAAAGCCATACTTCCGAACCAGCGTCCCCGCCACGGGCGTCCCGATCAAGATACCCAACCCGCAAATCGCAAAACACATACCGATACGAGTCCCGATGACCGACGGGTTCGGACTCAGCGTAACGACGACAGTAGGCGGGATAGACACGAAACAACCGGAAAAGAAACCATACAGCACACAAAACACAATCAAACCAGCAGAACTCTCAATACCCAACCAACCAAACGCCAATACGCACGCGGCCAGCGTCCCCGGCAAGAGGATATTCAACGGGCCCACCCGATCCGCGACAAAATTCGGGATGATTCGACCGAACACACTCGCTCCGTTCATGACAGCGAGCATATAAAACGCGAGATCAGGCCTCATAACGTTCGTCTCGATAGCGAAACTCTGGACGTAGAAGAATGGGATGTAGAGACCCATGAACCCGAAGAACATGCCGCTGGTGAAGAGCACGAAGGGAGGTTCGTGGAGCGCGCCGATGTCGAGGAGTTTCCGCGCCGGACCGGGGGGAAGGCGGGTGCGCATCCCGAGGAGGGATATGGAGAGTGTGGCGAGCATTATGAAGCCGAGGATTCGGGTCGCCCAGCCGAAACCGATGGTGGGTTGTAAACGGTGGAAGACAATGGGGTAGATTACTCCGCCTGTGGAGGTTGTTAGGGGTGGGTTTGTTTGGTGAATAGGGGGGCGCCTTAAGGGGGAAGAGAGAGGAAAAGGGGGGGAATGAGAGAAAATCGGACTCAGAAAAGAAGCGCAACATAACATAACATACCCAAACTACTCCCCGACGCCGCCAACCCCGTCGCAAACGCCTTCTTCCTCGAAAAATACGTCGCGATAATCGCCACACTCGGCACGAACAAACAGCCACAGCCAACACCCACACACACAGCCTGCGCGAGCATGACCTCCCAATACCGAGTACAGATACTGGTCATCATCATACCAAACACGACGAGGAACGAGCCCGCAAACAGCAGGTGCCGGAAATACCCAGCGTCGAAGAGCGGACCCGTAGCGACACCGACGAGGAGGAGGAGATAGGCTTGGATGGACCCGATCCAGGAGATGTCTGACGGCGACTCGGGGAGCGCGGTCGCGTAGTAGGTTTGGTAGACGCCGAAGGTGTTTACGATGCCCCTGTGGTGGTCGGTGTGTTAGCTGACTGATTGCTTAATTGCTTGGTGGATAAGGGGTATGTATAATGTGATATAGGAAAGGTAGGTAGGTATTAAGGGGGTGGTGTCATGTGATGTACACGTGATATCGATTGAAGGAAAGGGTAAGCAAACCAAGAATTCAGGAACAGGAAGAAGGATCCGAGGACTTGGAGCCAGGCCCTCACGCCGCCATCTGGGATAGGGTCGATGATGGGAGGAGGCTGGGGCGCGGGGGGAGCTGAGATGGAGGAGCTCTCAGCTGAGGCAGAGGCGGAGCCGACATCGAGAGTCTTCTCTTCGTCCGCCATTATCGCGGTGCTGCTGGTTTGGTGTTGTGAAGGTTGCGCTTTTGAATTTCCAAATTAATTGTTAGTTTTTTTTCTTTTTCTAGTTTTCTCTTCTCGTCGTTTTTTATGCTGGGTGCTTTTGTCTTCTGCCCCACAACCTTTGAAAGAGGGAGGATGGGGGACGGGACGGGATAGGTAGGGCAGGCAGAGAAGAGGCGCAACGACGGCGAAGTGTAAAGAAAGATAGATAGATAGATGAAGATGCTATTCATCAATCAGCCCTCGTCCTCGCCTCATTCACTTCATTCACCGTCCTCTCGCACAATCCTCAGCCCTCCCATGGCATCGCATCAGCATCAGCCGTAAAAAAAGAGCAGCAGGAGGCAGCCAAGACCAGCTTGGTAATAAAAGGGTCTCCCTCCCACTCCTCGAATCGCGGCGTCGTCGGCTCATCGGCACCTTAGCTCGCGAGAATCCCATGTCTGCGCGGGCGAATCAAAGAGTGTGTGCGTAAGAATTAGATGTGCAGAAGTTTTGGACATGGATGGGAGATATCATCTTTGATCTTCTCGTGTTGATTGTTGGTTGGAAGCCGGGGGTGGGGGAAAGGATGCCAAGCGGCGCGGAGAATGTTCCACTTTCTGTTCTAGATGGGCCCCGCTATACCCCGTATAGTAGATCTGCCGAAAGGTGGGGGGGATTTCCGCTGATGATTGATGGTGGTGGAATCCCGCTCCTGTTCTCCGTCTGTTCTTTTTCCACTCCGCTCCTCCTCCTCCTTCTATCGTCTCTTCATCATTAGAGGTATATTCATTGTCCTTTGAACTTCAAGACAAGGGCTGAAAGGTGTTAGTTTTGCCTGTGCCTTGACAAAACACCCCTCTTGCATGTTTCCTGCGCTTCGCTCTCGCGGCGTGTTTGGAATTTCCTTGAACTTCCCTGATCAATGCATCGGGACCTTTCTGAGGAGGAGGCTTATACTTAGCACCATCTTTCGCTGCATTTCGTGACTCAACAGCTCCTACGACCTCAAAACGAGCTGGTATCCAGCGAAGTTGCACATCAATACCAAGCTCCCTCAAGAAGTGCGCTGCCACTACACCTGCCTTGACCACTTTGCCTCCCAACGACGGAGTAAATCTCGACTCCCGCATTCTCAAAAGGGCATCTTTCGAACACGAATAAACCACTACCATAGAAGGCCTCTCTGTTGTTTCCAGCTTATAGCACTCATCCTTAGCGAACTGAAGCGCCATAGACACAGCCAAGATCTCTGCCACCTGAGCATTCGTCTCACGCATAATATGATATGCCCTTCTTACCCAGCGGTTAGGGTTTGGTTTACTTCTGCCCACGACTCCGAGGCCAGAAATCCGATCGTGGCCTGCTCCGAGTGTGCAGACATTTGCCCAGAAGATCATACGGGTGCCTCCTCCGTCCTTCAGCCGCGAGGTGTCGGTATATTCATGGCTTGCGTAGGTGCCAGCCGCCTCGGCATCGAAGTCGATGATCACACTGCCTTGGAAGCCCTTGCTCACAACTTCTGTCCCAAATCTCCTTTGTTTTTGTCGTTCAGTGAGCGGTGCTGGCTCTTTGGAGTGGGCCTCGGCCGCTGCCTCAGCTGCATCAGAAGTATGCAACCTTTCTGGAATCAAAGTGCATGTCTCCATAGCAAATTTCTGAAGATGATGCTCAAGGACTTTGTGGAGATGGAGATGGTTAGCTAGATGGAGAGATGAAGTTCAGTACGAAAATAACCGAGACCGTGAATATCGTAGACTTTCGCTTAACACAGGCCTTCCAGGTCGTTTTAGTTTCGCTTAATCCTCGACCTCGCTTAGTTGTGTCGACTTGAAGGGCGACGAAAGCAAAATGGGCCGCGGTACTTACCTTAAACATCAAATTTCCATAGTTTTACCTTATGCAAGAGTAAGTTTAACGTACATACCTAAAAAGCTTCTTAAAAGTTAGTCATAGACAATTACCTCAGACTTGTCACAGGCATGATTGAGTAACAGACCACGGTATAGTACAGCTAGTGCTATAAAGGTAGGGTATGTGATTCAATTCAATTGATTCTGCAAATACATAGATATAAATACTTTCAATATAAAAGAGAGAAATGATCCATCTGACCTATTCTCGGGGAATCATCGTCATCATCATTGTTCATTAGCTAGCCGCTTCAATTATCCGATGCGTAATGGTCATCTCACGCTTTCACACCATTCGGTTTCTTCACTTCACCATCCCAGTTGATTTTCATAGCTGGAAAAAGGAACACATGGGTTAGCCAGCATCCAAGGAAATGTAATGCAATATCCCCTTCCAAAAACCATCCACGAACCAAAATAGGGCAATTCAAAACAATGGATAAAGGGGGACTCACTAGTCGGGAATGGGAAGTAGCTTCCTCGGTCCTCACGCATATAAATGAAGAAGCCACCGGGTCTGGGGATCTTCTTGAGTTCGCCCTGCGGGCCAGGGGCACGGCGCAGGTTATCGAGACGGCCGACCACTTTCCACATGGCGGTCACCGCGACCATGCTTGCGTCCTTGCCGAGACAAGCGTGGGTCCCGTCGCCGTAGTGGATGTAGGAACTGAGGGGCCGGTCGAGGCGGACTTCATTGGGGTAGGGGAAAATGAGGGGATCGCGGTTAGCGCTTACCTAGGGGGAGTTAGTGGGGGGATTGTGAAAAGGGGGGAGATGGAATTACGAAGGAGACGAAGACGGAATCGCCGGGGTTGACTTCGACGGTTCTGCCATCGTCGTTGATGACGTCGGCGCTGGTGGCGCCGCGGTATAGGCCAAAGGTCCCGGCGAGGCGGATACCCTCCATGGCGTAGCGGAGGAGGAGCTCATCTGCTTCTGGGGTGTTGAGCTTGGCGATGCGGTTGATCTCGGGGAGGTGGGCTTGGCCTTCTCCAAGGTAGTAATCCAGAGATTGGGCAAACTGTTACTTTAGTCAGAGACTCACAAGGCTCAGAGACATGATGGAACTCACAACTTGTGCTTGGTTTGCGACCATGGCTCCAGCTGTGGGAAGCATCTGGGACCAAGTTACTTCGTGGGGTGACAACCCTGACGCCAGAAGTTGGCGGATCATGTGAATTCCGTAATCCTTCAACGGGCCTTGTCTTTCGCTGAACTTATCAGTAATGCCTGACATGAATCCAGTAGCTTTGGCAAGTTTGACATTCGCCTCCACAATACCTCCTAACTTGGTAGCAGCAGCGTGGGCAGCCTGCTGCAGACCGAACGACTTGGTGGTATCGAGGTCGAAGAAGATGGCGATGAAGAATGCTGCCAGGACCATGTACAATTCATGTTCCTGATTTGGTAAGCTCGTGTCCTTTGTGTTTGCCATTGCAGGAATACAACTTACGGTAAATAAGCCATGCGGGTGGTCTGCAGTCTTCAGTGGGAGTGAAAATACATCTGCGGCAAAGTGGACATGTGTGAGATTGCCGACACTGCCACCCTATTAGTGTTACCCCCCAAACATTAGGGTGGTTACTTACTCGCGAACAATGTCTATCTGGTTCACACCGGCCAGGGTGTATGCCTTCTCGGATATCAATCTTTGAGTAATGTACTCGTAGAATTCTTTGACGTGAGCCTTCCACTGCTCCTTGTACAGGGACTTGCCCATGAGCTGTCTTTGCTTGGCATACAAAGCACCATCACCAGATAACATGAAGTTAGCGCCGAGCTTTCCAAAAACACGGACAAAGCCTTCACCCCAAGTCACTTTGTATTTGCTTGGGTTTTCAAGGACATATTTGGCTGCCGAGTACTGCGGTAGAGATTATTAGTGATTCATGTATAATACGAATGAGCAATTGAGAAGAATTGCAATCACGTACCGACGTTAAGTTCACTCGAGGTGCCATCCTGGCTGGCTTATCATAACTAAAGCAACGCTCCCTCTTCAGACTGATAAGAATATCCCTGGTCGCAGATGGAATCGTCATCGGGTAGTGCGCATAGATTGAATCGCCCTTGAAGTGTTGCGGGAAAGCCCTCGTGATAAGCTTGTAGAAAACGCATCCTTGGTTGATTGCAAGATCCGTCGCAACTTCGTTGTAGCCCCAGTTGGTCAGGTTGCGAGGGTTATAATCGATAGTATAGAATCTATCACCGCGCACGAGGCAGACGGCATCCGACAAGATGACTCTGGAAATCGTGTACGGCGGGCAGATACCAACACCTGGGTTCATTGGTGTCCTAATAAAAGATCCGATCAGTTTAATTGCTTCTTGAAAGCGTTGAAGCTTTTATAGGGGGTACCATAACTCACTTGGCATCTTCAGCAATCATTCCAGGGTAAAGTTCAACGAAATCAGGGTGTTCATAAAGATGGCGGAAGTGGTTTGCGACTTTGGGATCCGGGTTGATGTCTTCGAATGTCTCGTGGGGTTTGAGACCAAAGTGCTTCCGGAATTCGTTCAACCCAGCCACGTTCCATTTTCTACCCTGAATTATCCCCAGCATCTCAATCGGCTTCATGCACTGCGGGACATTGTTCGGTCCAAATGCACCGGCAAGATCTTCAATGCTCTCAGTCAAACATTGGACCAGCTCGTCATCGTCAAGTCGTCCATCCGCACCACGAGTAAAGTGAGCATACTGTCGTTTAATAGGATCCTCGGGGATTGATCTATGCCACTTCCCGAGCCCTATCATCATTTCCTGCACAGTAATTTCTGACGGGACCTTGCCAGGGAAGAGTTTGCGGTACAGATCTTGGGTCCACTTATCGTCGCGGTCACTAATGCAGGAGTGCCAGCGATAGAAGAGATTGAATTCGGCGGAGACTTGGTTACCAGTCCCGCGCTCAACTCCCTCTCTTACCCCCGCATCCTTGCCTATTATATGGTGTTAGAGCAATTGGCAATTTGAGGTCCTAAAGAAACCTACCCATTTCAGCTCGTGGATCAAGAGTCCATGTCGAGTTTGTCCTATTAAGGCCAATAATGGTGCGAACATAGTCTGTGAGGATGATATTGATATAGAGACCAGAAGTGATCAGACTGACAGAAATGGTTATCAAATGGAAACGGTCATGCAAGAATGAAGAACCTACCGAGCAGTCTGGAAAATATCATTATCATATTTCGCCCAGCTCTTCTCTTCCATCTCAGGAGTCAGTCCAGGGGGAGGCTTCGTGAATCTGCCATTTTCATTGATGACGGGCAGTTGATCGGCGACATAGTTATGGAATCGATTGAACATGATAAGGAAAGTTGCGATACCCGGGGGGAAGCCGAGGATTCTCTTATCGGCAAAACAATCGGGTTTGAGCTTTCCATCTTTAAAGGTTCGGATCCCGTTTTGCTCCTCTTGACTGCTGCCATAGAGCGGGGAGAGATCCAAATATGAAGAAGTGGTAGATACACTGGGGTTGGTGTGATCGGTCCGGAATATATCATGGATAATGATAGAGGCCAAGTACCAAAGCATGCTAGTGAGCTGTTAGAAGATAGTTTTCAAAACTGCTATACGAAGAGATGCATACGAGCTGACTCCATTTGGGTGAGGCCTATACTCGTATCTACTCAACACGCAGTCAAAGACCACGCCTGGATCGGGTAAAGCTCCGGGAATGACAGTCGATGGTCGAACAGATCGTGCGTAAGGCTGCCCAGCAGCACCAAGTTTGGGAAACATAATGTTGTTGTACGATCCATCTGGTTTTCTGTACATGTAGTCATCGCCCATGTACGACTGTGGTGGATGGTCTAGGGTGCTCCACAGCTCGCCGATGAAGCCGTTTGTGAGTTCGACTCGATTCTTGGATAGGGGAGGTAGACCGGCAACTGCCTGAATTAGACGTTCCATCAACATCGTACGGTCATCTACCAATGCTCCCGTAGCTCTGCCTTTTATGACGTCCAGAAGAGTCTTGTAGTCTATCAAAAACCATTCAGTTTTCTGTCGTACCTTTCAAAAGTTGTGAAAGTTGCAGATGGATAAACAAATTACCTTGGAGTCCCAAGGCCTTCAAATCTTCCTTGAGGCCAGTGAATTCCTTGTGTTCTGAGCACATGGTTAGAGCTGCCATCCCTAATACCTATATTTAGGAAGTGTACATACCATTGTATGTACCATCTCCCGTTTGGGTTGGCAAAGGACGTCTGGAGGCATGAAGTATCTGGGAAAATTCTCGAAACATGTCCTCCACGCCTTTGCGGTCCTCAGAATAATCCTTCACTTCATTTCCATTGCTATCCTTATTCTTGCTAAAGCCAAAAGTGCTTCTGCGACGAGCATGGGTGCCATTGCCATTCACATTGTTGCCGTTGGAGGTCGTAGAAGATGGACTGGTTGACAATTCACCATTCGTGCCATTGATGGCACCGTTGGTACCATTAGTGGTGCCATTTCTGGTACCATTGGAGCCGGAGTTAACTCCCGCTTCATCACTCTTTTCCCTTCTCAGGGTACTTGACAGTCGTTTAAGCATTGTGAACTCTTCATTCGAGGCGTCCTATACAAAGGTACGTGGGTTTGAGCGGGCACAGGCAGTGTTATATCCGACAAATTGTATTACCAATCTCCTATGGAAGAGTACTAGGCACTTGCAAGGTAGCATCTGAGAGGGGGGCCAATGTGGGCAGGAGATTATCGATCTAGGTATGACGTTGTTGTGAGACCTGGACAGAGTCGGGAGAGGACTCGGATTAGCTACACCTCGTCGTGATTGACTGGCTGATCAGAGAGAGTGAGGCCAACAGCTTGCCTGGCTTAACAAATCAAATAGCTCCAGCTCTGGGTGCGTAAACTGTGGCGTGCTCATCTCTGGCGGTGTACAATCTCCAAACCAATCAAGAATGCTATCATAGTGCCCGGCAATTGCGGATAGATGATGGAGGTTTACCTCGGGGAGTTTTCTATATCAGAGCCTCCCCTCCGTGGCCCTCGGCGAGACCGCGATCCTATGTTGATCATCAGTGGCAAATCGAGCCTAACTAGCCTAACTGTACCCTGGATAGATCTAGGGGAAAGCAATGATGGTAGTAGCGCGATGTGATTGTCTCTGATGGGACATGATAGACAGTGAGATCCTTCATGCAATGCGTATCACCGCGGCTCGAGACATTGAGGCCGTGCGAGACAAGACTTGTACTTTGAACGACACTAGGCACGCTGGAAAGAACAAGCCACATAATTTTGCTATAGAAAACATGGACACGATGGCCTCAGCGGTCGTACTTTGGTACGCAACTCAGTCCTGTCCCGCAAGCAAAAGCAGAGGGGATGGGCGCAACGCGGAGAGCAAAACAATCGAGCCAATAGTATGCTTTCAAGGTCGTCGAACGGTACTACCGCGGACTTAGCAGTGGCTGCCGTGTGGTGCATGCGAAGTGCGGGAAAGCAGAAGGTCATGTACAAAATGAAGAGCTCTTGCATACGGCAGCGCATCTAGTTGCATGCACATGGCAGTACTACCGAGTACAGATCACCAGCAAGACGAGTGCGAGGAAGAGGATCTGGTCCAGAGGGCCGGAGGGCCAGAGGAGGGGGTCCACCGAGCAGAAAGACTGGCCGCCCCTAGCAATTAGTCGCCAATCTTGGAGCGCTGAGAGGACAACATGAGAGCAAGATCTGCAGAGGCGCAAGTGCCACGAGTAGTATAGTTTCCTGTGGCTCGCTGAGGTGTTGTCAATATCAAATACTTGGCCATCAAGGATTTCAAGGTCAGTCCGTTTAAGGTTCGACAAAGCGGTTCGCTACCGGGGGCAGCACCCCTCCAATAAAGTTCCGTGCTTGGCTCCCCCCTATAGAGGTCACTGCATATGTAATTGCGCTGTATTCCACGGGCTCCACGGGCTGATCATGGCGATCATTCCCGACTATACGATCCTCGTCGGGGGGGGAGGCGGTGGTGGAACTGTTGGGGCTCTGGGAGGAATGTAGTCGGTACCTGAACGAGGGTATACCCGTGTGGCTTAAGCATATTAAAAACCCGAGTTTGACAACCATCAAAGTTCCTATACTTGCCTTAGGTATGTACGACATAGACATACTGCGGAGAAGTCATGACATACAAGGTCCAATCCATGCCGCTGTCAGTCCTTGTATTGTCGATTCTGCGCCCGATTGTAGCTTTGATGATCGGTTCTTGTATCCTCTTCTATGTTTGCAATATTTCATGCTGTGAATCGCCCTATTTCTCTCGTAAATCCTGTTGGGACGCGTGGCTGGGGTCTAGGTGGTTTTTTTTCTCTTGTTATGCCCCTCCCTTACCGCTCTCCTGCTGGCAAAACGGGGTTTTCAGTCCAGTTGTTAGCCGCTTTCTAGCATGTTTTAGAGAGGAACTTGAATGTATAGGTAGGTACCTTAGTGGGCATCGACTATAAAAGTTTTCCGGCCCTTGGAGTCTGGACTGACGTCTCGTCCCTTGGTCCCAGAAGGACAAAGTAGGGTAAGGTAAGGTACTTCTGACTTGGGGGGAGTACAGTACTAAAGGCCCGTACCTAATCTAACCCCATTCTGGTTGGTTCTGAACCACGTGTGTAACGTGCACGTGAGAAGCCCTAATCCACTTGATTCTTAAGATAATTCAATTCATCTGAATTGCTTTTCTTCTTCCTCTTCTCCTCTCAACCGTCTTCTCAATTAATTGTACGCCACCAGGCCTATGAACCATCCACCCGCCAGAAACCATTACCCCTCCACCTATCATGTTTGCGGTGCCCACACAGAACATTATTGAAAGCGCAGGAAATGCACAGGGGGTCCACGGTCCTCGGTCCACGGTCCACGGTCCAGGGCTCCACGGCTCCACGTACCGCCCTGGCGCCGGGACAGCCCAGACTACCAGCCCACTTGGTGCAAACGCTTGGCGACGGGCCGCAAGACTCGCTGTGCGTTAGGGCATAAGTCTTGTCGGTGATATACATGTACGGAGATGCTTCTCACATGTACTTCCTCAACATCCTTACATGCTTACATGACATTACAGCTACAGGACATTTCTCCCGATCAACATGACTCTTGATCTGCAGCCGCACCTGAACCACAACAAGATCGGCCTCTTGCATCTGGCTGACCTGAAATCCCCCCAGTCAGCGCGCCACTCGTGGGAAATCGATCTGCGTCGTCTGCATTCCCCCAATTCGGTGTGCCCCTCATTTATGGCGCTCTGCTTATTCGTTGCTGCTCTGGGATGCTCCCCAAGATAGGAAATCTAGGAAAACCTCGGGGAGCTACAGCCTAACGCCCCCCGGGAAAAAGGAGGCCAGCCTGGCCAGGCTGGTGGTACACCCGAATCGTCATGGCCAGTCGATGAACAGAAGCCCGCATGTGTGCCATCTAATGTCCGGGGCTCACTATCCAGTATCGGTCCTCGGATGGTCTCCTCTTCTGACCTCGACCAAGATGAGCAGGTCGACCTGTCTGCAGCTTGGAGATCCCCTTGGCCATGGAGTGTCACCTGGCGTCGCCGAAAAGGCGCTGCGCTGCCGTCCTGTGCTTTATTATCGCCGCATTGGCTGCAGTCGTAGACTGATATCTTGCTGGCTGAGCAAGGAAAGAGAGCTGCTCGAACTGTGTCGCCACTATTCACGATGGACGCCTCGCATCTCCTGCCCACGGCTGTTCAGCCGCATCCGCATAACCTTCGCGATACCTCGAATGAGATTGAGAGGGGCTCGATATCAGTACCTGGTCCTCACGTAGAGAGCAATGCTGATAGATCTCACGATGCTCACCATTCGACAGCGGGATGGGCTCCAACACGTTCCGTTGCCGGACCCAGGGTTATGAAGCGTCGGAAGACACTCGTGCTCTGTTTCGATGGCACCGGTAAGTCATGAATCTTCACTCTGACCAGCTCTCCTGACATGGTGAAGGCAATCAGTTCCATGGAGACTCGAGCGATAGCAATATCCTCAAGATCTTCCGCATGCTTGACCGATCCTCAGGGAGTGGCTTCCACTACTATCAGCCCGGAATTGGGACATATGTCGCTTCTGCAGGCCTCAGCGCCAAAGGATCCATTGAGAAGATAAAGAATTGGTATTTGAAAGCGAAGGATAGCGCTGTAGGAACATCCTTTGATGAACACGTCGTTGGAGGATACAAGTTCCTCATGCAATATTATTCTCCGGGAGATAACATCTACATGTTTGGTTTCTCACGAGGGAGCTACACCGCGCGGTTCCTAGCTGAGATGATCGACTGGGTTGGGTTGATCACCCATGGGAATGAAGAGATGATCCAATTTGCGTGGAGGACGTTCAGCAAGTGGAAGGCAATTGATAGCAACAGTTTAGAGGCCAAGCGGAAACAGAAGAAAGCATACCAGTTTCTGGTGTCCTTCCGAGAAACCTTCTCGAGGCCTGTGAGGAGAATCGTAAGACACCCTTCCCCTTCCTGCTTTGCGTGTGCTAAAAACTTCCCCCAAGAGGTTCCTAGGTCTGTTTCGTCCTAATCTTACATATCTTTCCCAGCCTTGCTGACCGCATCAGGCTTGTTCGACACGGTTAATAGCGTTCCTCGTTTTGAAAATGCCATGCTGAGTAGACAACGCATACCTGTAAGCCCGTTCCTCCGTATAAGAAGCCCAGGACTGAAGTTGCATCTAGTTCTCCGCCATCAGTTCCGCCAAGATCATCCGTCACGCCGTCAGCATCGACGAGCGCCGTGCCAAATTCCGCGCTGATCTAGTCTCTCACGGCCTCTCTGCTGCAAAGGAATCCAACAAGCCCGAGGAAGAGCAGCGCGAAGGCAACCCACACCCGAATCACGATTGGATCCATCGCAGCTCGCGGTACAAAATGTCCAGGACCATGCCTGCGAAACCTGAACGGAGGGAGGAGTTCCCTCCCGAGAACACAGACCATCACGAGTTCCGCGGCCGTCGCGAAGACAGACCTGCATCTCGATATCGCGGGCACTCGCGCGCACACAGCCACTCTACCTACGCCTCAGCGACCGATATCCGCAGCGCCCTAGGATCCAACGCTCGAGACGCAAGCGTTGACCCAGCGGGCGATGGGGCTTCTTCAATCGCCGCTCCCATGGACTGGGATGACAGCTGGTCGTCGGATGGCGACGAAGACGATCAAGATATCCAGGAACTCTGGTTTCCCGGCGGCCACGCGGATATCGGGGGCGGGTGGGACGTGCAGCCGGGCGAAGTCCCCCTGAGCCACCTGCCCCTCGTCTGGATCGTACGCGAAGCGCAAAAGAGCGGACTCGCCTTCGATGAAGATAAGATGGAGAGCCTAGACTGTCTCGACGACAGCAGCATCGATGCAGGCAACCTCCCGCTGATCGAAGTGTCGAACTCAGCCGGCGGCGACGAGCAGGTGCTAGCGGGCGCGGGCCTCGAGCTCGGGAACAAATCCAACTTCAAGCGCATCCTACTCGAAACAGCCACCAAGGGCAAATTACACGATTGTCTGCGTTTCCGCGAAGGTCTGCCTTGGGGCTCGGTCGTAAGGTGGCGCCTGATGGAATGGTTACCATTCCGCCGCTTAGACCTTACGGATGACGGGAAATGGAAACCCATCAGATGGTAAGTTCCCCCCTTTTATTAACCCCTTCCTCACTAATCAACCTACCACCACAGGCCCCTCCCCCGCGGCGAAGTCCGCGACATGCCCGCCGACGCCAAAATCCACAGCAGCGCCATCCGGCGCCTCGAAACAAATCCCGACTACCGCCCCGGAAACCTGATCCTTGGCGGTGGCGGCCGCGGGGTCAGGAAAGCGCCCAAGAGCGCGGGCATTGGGGAGTGGATATGGGTTGGGGAGGAGGGGGATCTGGTCGGTGGGTTTTATGTTAGGAAGCCGAAGCTTAGGGATGAGGCGAATGGTGGGATGGGGGAGAAAACGAATGGGATGGGGATAAGGGAGAATGGGAAATAAGCTTAATTGGGTATATAGGTGATGGGATAGGGGAGTAATTCACAACATCTAGTACATATCAATATCATGAAAACGTTTATTCATTTTATTTCTGTATTCTCCATCTCTTCATTCATTACCGTCTCTTCATCCATTACCCCCTATTATCTCTACACGAACCCCAACCCCTCCCTAAACCCCTCCCACTCCCCGGGACTCACGATCTCCACCTCTCCCCCTCCTATCCCACCCTTCCCCATCCCAATCTCCACCTTCGCGACCCTCTTCCCACCAGGTCCTCTCCCAATCCCCATCCCTCCCTTCCTCCCCTCCTCCAACCTCACACACCCCTTCGCCCTCCTCACCACATCCTCCTTCCACTGTCTCCAAACCTCAAACTGTTCCCTCTGTCTCGCGACATGGAATTGCGGACTCTGGTTCTTCGGGCGCCACTTCAACCTATCGGCCGGCAGCTCTCGCAGATCGAACAGCTTCGCTGCCGCCGAGCCCGGGAGCGCTAGGAGTTCATTCAGGACGTCGGCGCCTTCGGCGAGGAGGAGGGAGGAGGGCGTGCGGGGGGCCGGTTTGAGGAGCGGGACGGAGAGGAAGGAGACGTCTTCTGGGAAGGGGGAGGAGGGGAGCCGGAGCCGTTGGTTATCGGTACGCAGGTAGCGGACCGCCGAGTGGAGGGAGGAGATCTCGGAGCGGAGCGCTTCCATCTCGCGGGCCGTGGCGACGGCGCGTTCCTGGCCTGCTTTGGAGCCCGGGGCCACGGCGCCGAGGGCTTTGGTGTCTTCGGCGATCTTCTTCCATTTCTCGCGGTCTGCTTCCAAGGCCGCGAGTTCCTTGTTCTGCGTCTCGATCGACGACGTGAGCGAGGCTTCGAGCTTCTTGGCCTCGTCGATCCGCCGCTCCAGCTCGTTAATCTTCTCGTTCTTCTTGGTGGCGTCGCGCATGCGCGATTCCAGGAGCTCGATCTTCACGGATGCTTCTTCTAGTGTCTGATCGCGCATCGCGATGAGGCGCGCACGTTCATGGTTGTCATCTTTGAGTCGGCGGATCTCCTCCTCGGTGTCGATGGGCACCGTCTTCGAAGATTTCAGTTCTTGAGCTCGGAGAACCCATGGTGCTGGCGTTGGCTCAAACTCCTGCGTCTTCTCGAGATCGGCTGTCAAGGCTGCTAGGTCCATGACAGAGGTAGTCAGGGTACGGAGCTTGTTGGAGTACGTCGAGAAGAGGTCCGACTCGCTGGATGCGAACAGCGTGAACGCAGTCCGATGCACGGTGCTCTGAACTTCCAAGTACGTAAACGGCTCGGCCCGACCCTCTTCATGGAGCAGGGTAAACAGGGCGTCCCCGACACTCCGTGAGAAGCTGGCGAGCTCCTGCGTAGACGCTTCACACTCCTCAAAGTTCTGGAGGGTATCGGGTGTGAGCGACAAGGATCTCGTCTTGAGCTCTTCAAGTGCGCGGGCGGCTTTGCCAGTGATGACTTTGGCGCTGCGAGTATTCGCGATGACCGCATCGGTCTTCCGGGCGAAGTGTTGAGCAAGCTCATCCTCGTCATCTTCTTTTGGAACGATTGTTTGGACCATGGTCTTGATAGCAGCCAGGGCAGCAGCGGCATTCTCGAGATGACTCTGCATAACGATCGTGCGCATATGAATATCATCAGCATAGCTCGACAACCCAGTCGAGATGTGCACTTCGGCAAGATGTGACATGAGAGCGATGGTCCGCTGGAGTTCAGTGGCACACTGCTTCTCTTTGAGCTCGTCTCGCCGAAGACCATCGATCCAGCCATTGAGCGCTCTCTCGACCGGCTCGAGCTCGTACAGGGCACCCTCGTATTTGGCAAACTCTTCTGTCGAGCAGTGGCTGATGGCGTTCACGAAGCGGTTGCACATAGCGGAGACCCACGTGAGCTTATCCAGGACGTCGCAAGCCGCAAAGATATCGTCTTCATGGCCAGCGGGAGGGGCTCCGTTGACCCTCTCCTTCACGAACCCATGTACCAGATTCGCCTTGAAAGCAACACGTTGGAATCTGAGCAGTGCCAAAACAGAATCTCGATCGGTATGGAAGGCCTCGGGAAGGAATAACTGGACGATCGCCAGGTGTTCGGCGGCTTCCTGGGCATCGAGACGCCGTAATTCCAGATCAATTGTCTTGACTTGGGTCTTCGCAGCAGATACTTGAAGCTTCATGTTGAGGTCCATCATCGCTCGCGATCTGCTGTTCAGCTGCTCTGCTTCCGTCTCGGTGACGGCGTGGGATGCCCGCATATCTTCCAGATCGCTCTGGAGGTTCGTCACCAGCTCCCGGAACCGGGACAGCGTGTATTCCATATCCTCCATAGCTTCTTCCTGTTGGGCCGCTCGGCGTGCCTGTTCAGCGATGACGCTATCCTTGAAATCGATATCTTCCTGCATCTCCTTCTCCGTCTCGACGTGGTTAATCTCCAACTCATCATTCAGCTCTTTGAGACTCTCAAGGTCTTCGACCGCAGCCTTCAGCTCCTCGATCTGCTCGTTCAAACTCATGTTTCGCTCGGTCAGCTCCTCGATCATGTCCTCTGCGCCCAGCGCGTTATCGAGTTGCTGACGCAGATCTTCAATATTGGCTTCCGCCTGAGCCAACTTCTCCTTCGTAGTCTCGTACTGCTCCTTCACATCGCCCAGCTCACGGACATCGGTCTCCAGACTCTTGATCTCGTCTCTCAGTTCTGATTCAGTCTGCTGGGTCATGTCACGCAGTCGCAACAGGGCCTCCCTCAACCTCTCGTTATTCCTCTCCATCTGTAGCCATCCCTGACTCGTCTTCTCCTCAGGGCTCATCTCCCCGCCCAATTCCGCGTTCTCTTCCCGCAGGACCTCGACCTCAAGCTCCAGCTCCTCCGTCTTCTGTTTCAAGGCTTCCAGCTCCGTCTTGAGGACCTCGGCCGTCTCTTCAGCCATCTCTCTGTCGAGCGTCGCCATCTCCAGCGCCACATCATGCTCCGCTTGTATGTTCTCGATCTCCTCGAAGCGCGCCGCGGATTCCTTTAATTGCTTCCGCAGCTCCGTAATCTCTTGCTGCTGAGGCTGGTATTTCGCCTGTAGCTTCTGTATGATGCCCTCGAACTTATCCCTCTCCGCCTGGATCTTATCGAGCGCCTTCAACTTCTCTCGATCCTCCTGTCGTTTCTTGTCCATCATGCGCAGCTTCGTCTTCAGCTCCTCGATCTCGCGACTGGCCGCTGTGCTGACCCCCGAAGTGCGCGGCCCCAGAGAGCTCCTGGCTGAACTCGGCGACACATGTTGACGATCCGCAGCAGATATCCGCGACAATGCCGGACTCACGGCTTTTGGTGAGAGCGCGTCCTCCGCATCGCTCTTGTTAGGTGACGCCAGTGCATCCGAGTCTTCGTGCCCGGCGCTCCCCTCACTCGCCTGCCCACTGCTCAGCTGCCCACTAATCGACCCAATCCGTTCCCCGCGTGGACGAAACGTAGGTTTCGAGACGACTGGCGCCCGGCTGCTGGCGGCCCTACTCGTTGGAGCACCAGCCCTGTTTCCAGGCGCCAGCCCTCCAGAGATAGACGGTCTCGAAGTGCGTGTAGTCGGGGCGGGCGGCGGGGCCATCGACCCTCGAGCTGTTGTTCCCACCCCAGGCCGTGTCTTGGAAATTGTGCCCGACTGGTTTCTCGCAATCGACGTTGACGGGGTGCCAGTGCGGGGAGTCGAAGCGTTCGACGGCGCCGCAGACAGCTGTTTCGTAGGGGATTTCGTAGGAGATTGCTACCGTACGTAGAATAATTAGCACACATAGAAACCAAACCAAAAGCCCAAGGCCAATAGTAACATAAACACCACATAAACAAAACAGCCTCATCAGCATAAAAACAGAACATACCCGAATCAAGCTCGAAGGCCTTGATCTCGTCACCGGACTCGGACTCGCCGAATTCAAGCTCATCCTCTTCCCCGTCCCCACATCCGGCACCGTACTCATCCTCCTTCCCATACCCGCGCCCACGATACTCTTCGGCCTCGTCGCGGCGGTCACCGCTTGCTTCTTCACCACCTGCTTTGGGAGAACCGCAGGCGGGGGCGGCTGCTCCAGCACCGTGACCGCCGCGGGCCTCACGAACATGCCCCTCCCCATCTCGCACTCAAAATAGCGCTCTCCTTGGACACTCCCGTCATTCTTCCCGCTGTCGTCGTCCAGCTCGACCCCGACCCAGTCGCCGGCTGCGAAATGGGGCTGCCCGACGTACCGCACCGTCGCGGTGCGCCCGTCGGTGAGCTCGATGATTTGCCCGATCTGGAGATCCTCCATCATGCTGTTGATGAGGGGCCGTTCATCGGGTGGCCGCTGGTGCTGGTGCTTTTCGACGAGCCGTTGTTGGAGCTGTGGATTGGATTGCGATCGGATTGATGGGATTGTTGACGTCGGCGCGTTCTAATGGGAAAAGGGGGACGCGAGGCTTCAAAAATAATACGGTGACCGGGATTCGCTACGATTGTCGAAGTCTAGGGGTAGGTAGTATAAGTATGAGACCCCCCCTCTTTTTAATAGAATAATCAAAAACTGTATCTAAAGAAGTTACCCCTTCATTAAAATAAAATAAAGCAAAAAAAAAGAGAAGTGGAGCATAAAGATAATTGCTTCTAGCAACAAACAAACAGAGGAATAACCCCTTCTCTTTCGTCTAAAGGCTCTTTGAATTAAGAGATCGGTATATTAGGCATACCTCCGTAGGAATGGACGTTTTGTTATACAAGACTGTCGACAATTTTACTCTACTACATCTCTACGCCTACCATGATAAAGTCCCGGTTATGATATCTTTTATTCATCCATTCCGTATAGCAGTATCTATGAAACTCATATCTGTAGGTATTTCTTAGATACACAGATAAGCTCCGCTTCTAAAACACCAACTTCTAGTATTCTACTTTAATATCAAAATCTCGAATGGCTATCTTTCTTTCTTTTGTAGCTAGGATTGTCAGTTATACGTAAATTTCTAATTGCCTGATTGATAAATTATATATCATCGTTCCCTTACTGATACGCACGTCATCGATGTCCAAATCGTCGAATTTTATTTCGAATAAACCAACCCCCCCCCCCTTTTAACACCAAAAAAGACTCCTAGGATCTTTTGTCACACGTCGTAGCCCATCAAAGGCTTCCAATTTCTGGAATCCTGAGAGTAAATAATAAACAAAACCCCTCTGTCTGTTCTATTACATACTTACCTTAACGCCCTTTGAGACAAGGCTTGAGTATTGTCGTTTCTTGGCTACTTACCTACCTTACCTACCACCTAATGTATTTATGGTGACGGGGACAGCGCTTACCTACCTTACCTTGCCCTGTGACTGCGCGGAGGCTCGGTAGCAATAGGCAGTATAAACTTCCTATCCAATGCTCAACGAGGCTGACCACCCCATGTGCAACAAAACAACAGGAGCTGAGACGGGTTCACGTGATCTATCTGGTCAATGGCAACCTCTTCTTGTTCAACATCATATACTCATTCATTCCACCCCACCAGTGCCGCCAACAGGCTCGTCACTACTAAAACGCTATTGTTCATATATACAAAACCCCTACACGCAGCCTAGTCATTCAAAACACAGGTCTTCCGCATATACATACAGACCAGGTTTTCGCCGGATAATAAGGGGATATCACAGGGTTTGTAATGTAGCGCTATGTCAACTTCCTGTTTCTCAAGAGCAGGATAGACAGATACCCAGTGCACACTTTTTTGGTTTTTTGGGGGGGGGGGGGATGAAGAAGATGGTTGTACAGTTGGGGTAGTGGAGCCGGTAGGACGGTGGGGTTGATTAGGGACGCTTTAATCGAGCGCTTTTCGGAGATCCGTCCATTTCCTGTTAAGAGTCTCGTGAGCAGAATTGAGCTGTAGCAATCAGTCAGTAAAGGCCTGAAAAAACAATGGATAAATCATCACATACCTCAGCATATTGCATCTTTGTCTCCACCAAGTCCTTCTCCATGGCGCTCATCTCCTCTTCCAACCTTGTATTCTCCTCATGGACCTCCTGATTCCGCTTCATCAATCGCTCCATTTCGCTCTTCAGTCTTTCCTCTACCTCCCCTGGCTGTCTCTCGACCACCTTCCTTAATTCCTCAACTTGGCCGTTCAAAGATTCGTTTCGGTCTTGCAGCTCTTCATTCTCGACCTTCGTCCGCACAAGCTCGGTTGCAAGGGCTGCGTGTTCGGTATCGTGCTCCTCGACCCTCTCTTCAAGTCGACGGACCTTTTGTATGAGCGCTTGATTCGAGGACTTCAAATGTTCAAGCTCAGCCTCACGGTCCTTCTCTAACTTTGTCTTCTCCTCCCACTCGACTGCATACGCCTTCAAAAGTTCTGGGGTTAATTTGACGGCACACGCATCTTGGATCATTTGGTCCGCACGATAGATTTCTTTATCAATGCTTGAACCAGAACTGCCAAAGAATCCAGACTCCAGGATAGAGCCTTGGGACGGGGCTTGGTCGATATAGACATCGAAGAGACGATCTCTTAAGAAGTTGGTCAACGCCATCATGTCGTTCATACCCAGTAATGTTGCGGCGTTTTTCTGCATGAGCACAATACCGAATTTGATAATTGCCTCCAAACCTTCGCTAAGTATGAGATCGTAGATACGGAGAACAAGTTGGAGAGGAAATCGGTATGCAAAGAGGGTGAGGAACCACTGTGTGGCGTAGAGATGAGGTGTGATATGGCGGCGGTGGAGATGGCAATAGAGAGCTGGTTCGAGGTCTTCCAATAGTCGCTCAAATTGGTAGAGGTGCTTATGCAAACCTGGCATATCCTGGATGAACAAGTCCCGAAGGTGGTACTGATTCATTAGCCGCACGAGCAGGCAGAAAGCTTCCTCTTCGGGCATCTAGATACTGTCAGCCTGTAATGAAGAAATAAGGGATACGGAATGATCCTACGTTGAATAGCAGGGGCATAACTAGGAAGTTCATCCCTTGAGCGTATCCCACGCCTTCATCAAACAGCGCATATGCTTTGCACACCCCAAAGAGACCTTCCTGGAGACCGGCACTAGCAGCGAATTTCGAGAAGCTTGTCCGAGACCCTAGATCTCTCTTGATCATCTTCTCTAACTTTTGTAATGCGGCGGCATCCTCCTTTGCTTTCTTTTTCTTCTCAGCCATCTCAGCAGCTTTGGCTTTCATGACGGCCTCTATATCCTTCTCCTTGAGTGGTGAAGGCGATCTCGTGCCATTGGCAAGATTAACTGTAGGCGGAGAGTGATCTGAGTGTATTGACGAGGATGATGACCGAATCTCCTCCTTGGGAGAACTATGACTTTGGGTTATACTCGGTGGCCCACTCGATCCGCTCATTCTGTCCTTGTCTTTGTCGGTTCCTCGGACGACCAGATCTCTGTAGACACTTTCCAACTCATCATTCTTACTCTGAGCTAGGACTTGCCATACGACACCTCGTATGGCGCTTGGGATACCGGTGGATATGGCCCTGTTTAATTCATCTGCACTTGTTCGCGCGACAGCAGCTGGACCTTCATAGACAACGGATTGCCACAAATCCCAATCGACAGCCGAAGCCGGGTCATTTATCGCAGAAGGTCCTGCAAATGCTCCCGAAGCTGTGCCTGGAGATAATCCCATACTGACTGAAGGATTTGGACCCTGGGCGACTGATGATCTATGCGCTGTCGAAGACATTTCTTTCTCCTCTACCACGCTTGTGTGATTGGCGGGACCCGGACCAGCTGTCGTGCTTCCCTTCTTGTCATCCTCCCCCAAAGAAGTTATCCCTGCCTCTTCTCGCATCCGTAGGAGCTTGAACCTATCCTTCAGACTATTCCTTGCAGGCTGTTTACTTGATCCATCAGGCTCCCCCTCTAGTTTGCTTAGCATCAATTCCGGATTGCTGGAGATCGTAACAATCGACGAGGCCGTGTTTCTGCGTTCGGCATTGTCTGGTGAGGGTGCTGTGGGGTGTGCTGGAGTTTCCTTCGGAGTTTCCTTCGGAGCTGATGATGTGTTCCGCGAGAGCCATGAGAATGGACTCGTTATGCTTCTCTTGATGGGGGGTGGTGCAGACGAGACTGGCGGTGGTGGTGGCGGTGGAGGAGCTGCCCATGGTACTGAAGGAAGGGCACCTGATAGACCTTGTAATGAGGGCTTCGAAGATCTTGGGGGTAGGACGGGTTTTGGGACTTCTGAAGCTGCGAACCATGTTAGATTGTTTTAAATATTCAGGGTGGCACGCAGAGAAATCGGCAGTACATACGATTGGGTGTGCCTTCGTCCCCTGAGGCCCCATCTTCTTCCAGGTTGACGTTGTCGAGGGAGGTTGTGGAGAGCCGATGTGATGTAAGAAGGGGGGATTTTGGTTGCCTTATCTCGTGCTCATCGTCCCCATTTGTCTGTGGCTCAGTAACTTCAGAAACTGCTGAAGAATCAGGAGAATCGGGGACTATCTCTTGTACTGTGCTCTTGACTGAGGAGGATCGGTGTTTGGTCAGAGACCGTGTCGTCTCCACCGGTGTGTCTTTGACCGTTTCGACGGTTGTAGCAGGAGAGCCGATGGCATCCTCGAATGTGTCCTACCAGGGAACATATCATCAGCAAAAGCTCTATGGCATCCAGATGCTAGTCAAGGGGTCGTGTGACCGGTGTTGAGGACAAGTGGGAGTGTGAAGCCAGCTTACACCTACATTCTCCCGCTCTGCATTGTCCTCGGTGGAAGGCCTTCTCTCCTGCACAGAATCCAGGTCGGAGTCTGCCGTATCGTGATCGTGATGTTCGTGGTCCGACATTGTGTTTCGCTTTCTTTGTGACTGTGAGTGCAAGGGGCCAGGGATTCCTCACGAGAGGATCGATGCCATCAAAAGAGGGATGCGGCAGCCCCCTCTGCCAGGAGGCGAAGTGAAGGCCGCAGGATACAAAGATCCCGTGGATGGAGACCGTGGGGGAAGTGGACCAGTGAGGCAATTCGTCTTTCTTGCTCCTGAGTATTGTATGAGGTGCTGCTGAGTGAGGATGGTGGTTGCTTGCTCCTTTGCCAGTGCTCGGCAGGGGGATGGGTTCGTCTGTTAAACAAAGCGCGAGCGCGTCGCCGCTAAGATTTCGAGGTCGATCAGAGAGGGAGAAACTACAGCACAGGATGGATTGGCTCGTTTTATCACCAAGACACAGCTACACCAGACTCTGATTTCCCGGTAGAAAAGAAAGATTCTCAGCATGCAGTAGAATCCATCCTCCTCTCAATAATCAATCAATTATTCCAGTCCTGGGTGTGTGCTGCAGGGGTATTGGGGCAGATTCCGCCCACGCCTACACTTACTCCGTAGCAGACGGTTAGACGCAATAACCAGTGCCGCCCAGCCAATGGGACGGGAAAGCGGACGATGGGAACCCGAAACAGTGGATCTACTGGTCGCCCCAAGGGGTCAATCAAGGGGTCTGGGGCACTGGGCTGGATTGGCCGCTGTCTCAGTGTCGGGCGCGGATGGCCCTACAAAGGATTGATTGAGTATTGCGAGTTGACTCCCAGGAGAACTGGCTATTGCTGACAACCACAGGGTCAACCACCACCACTACTCCAATAAGGCCAAAGCAGAGAGGCAAGGGCGCAGAGGTTGTGATCGGCAACGCTGCAGAAGAATCTGGCTCGCGCAGATGCTACGGAGAGCTTGAGAAGAAACGATATGGCGTCCTGCCATGCAAGTCGAAGCAAGTACAAGCAAGTACCAGCTTGGCAGAGCAAAAGCAATGAGAGACCAAACCCTTTCACAGAGAAGCACTCGGAGGCCACTGTACTGTGCTTTTCTCTCTCAGTCTCGCTCCTCACTTAGCAGCAGCTGTCGGTGCCAGTGGTGTCAAGAGTGGATAGGTAGCTTATCTTACTTAGGTAGACCCTTAGAGCCTCCTCGTGGTCTAAGGTCTGGGGTCAATATGCTCCCGAGCTCATACTATCATAGAGACATTAACGGAGCAATTACAGAGGTGGTTGCTTCAAGTTGACTAATCCCTTCTTGCATAGAGCTATCCTTAAGAGCGGCTTTTCTGGCCTGTCAAGAGTGTGATGCGCCTCCTGTGAGGTGGCATTGCTTCTATCGAAACCGGCTTTGTGTTGGACAGCTCCCCCATTCCCACACCCCAAAGATTACTATTCAAGGAATTTGAACCTCGTTCGCCAGCTGTTGATGATGCACGTACAAGAAGAGCATAGTTCGTGGGAATATGAAGTAATATCGTCGAGGTATGGTCCATCACCAGCATAACCCCAAACCTTGTAGCTACGGCTTTCCAACGCATCCCCGTTCTTCTGGTATATACAAAATAGAAAGTCCTCCTGCCCTCGTATTCCCAAAGGACGAAGTGCCATGCTGTCCAGCCTTCTCTGCCATCCAGGAAGAGACTACAGGATTATCATCCGTACCCGCAGGGGATCTGTAAATCCCCGTCATCGAAACAGGCACCGAGGATAGCAGACAATGGACGGGAGTAGATAGCGAGGACTTCAAGGTACCAAAAGTGAGATCGGAGATTTGGCCCATCCTCGTACCAAAATATCCCCTCGACGGTTTTGTTTGTTTGTGGTCGGCGCCTCAAAAAAAAGTGTAGCTCTGACGTAGAAGACGGACTTAAGCGACCGCGTTTTCGTCGTGAATCTCAACCTCTACAACAAGCTAAGCTGGAGCTCCATTCAACTTTTCCACCCCACTACAGGCATAATCATTCCTGTTCAGCCAACATCCTCGCGTATTCTCCATCTCTTGACTGCTGGCACGTCCTACGAGCTCCATCAAGTGAATCCTATCGAGACGACATTAGAAAGGCGCCTGCACCGTTCCTTTCGACACGCTCTCTTCGATACCCTTCTCCCACAACACCTGACCTAGCCACCTCGATCTTAATATACTCCAGGGCCAGCCCGTACTCTTCTCGACTCTCCTTGACCAGAGTGTACTGCGTAGACTCTGTCAGAGACTAGGTAACTATTCTTCCTCATTCAAGACTAACCTGCAGATCCGCGCGGCTGTCCAGAGCCTCACCTAACCCTACCTTCTCCTGCTCCGCCCGCACCAACGAACATCATCCTCCCCATCAAACCCGGGGCTGTCCTCCCGTGGACGCTCCTTCTCCGATCTGCCAAGCTGTCGGCGGCTGTGATAGATACGGAGGAAGTGGAGGGGGGCGATATCTAATTTTTCCCGCGGTCTTTGCCGCTCCCCCGCCATCAACATGGTCCGAATAACCAAGTCGATGCAGGCGAAGCATTTCGAGACCTTGGTAAGCTTCGAAGCCCCGCCTTCTTCTTCGAGTGCGCAAATGCTGACACGTAATCCAGTCGCCATATCTCAAGGAATTTCGCACCTCCGCCTGCTCGATCTCCCTACCTCTCCTACCACAGCATCTCTCATCCTTCCCGACAAGATGGCCATTCCCACGAGGCGATCTCTACCACTGGATTTCCCTTCTCAACCGCTTCGATGTCATCCTCGAGAACTTTTGCCGCACGTACAAGCTAGAGGATGGTCCGCAGACCATGGACTTTGGCTGCAAGGTTCTACGAGAATCTGGCGAGAATCATGATACCCCGAGCCTGGCCGAGCTTGGATACGGAGATGATGGTGATAGGCAACTTGTTGAGTCTATTCTCAACTTCTCAAGAATGCTCCTACAAAATTGTGGCAACCGGAGCCTCTACTCGAGTAGTTCGCATTTGAATAGCTTGCTCAACAGTACATCTCTGTCGTTGCTCGAAGCTACACTCTCCCTAGGCTCGGAACTGGCACAGAGATATCAGGCTGCCTTCAAGCGCCAGGTTATTTCCTCTCGACAAACAAGCAACCCACAGCTGCTGAAAATCCACTACAACATCGATCTTGGCAGAGTTCAGCAGCTAGCGATGCCCTTCACCAAGACGATCACGGTCACGGCCGAGTCAGCGCAGCCGACAACACCTGTGACTCCAACAGTAAAAGGAAAAGAAAAGGCATATTTCAGCATCCCTACGAGCCAGAAGTCTTCGACCACTACTGTGTGTGCAAGCGACCTGGTGTCTATGGTCAAGGGAGGATCAGGAGTGAGTACCAAGACGAATAGCCCGAGGAGCATTCGCAAAGGTGCACACAACTCGTCCTCTCACGCCGTGACCAGTTGGGAGGAATGGGGAGATGTGAAAGTCACATATTATCCTAAATCCGCCCGAGAAACAGATCAGGCCGGCAACAGCAGTACCTCCCGGTCCTCGGACGCCGTCACTTCAAATAATCCAACCACCCCAACACCTATTCGTCGCTCGTCAAACTTGGGCCCACATGGTCATCGTCCGAATAAGGGATCAAGTTCTGATGAATCTCCCACTATGCCACGTTCGTCGGGGTTCCCAACAGGAGAATCTCCGCGCCCGAACTTTAAGACCATCGAGATTACTTCCTCGAAGCTTAAGACCTCTGGCGTGCACAGTTTACTGGAGGAGAATCTTGCGGGTCTTCCCCAGGATTTGCAGTACGAGCTTCTGACGAAGCTTCGGGTTGCAGCTGCCTTGACGACGTCCCTAGAGACTCGTCGACAAATATTAGCAATCCGCCTCCTTGCCATCACCAATTTGTCATACATCCACGTAGAACCTGCTTTTATCGAGAAGGTTTTGAAGCAAGATAGTGATGAACCACGTCGATTACAGCTCGTCTACCAGCTAGCAGAGTTGGTCCATCCACCTGTGGAGGGCGATATTGCAGTTCCCCGACCTCTTCAAACTATCGCCTTCTCAACCCTTGACGCATTGTCTCAGCACCAGACCAAATACAACGATGTCTGTGCCGCTCTTAGCACGAACGTCAACCATGGCGTTCTGCTATATGTGGTTAGAAAGGCTGCTGCTGAGATGGGCGAGGAGGAAGATGCTGGTGATAAGATGACAGAGGCGGATGAATGGCGCGAGGCATTATTTTCACTGCTTGCCAACATCTCCATCATGCCCCGCACTGGGGGAGAGCTTATTACTGCAGGATTGATGCCGATATTAGTTGAAGTGCTCGGACTACGTACTACCATCGCGGAACGCTACCACCCAAAGGTATTGAGCTTCCTCGACAATATAATGTACAGTGCTCGGGATGCCTTCCAAACCCTTGTCAATGCAGACGGGCTCGATGCTGTTTCTAATCTGATCGTCTATGAGGTTTCGCACGCCTCGGACCTCGCAGCACAGGGTAAAGGCATGCGACCTGAGTACCGTTCCGCCTCTGTGGATTACGAGATTCCTTATTTCCAGCAACAGACCTTGAAGTGGCTTTTCAAGTTCATTCATCATATGATGACTACTGCCGGGGGCTACGGTGGTAATTTCGATCGTTTGTTGCGCAATTTGATTGACTCTTCCCAGCTGTTGGGCAGCCTTCGAGAGATCATTGGCAATGCACGTCGTTTCGGCTCTGTTGTCTGGACCAATGCGGTCAGCATTCTCAATGATTTCATCAACAATGAACCAACAAGCTTCGCTGTCATCGCAGAGGCAGGTCTTAGCAGAGCCCTCTTGGAAGCAGTCACGTGCTCCCCCATATCTATGCCATCAGATTCCAAGAAGACGGGACAACGAGCCGAGCAATCTACCGATCAACCCGCTGACGACGAGTCCTCAGCTGCTCCACCTTCTGACGACGACGATGATGAGGACGATGGCGATGATGGCGATGATGATAGTGACGATGAGTATCGGCCAGCGCCTCGTCGACCGACAAAGGCAATGCTCCAAGCCCCTCGCGAAGGTCCACTGGCTCGAGGCATCCTGCCAACATCAGATACTATCAACATTATACCGCAAGCATTCGGCGCGATATGTTTGAATAATAATGGCATGAAGATGTTCCAATCCTCCAAGGCCCTTGAGAGCTTCTTCGAAATCTTTGAGAGTCCTGAGCATGTCAAATGTATGGACTCCAATAAAGATTTACCGTCCAATCTTGGCAGCACTTTTGACGAGCTAGTTCGTCATCATCCACCCCTTAAAACGGCCATTATGAATGCTATTCTTGACATGGTCGCTCGAGTTGGTTACCTTTGCAAGACAAAGGCGGAGGCCAACAAGTTGGGTGCTGTACTACGAACATATGATCCATCAGGGAAGCCAGTCGTTGCTGATGCCGCGATCAAGGCATCTCGCCCTTCAAAGGGCAAAGAAAAAGCCGCGGATGACGGAGGTGATGTTGAAATGCAAGACGTCGATACTGCTGTCACCGAGGACACGCCTGCTCAGCCGGAAAACCCCCCTAACGCCCCTCCGATGACTGCATATGTTGCTGCTGTCGCTACCTTTCTATCTGCTATGTTCAGCAATACCTCCGTTCGTTCTGACTTCTGTTCAAGAGGTGGTATTGAATATGTTCTTGATCTGGCAGAATCGCCGTGCTTGACCTACGACTTTGCAGATGGATCAGCAAGCCGAGTTCTCCAAAGTGTGATCGCCCTCCTCGCAGAGCAGAAGCCGCATCTCACAATGCCTTCCCTGCTACAACGAGCACAGTCCGCTGTTGATGTTCTTGCACCTTTTGCAAATTACCAGGAAAGCGGGCCCTTCTTCAAGCCGTTTGTCAACAGAGAGGCTCAGCAATCAGCCGAAATTGAACTACTCGCAAATGGAACTGGATTTGTCAAGGCACTTGTCAATATCCATTCTCTGGTCTCAGCCCTGCGCGCGTGTTTCCAAACCTGGGCATTCAATCACAGATCCGCTAGCAACGGTTTCAATCAGCTCAACCTTGGTGATTACTATGTTCGCCTTGTCAAGAGTCTTGGGCCCTTGCTTGGTGCATCTTTTAGAGAGGAGTTTGAACTGAATAAGGTCGTACCAGACTACTACAAGAGTGCTGCACGCGTCAAGGATTCAGCTTTCGATGACCCTGTCTTCGCAGAACTCCTCGGCGGCCCTGAAGTGCCGTCCCCTGTGGCAGAACCATCGAACGCCGAGCCCGGATCAGCTGAACAGCCGGCGGGTAATACTGCAACTTCAGCTGCTGCCAATCCCCCGGTATCGAGTGATAATAAGCCAAAATCGATGACAAAAGCCGAGAGAGATGGTCCCGAGTTCAAGAACTTCCAAGCCTTGCAGTATTTGCTTAGCAAGATGTCCGATACCATTTCTCCATTCTTTCAGATACTTGGAAAGGGATTAGTTAATAAGCGGGGTGGTACGGATGGATTCCAGAAGCAGAGTCACGCTGCCATTGCAGATGCTTTGGCCGAAACTATTTTGCGGGAGCTGGCTCCTCGTGGGCAAGAATCTTCAATCGAGAACATCAGCCACTGGATTGGCATGTTGCATGTCTTGAAGGATATACTAGTAGATGGTAAGCAATCAAATGCCTCGAAAGCACGCATACTTACATATTACAGTTTCACGTCATAATGAGCGTCCGATCCAGACAATTACTATTGTCCTACAAGCCTTCAAGGACCGTGGCGGATTTGAGACCACTAATCACATCCTCGAAGTTTTTGCGTCAGAGATTCGGTCTAGAAACATCGCTACAGATACCATTGACCTTGATAAGGCTGCTGATGAGACAGTCCGGTTTGAGATGGCAGTAGTAGGTATCAAGGATATCCTCTCGCTCTACAGCCAAGTTGTCAGTGGGAAGAATGTCATAGAATCGCCCCAGACCATCTCAATGGCCTCCCGAGAGGCTAGAGACCGAAGCAGGCCAGAGTATTTCTCTCCGCCGCAGTTTCTGGTAGAATTACGCATGGCAGTTCTACCCGTCGTTCGGCGTTTATGGGAATCTGACCTTGTTGAAAAAGCTCCAAGCGAGATATCCGAGAGACTAATTGAGGTCATCCGTACCATTTCAAATGCCGACAGTGAAGCAAATGCTCTGAAGCGTTCCGATAAAGCCGGGCCGGTTGTCAAGGGCCCCCGCAAGACTTTCAGAATCAGTCAAGAGCATGTCAGTACCTTGATGGATCACGATTATGACACAGATCTTGCGCACGAAGCCCTCTATCGCTGCAATAACAACCTCACGTACTCTCTCGAGTATTGTAGTGAGATCAATCAAGAAGAAAATCGGCGACGAAATCCGATTCCAGAAGGCGATATTGCTTCCAGTCCCGAACCGAATACCTCCTCCAGACCGCGCACCGTGGATTCGACAGGTACCGCCACTCCTGATGATCACGCTATGTCCATGCACGATGGTCTTGAAAATGTCCCGTCAATCATAGACTCGCTTAATCAGCAGATGCTCCCCCCTGCTGCCCCTGGCGATGGACTTGTGACTTCTCAAAACGTGGATCAGATTTTGAGCCAGGTCGTACCGGGTTTCGAAAGCCGACGTAACGCAACTGCGCCTTCATCTGGTACGCCTCGTGCAAGTCCATCTTCAGCTCCCTCACAATCAACTCCAGTCGAGGAGAGTCAGGCCAAGCCGGTTACAGTCGATGATCTGAATGACGAACGAGCAGCGATCAGAGACAATCTGATCGACAAGTGCCTCGACGTCATCAATGCCCATGGTGGAGTCACTTTCGAAGTTGCCGATTTAATCACAACAGTTGTGAACAAATCGCCCGATCCTTCATCTCAACGCAAGGTTGTTGGGCAGACACTGGTGATTGCTCTTATGTCATTTGCGGGGGAAGACGACCTTCGTACATCTGGCAAGAAGATCGCAGCCTACGCCCATCTGTTAGCATTGCTGCTCAGGGATAAGCTCTTCTATGCTGCTGCTGTCGGAGAGTTGAAGGAGAATCTCAGCACACTGCTTGGATTCGTGAAATTATCTCCAAACCATTCCTCTGATGAACCATCACCATGGATTGCCCATATTCTCCTCATCGTCGAGATGCTTCTTAGCGAGGATGCTCGACCACGCAAGACCAAATGGAACGCGCCAAAAGATGAGAACGATACTATAGAACCCCCTGTTCTAGAGTCGGTCGAACTTGTTGTGTCTCCTGACGAGCGACTACAGCTTTTGGAGTCAATTCTTGATATTATGCCCCGCGTTGGTAAAGACGAAGCTCTAGCGCTAGCTATCTTGCGTATCTTGGTGATCCTGACACGAACACGATCTCTGGCGCAAATCATTGGCGAGAAGAAGAACATTCAACGTCTCTTCGTCACAGCAAAACAACTCGCGGGAGTCAGTTCTGCGCGCATCCAAAGTCCATTAATGCTAATCCTGCGCCACATAATTGAGGACGACGAAACTATCAAGCAAATTATGCGTTCAGAAATCAAGTCCTTCTTTGAACAAAATCGTCAACAGAGAAGCATCGATGTTCACACGTACCTCCGCGGACTAGCCCCTACGGCCATCCGGGCGCCTGAACTGTTTGTGGAGATCACCAATGAAATGGTGAAGTTCTATCGATGGTCATTCAATAACCCTGAGATGTCAAATAGATCGAACACTCTTGTTTTGAAGGACCAATTTACCAATGGCTTTGACTCGGCTGCAAAAGCTTCTGAGGACGCTGTTCAGCCAACCGTTCAGGCCACAGAAGACTTGTCACTCCAAGACGTCAAGCCATCTACCGAAGACGTTGACCGCCAGATGCCTGATGCGTCAAAAGCTGCGCCTCCTGAACAGAAGTTGCCAGTTGTGGAGAACCCAGATGGTGTAATTCATTTTCTTCTTTGCGAGCTTCTGAATTATAAGGATGTGGAAGACAAGGAACCTGCCCCGGTTCCTACGGGTCCAACCCCTACGGACAAGGCCAATCCATCGACTAATGGTGATGTTACCATGGCTGGCACTAGTTCCGCTCCGAGCACAGAAACAGCTGCTGCCAAGGAAGCCAAATCTTTGAAGAGTCCAAACAAACAGGAATTCAAGGCTGAGGAGCATCCAATTTACATCTACCGATGTTTCCTACTTAAGTGTCTCACGGAACTCCTCTCTTCTTACAACCGCACCAAGGTCGAGTTCATCAATTTCAAGCGCAGCGCTCCCCCACAAGCCATGACTCCATCCAAACCTCGATCTAGTGTTCTCCATTATCTCCTCAATGACCTTATACCATGCGGCACGTTAGATAGTCCCGAATCATCGGTGGCTCTTCGCAGAAAGACCACCACATCATCTTGGGCAGATTCGGTTATAGTCGCCCTTTTGACCAAGACTGGAGAGCAATTTGTGGACAAGTCTCGCGATCCAAGTGATGGAGAAGATGAGCCAGATCTCCTCTTCGTTCGACGATTTGTTCTAGAGAACATTCTCAAAGCTTACAAGGAGGCAAGCACATCCATCGAGGCTCTCGATACCAAGTATTCCAGAATGCTTTCGCTTGCGGTCTTGATGCTCCACATCATGAACGGAAAGGATAACATTGGTGGTCCGGATACAGCTTTAGCCAATCGGTCCCAGCAACAACTTCGGCGGATCATGTTTGAAAAGGGGTTCATTGCAGCCCTAACTGCATCTATTGCTGACATAGACCTCAACTTCCCCGGTGCCAAGGAAGCTGTGAGACAAATCCTAAAGCCCCTCAAAGTCTTGACGAACACAGCCGTTCAACTCAGTGAACTGTCACTCATCTCTGGCACCCAAGGTCAGACTGAAGAGGACGAGATTGAATCGGCAACTTCGGTCTCTGATCTTGAAGACGAGCGCGAAGAAACCCCAGACCTATTTCGAAATTCAACTTTGGGCATGTTCGAACCTGATAGAGAGGAGGATACATCATCTGAATCAGACGATGGTATGTTTTTAAGAACCCAGTGTGAACCTTGTAACTATGAGATGCTGATTAGTTCTAGACGATGAAGAGATGTATGATGATGGATATGGCGATGAGATGGAGTATGAAGAGGAGATGGCTGAAGATGAAGAAGACAACATAAGTGAAGAAGATGAAGATATTGAGGGTATGGGCCATATTGAAGGTCTATCTGGCGATCACGGCATGGATGTCGAAGTCATTATGGAAGAAGACGATGATGACGATGAAGATGAAGATGGGTCAAGTGGAGAGGACGACGAGCACGATTCAGAAGATGATGATGCTCGCGTCGAGATCATCGATGAGGCCGGAAATATCCAAGAGCTTGGTGAGGACGATGATCTGGAAGAATGGGAAAGCGATGAGGGCGATGACGATGGTGAGGATGAAGAAGATTATGAAGGCGAGGCCCAAGATCAAGATGAAATCCACATGCACGAAGGCCTTGACGTCTCGGACATGGTCGGTGGGCCTCTTGGTGATCTTGTTCGTGCTCTAGGCGGTGGTGAAGATGCCGTTGACATGATCGAGCAAATGGAAGAGCAGATGGAGGCCGATGGCATTGACCCTGGTGACGTTGAAGAACGCATGGGTGGCGATTATATGGATGAGGGCGACGATGATGGTAAGCTGTTCAACCTTTTATCAGCAAGCATGGAACTAATTAAATACAGAGGATGATGACGACGAAGACGATATGGACGAAGAAGATATGTTTTTGGAGCAAGGCTATCCCGGTTCGTTATAACCTCCCCGGTTTGCTTTACACGACTAACAACAGAAGGTGGCGGCCCACCTGTTGGATTTGAATGGGAGGGTGAAGTGGATCCGCCAATGATTATCAGTCACCGTGGAAACCGTCCTCGCCACGCATTTGCTCCCCCTTTCCCACTATTCCCTGGGGGCAATCGTGGTGATCCCCTAGGTGGTATGTCACCTCCTTCTCAAGTGTCAATTTCTGTTCAGGTGCCACGCGAGTTGAGACACTTTGCGCCTCATGAGATCGATGTTCTCATGCGAAGCCTTGTGTCGGATCGACTTACGGAGCTGGAAGATCATAATAGCAACAGAACTAATCTAAATCCAGTTCCGGAGTTTCGTCCATCCTACCGATCGCATAGACCACCTCAACCACGCTCAATTGACGATGGTACCAACCCATTGCTTCAACGAAACAGTTCCAGCCGCGGAAGCAGAGATGGTTCTAATCGGCCCCCTTCAATGGACATGGGCAACTGGATCCAGGCCATGGCACCACCCCCTGGCTCAACAGACTTGATGGACTTGGCTCGCCTTGGCGGTCCTTTTGGTGAGAGGCCCTCATCAGCAGCGCTCCTTGAATTGCTTAGATCCTTACCACAATTACCAGGTACCATTGCACGTAATGGAGGAGTTGGTTTATCATTCCACATCCACGCCGGCCCAGGACAGGAGATCCCGGCAGGGCTCCGAGCCTTTATTGGCGGACCACGAGGATCTCGATTTGAGAGTCGACGTAGCGAAGTTGTAGAAGCAGGAAATGCAGGGTTCTTCACACCACAATCCACCCCCGCCAGATGGTCGGAAGAAGCGAAACTGCTATTTGGACCCAACCATCACGAGAAGGCCGCTGATCTTAGATCTGCCATCGAAGCTGTTCTAGTCCCCCCTGCTATAGAAGCTGACAAGGCTCGAAAGATTGCCGAGGCGGAGCGAATTCGTAAACTTGAAGAAGAAGCCAAGAAGAAAGCGGAGGAGGAGCGTTTGGCGAAGGAGGCTAAGGAAGAAGAGGAGAGAATTGAGAAAGAGAAGAAGGAGGCTGAGGAACGTGAGGCTGCTGAGCGAGCTGCTGCTGAAGCCCTTGCTGCACGTGGATCTATGGACAATGAAGCCGGCGAGGGGAACGAGCCAACAGCGGAGGCTATGGATGGAGTTGAAACCCAAGCTCAACCCACCACCGAGACCGAGGAAGCCCACGAAGCTCCTGCTGAAGATCGCCCACGGGTCACAACAATCATCCGCGGGAATCCCTTTGACATTACCGATCTGGGTATTGATGCCGACTTCCTTGCCGAACTCCCTGAAGAGATTCGAGAAGAAGTCATCATGACAGCTGTTGCCGAGCGACGATCCCAGGCCGCTGCAACTGGTGCGCAACCTTCAGAGATCGACCAAGAATTCCTAGATGCCTTGCCCGAGGATATCAGAGACGAGATTATTCAACAGGAGAGACAAGATCGACGCCGCCGTGAGCGAGAAGAGCAACGCCGCCAAGCCGCTGCTGCTGGTGGTGGGCCTGCAGCTGGAGATATGGACGCAGCGAGCATCCTTGCAACATTACCACCCGCATTAAGACAGCAGGTATTGATGGAACAAGATGAGGAGATGTTAAGCTTACTTCCTCAAGAGCTTGCTGACCAAGCTCGCGCTGCGCAGAGAGACCATCCCGCACACGGCAGAATCCCCAGTGGTCTGGCTCGGAGAAATGCTCCAATCGGAGGAATCGATGCTAATCAGTCTCACGGTTCACAGCGACCTCCACGACGTGCGATTGTCCAAATGCTCGACAAGTCTGGGATCGCAACACTTCTTCGATTGATGTTCACCTTACAGCCAGACCATCTCAAAACCGCACTTTGGTCCGTGTTGGAAAACATTTGTCTGAATAGGCAAAATCGTACCGAGGTAGTCAGCACCATCCTTCATATCCTCCAGGACGGCAGTGCCGATATGAGTGCTGTCGAGCGTAGCTTTGCCCAGCTTTCCTTGAGAGCCAAGCAACCGAAGGAAAAGGACCCGAAGACCCCTCAGACATTAAAGAAGACCGGTCCGAGCACTCCTGGCGGTATTACCGGTATTACATCTCTTATGCAGGCCAACTCTGAAGCATCTCCTCTCTTGGTTGTTCAACAGTGTTTAGGAACCTTGCACAATCTCGTCAGCAGAAACCTCCATATCCCCGCGTTCTTCTTGACGGAGCATGACAGCGTTGTTGGCTTGAAGCGTACTCTGAGCCGCAAAGGAAAGGGCAAGGAAAACAAGGCTGCGAAATATGCAATCAACTCGTTGCTGAATCTTCTGGATCGCGATCTAATCATGGAGAACTCCACTGTCATGGAGTTGCTTTCGGGCTTGCTCAATCAAATTACACAGCCTCTTCAAGCCCTCCAGCGCAAGCAGAAGGAAACCGAGGCACAAAAGACTGAGGCTGCTGCTCCAACAAGTGAGACTGCCGCATCGATAACAACCCCAGAGGTCACGGCAGCTACTGAGCAACCATCAGAGCAGCAAGCGGAGCCCACCCAGCCGGCAGCAAACACTGAAGGTGGTGAAGCCTCTACCACTGATGTAGCCAAGGCAGAGACGGCCCCCAAGGAGCCCGAGAAGAAGCAACGCCCAATCACTCCACCAGTCATCCCAGAACAAAACCTGAAGTTGGTGATCAATATCTTCGTTGCCCGTGAGTGTAGCTCCCGAACATTCCGCGAGACCCTCTCGACAATCAAAAACCTGTCTGCAATTCCCGGCGCAAAGGCGGTCTTCGGACGTGAACTTGTGTCCAAGGCCCAAGGGCTTGGAGAGACCATCTTGCAGGATCTGAATGAACTTCTACCTCAGATTCAAAAGGCTACAACTGGCACTGAAATCCAGGGTGTTGCTTTAGCCAAGTTTTCTCCAGGTGGTTCTGAGCAGGGGAAGCTCCTTCGCGTTCTTACAGCACTTGACCATCTCTTCGACCCGAAGCGTGATAAGAAGGAAAAGCCAGACGAAGATGGCGAGTCATCACAATTAATCGAAAAGCAGGATCTCCTGTCTTCTCTTTACGAAAACTCAACCTTCGGTCCGATGTGGGAGAAACTCAGCGCATGCCTTAGTGCTATCAGACAGCGGGATCATATGTTGAACGTGGCCACCATTCTTCTTCCGCTCATCGAATCTTTGATGGTTGTTTGCAAGAATACCACTTTGAAGGAAGCTCCTATCGCTCGGTCTCAGATAGGCAAGGAGATGATGTTGACAAGTCCACCTCCGGAGTCCCGTATGGAGAGCTTGTTCTTCACATTTACCGAAGAGCACCGCAAAATCCTCAATGATCTTGTCCGGAATTCTCCCAAGCTCATGTCTGGTACATTCTCCCTCCTAGTTAAGAATCCCAAGGTTCTCGAGTTCGACAACAAGCGCAACTACTTTAGCCGCAGCATTCATACTAAGAGCTCAACCACACGGCAATCATACCCTCCTCTCCAGCTCTCTGTTCGCCGAGACCAGGTCTTCCATGATTCCTTCAAAGCTCTTTACTTCCAAACTGCCGACCAGATGAAGTTTGGAAAGCTCAGTATTCGATTCCATGGTGAGGAAGGTGTTGATGCTGGCGGTGTTACTCGAGAATGGTTCCAAGTCCTCTCCAGACAGATGTTTGACCCAGGATACGCACTGTTCATTCCCGTATCATCTGATCGAACCACCTTCCACCCCAACCAACTGAGTGGTGTCAATGAGGAGCATCTCATGTTCTTCAAATTCATCGGTCGTATCATTGGCAAAGCTCTATATGAGGGTCGGGTTTTGGACTGTCATTTCAGCAGGGCTGTCTACAAGCGCATCTTGGGCAAGGCCGTCTCGGTAAAGGATATGGAGTCTCTTGACCCTGATTACTACAAGTCTTTGGTCTGGATGCTTGAGAATGATATCACGGATATCATTACCGAAACTTTCTCCGTTGACAATGACAAGTTTGGGGTTGTCGAAACCATTGATTTTATTCCCAATGGTCGCAACATTGCGGTTACTGAGGAGAACAAGCATGAGTATGTTCGCTTAATGGTGGAGTGGAGGCTCACTGGATCTGTGAAGGAGCAGTTGGATGAATTCTTGAAGGGTAAGTGCACTAGCGTCTGGAGCTAAGGATGACCACTAACATACGATAGGTTTCCACGATATCATTCCTGCTGAGCTCATTGCAATCTTCAATGAACAGGAGTTGGAGCTTCTGATCTCTGGTTTACCTGAGATTGATGTGGACGACTGGAAGAGTAACACTGAATACCACAACTACTCTGCCTCCTCCCCACAAATCCAATGGTTCTGGAGAGCAGTGCGTTCATTCGACAAGGAAGAACGTGCCAAGCTCCTACAATTTGTCACGGGAACCAGCAAAGTACCACTCAATGGGTTCAAGGAGTTGGAGGGTATGAACGGCTTCAGTCGATTCAACATCCATCGTGATTACGGCCGGAAGGAGCGTCTTCCAAGTTCGCACACTTGCTTCAACCGTAAGATCAATTCCCCTGTCTTCCTCTAGAAATACTGATGCGCCATAGAACTCGACCTTCCCGAATACGAAAGCTACGAGGTACTCCGTCAACAAGTCCTTACTGCCATCACGGCTGGAAGCCAGTACTTTGGTTTCGCATAAGCACAATTGCGTGTTTCTTTTCGATCCCTTTACGATATCATGCACGCGTGGACCAGGCCTTGATTAGCATTTCTCGGCGTCAGCTTCTCGTTACTTTTGATTTCTTCACTTCTCGATCTGTATTTGGCATGGGATGGTGAATCATAATTCAGTAGTATGCTTTGCAAGGGGGGTATTGCTTATGGCCAATCCTATCTCTGAACTTGCCGGGTGGGTTTACAACGAAGTGCAGGTCGTTGATATATTCATGATGGCAGGGGATGGGGAATGAGATTGGGCGCGGGGTGTAAACTAGATAGGTAGCTAACTAGCAGAGAGCAATGCATCCTCACTTGATAGATCTTATAGAACTGCTTCGTTGTAGAGCCAAGTGTGACATTAAAACGGGATGACCCTTAAATACAAGTTTACGATCCAAGCCTTGATCTTAGCCATGCTTGTTCTAGCATAGGTGTGTGCTGTGCTGTGCTGTGCTGGCTGTGCAAGGGAAAGAAGACGCAAAGAAATGTATGTTACTCACAAACTAGTTTCGCCCGTCAGCACCAAAGAAGCCGCCTAGACCGCGATTTATGGTCGCGGCCGCCACGCGCTCAGCGTTTTGGCGATATATAGCTCGCAAAACAGCTTCCTCTGCCTGGGCAAGTGCCTCTCTGGCACGAGCACGAGCCTCCTTTGCTTCTGCCACGAGCGTTCCCCGCGGCAAAGACCCTATCAAGGGCGTCGGAATGGGCCTTGCGGGCCGATAGCCCTCGGCCGGACATGGTTGTAGTTGTGGTTGTAGTTGTAGTTGTGGTTGTGGTTGTGGTTGAGGTTGAGCAGAGAAGACAGACAAGAAGCCGCGGTGAGATATTTATAAGCCCTCTGTTGACTTCGGGAGGTGCATGCACTTCGAGTGTGATGTTCTCAAAAATCATCTCTCTGTGGTCTTGAGAGATAGATAGGCAGTTGCGATAGGTAGGGACCGAGACGATTTCATGATCTACTAGTAGTACCAGCCGTTTGCAACTGGCGCATTTGATCGCATGTTATGCAAGGAGAGTGCAAAAGCAGCCGAGATCATCAAGAATGTGCCAAGCCATAGCCAGCAAACTACTCGTTGGTGCGATATTTTAAATGAATAGAAAGTTGCATTGAAGGCGTTCCAAAATGTCATCACGATCGCCTTTTGTCACGGGCGAACGCAAAATATATAATGCGAAAACTTTGTTTATATGATAAAAAAAGAAATTAATTGAAAAGAAGAACAAATGAAAAGAAGAACAAAACCCAGCCGTAGCAGTCAGTCCCATACTTCAATCGGTATTACACGGTCTTCACGCCCTCCAGAGCTTTCTGTTCTATCTGGATCTGCTGCAACGAGACGGGTCGAATGACTTCGCTTGAGAGCATTAGGTCGTGAATGGCATCACCATGAGACTTGATCGCAGCCTCATCCAGCCGCTCCTCCACCAAATTGAATCTCCAGCCGTCATGCCGATGTACGACGGCTTCCCAAGCCTGGATTATAGATGGTTCTATGGTCAATTTCCACGTACCTCGCCACGTAATTCTGGCTTCCTGTATATCGCGGAACGCCTGATACTTGAAGAGCGCCGCCAGCCCCTTTCGTCCGTTCCAAATCTCCATTGTTTCTAGTTGTGGCATTTTCATGGCCGCTGCCGCCGCTGCCTGAAGCATCGCCCCAATATCGATCGGATTGTCGTCGGGCGTAAGTACTTTTGAAGTAAGCACGAGCGAAATTAGGTTCGGCCACTCCCAAGAGGGTTCGATTTCGAAGAAATGGCTAGCATCTACGATAAAAGATGCTGCAAGATGCTCAAGCTTCAGGCTGGCGAGCGCGATCATCCGGCTAACAGCTGGGGCTGGGTTGCGAATACTGTCGCACTGGTACACGTCTTCCCCGAACTGGAATCGCTGCATAACAGTTGGATACTGTTGATTAAAGTTCTCGAAGACCACAAGTCTCTTGAGATTGTTGTTGAAACGTCGGATAGACTCGAAAAGATATCGGTAACCTAGAGGGTTATTAGCAATAGGGTAACTATACAAATGAGAGCAAGCAACAACTTGCGCAGGTATACAGCAATACTCACGTCTATCTGTATCGCGCTGCAGAGCGTCCCATTCCCTCCAAGGCTCGTAGTGGACTTCCTGGAGTCTGGGAAAACGGGCAAACATATGTGCAAGCGAGTCTGGCTTCCATCTCCGGCGGTTCTGTTGCCGGAGAAGTAAACTGGTTACCGCCGGGACCGATGGAAGCTGATCCCACCATTGGTACTCTGACTGTTCACTATCAAACGGTCCCTCCTCCATAACTCCATGGAAAACTTTGCGTATAGCCGTCAAGGACGGAGCGGAGTGTCGAAAACCAGCGACCCAACCATGTTGAGGATCATGAGAGGCTTTGTCTAATATCATCTGCTCTATACCACCACCACCACCTAGGGTATCGGGCATAAAGGTCAGATATTTAAACCAATGTTCCGAGTCACTAGGCGAGTAGATACTAATATCAAGTATCAGATCGCCGTTAAGATCCCATGTGCTGAGAACCGAGAACAGAATCTGGAATGCCGTGGTAATAGGACAATGATCTGTATCGGTGATAGAAAAAGAGTTTGTGGTGGGCGCGCACTTGGTGCAGTCATAGTTATCAAGTTCCAAACAGAACCAGATATAGCTGACGAGAGCCCGATTGCGATGAACCATCCAACTAAAATCAACGAGGCGCGATGGCGTTAATTTGATTCGAGCGAAGTTATATCGCTCGAGTTCTGTTTGCCATTCGCGAGACACTGTGGCCAAGCGAGCCAGTGTGCAACCGTCTTGCATCAGGGCTTTGAAGATGAGAAGCCGGATTTCTGCAGGTAATCTATCCCATGTTAACTCACATTGCTTCTTGTTAAGTGATGTTGAAGACATAGTGTAATAGACCGAGAGTGGTGATAATTTCGGTAATGGAGCGATGTAGGACCATGAGATAGAAAATTCAAGATGTGAGTGCGTGCGGCAGCCCGTACGGCAGCCCTCTCGTACAGTACCTCTCCTTCTAAGTTATGGCACCCTAACAGTAAGGTAGGTAGAGTATCCTTGATTCCTCACAAGGTAAACGCGACAATAAAATAAAGGGGGATAGTCCTTTTAAAAAGGGACAATAATAGGACAGTCCTTTTAAAAGGGACGCTCTTCTAGCGAGGGATGGTCATTGAAGCGAGGATGATCCTCTCTCCGGGACGGTGACGGCCATTTTATAGAAGACAGTCCTAATAAAATGCTAGGCTTTTTATATAGATATCCTTTTGGCTTTTTATATAGATATCCTTTTAAAAACGCTTGTCAATTTATGGTCACGGTATGATCAACTAGGAGATACTGTCACAGGACTGGCTAAATGCCTAAGCCTTCGCCTTTAAGGAAGCAAGCAACTCCTAACCAAATGAAAACGCTCTATAATCCCCTACCTATCCTCAACACGTGCTGTTTTAACACCACATCGATTCTCAATGCCCCTCGCAAATCTGACGGCCGTCATATCCACGGCCCGCCAGAAGATGTCCGCGACGCAGAAGACGATCGGGACGTACAGGACGGTCGTCAGGAGCCAGCCGCCGTTGAACCGCCACCAGCCCTCCTTGCCCGTGATGCGCCAGATGGAATTGCGCATCGCCTTGCCGAACGTGCGGTTCGTGATGCCGTGCACCAGGTACAGCGCGTAGGAGATCTTGCCGAGGTAGCGCGCGAAGCGGGTCGTGAAGGGGCGCTGGCAGCGTGGGAGGAAGGTGATGGATGAAACAATCAACATGGCGGCGTACGCGTGCCACACACGGCGCTTGTAGCTCTTTGACCGTGGCCAGAGGGTGGAGAGGAAGGCGTAGCCGGGGGTCTTGCTGGCGTTGTCGCGGGGGTAGCCGGCCAGGTAGACGCCGATGATGAGGTTGAGGACGAGAATGCATGTCACCACCTTGGAGCGGAAGGAGGACTTGTTGCGGGGCTTCTCATCCAGCTCGTCCACAGGAGGGTGTGGTTGTTGCATCTTTTGCGGGGCATAGTGCTCGGTGGCCTCAGCGAGCAACATGCCCGCCATGAACAGGGCGACATCCCACCGGCTGTAGAGGAAGCAGTTCAGGAGGATGCCGCATTCGACGATGACGCGGATCAGAGTGCGGCAGCGCGAGAGCCCCAAGACCACTAGGAAGAGCACCATGGAGCAACGGAACTCGACGGGGATGGTCCAGAGATGAGGATTATACCAGCCTTTGAAGTCGATATTCCAGGTCCAGACGTTCAGAAGCGTGTTACTCAGGAAGCTGAAATACATGGACGTATCGTTCACGAAGCCGGGCTCATAGCCCTTCTTGGGCAAGGGGAGCATGCCGGCCCGCTGACAGAGGTAGGCGAGGAAGGAGGACACGATGCTGGGCAGGAAGAGGCGCATGGCACGGCGGAAGGTCAACGATGCGAGGGCCTTCATCAGGTCTCCATGCGACTGCTGGCGGATGAGGACGATGCAGCGCTGGGAGAGGACGTAGCCAGAGACGACGAAGAAGATGGCAACCATCGCGGCGCCGCTGAAGAAGATGCGGATGAAGGGCAGCTGCAGCACACTCCAGTTGTCTCCCTGGCCGTATCCTGAATTGATCTCTGGATGTGCCGCGGCACTCCAGTGGAAGACGAAGACGACGAGCGAGGCGACGCCCCGAACGCCGTCGAGATAGTCGGTCGGGCGCCTCTTCTCGACTGCGGGCTCCTTCTGGGGGGCGAAGTAGCGCTGGGTGAAGCTGGGGAGGAGGAAGAGGAGCACACGATGCAGGAGGAGACCGAATCTCTTGAGAAGGGCTTGCTTTCGAGACGATGAGCGTGGACTCGGTGGGGGCAGGAGATCAAGGCCATCGTGGACTCCTGCTGCTGGAGAGACGCGCTCGTCGGGGTCTTCGGAGAGAGGGACGGGGACGTACTGGGGGAGAGCAGACATGGTGGTGATGGTGATGGCGGTGGTGATGATAACCACCAGAGATGAGAGGGACGGGAGATCAGAGATCAGAGATCAGAGATCAGACACCAGCCCCCGGCGAGTCCTCCCCTTTCCTTTGTACCGACACTGCCAAGACCGCCCATGATCCTGTAGCAGAAACAAGAGTTGCCAAGCTGCCGCTATATTGCTTGGCATTCTGGTGTGTTTGCTGTGATAAGCCAGCCAGGCGCGAGGTGGATATATCAGGATTCAGGACTCAGGGGGCCTGGTTCCCTCGAGGACTAGCACAAACCCAGAAGGGGAAGGCGGGAGCCCTCCCCAGCCTCGGTATGATCTGCTTATCGCGGGCCCGAACTCGGCAGGTGCTTATCGGTCTTGGCGCCGGGTGTGGCGGGACCGATCGGCGCCACATCTTCCCTGATGCGGAGTGCCGGCCCCGCCGCGACTAAGGTAGGCCATTGCGGGATATGAGACGGAGGATCCTGCTGTTAGACGTCGATGTCGCGTGCATGGGGTGCTACGGGTGAGGCCCCCCTATTAATACCCCTATTACCTTGCGTTATGATATGATTTGAAGGCTCGACTAGGTACGACATGGAATAGCAAAATGTCAGATCACCATTCCCGAAGACAAGCTCTCTGCCATCGCTGGGCTCGAGGTTGCTTCTCTATTTAAAGATCACGACCTCGCTGGTCTCTGGCACGTGAAACTCATGTGGTCCGTCCACAACTCTTCCACTTCGACTCTATACCTGACGTAGATACAGTTCTTGGTCTACTGCAGAGGAAGAGAGAGTGCGTGAGTGGTTGAAGGGGGTAGTTGAAGGGGTTAGTTGACAAAAGAGTCAAGAGAATGAAGATTGAAAGGAGAGAGTGAGGGGAGCGTGGGGTCTTTGTAGAAGGCAAAGTGGCTGCTAGCTCATGCATGCTCCCCTTCTTCGGCATAAATGATGAATTCGTAGGATAGGTGCCCAAGCATTACACAATATCAGACATCTCCCGCCCTCTCCATCGCCTCTCTCCAAATCCCTACCAATGGCCCATCCTTCCCAAAGATAGGGTCTGAATCCGGGATCGGGACATTCCTTGCATTGGCCGCTTTCACGGCCGTTTCCTGGGGGTTCGCCTTGCAGAAATTATTGTCCCAGTGCGGGCTTCCCTGTACCGCCATCATCAGTCAGTCTCTTCCTATGATGTAACGAAGTGAAAACAGCGCATACCTCGGGATACAAGCCCACATACTCATACCCTCCCCAACTCTCCAAGTTACAATGCGCCACACCCGCTGGGAGGACGATGGCATCCCCCTGCTGTAGCTCGACCTCTATCCCAGTAGTCTGCCCGTCATCCAGCGGCCCTCGTCCAAGAAGCAGTCGGCTGCGGCCTTTGAACACTGCATAGCATTCATGCGTCAGGGAATGGAAGTGATGTGCCTTGTAGTGTTTGAATACTCCGCCCTTGAGCCAAGAGTTGGGCTCAAAGGTCTCGCAGACTGTAGCTGGTGTCGGGGACGAAGGGAGACAGGAGCGATAGATAAGAACAGGGAGAGGGGAGTTGGGGACATATGGTGTCGAGTTTGTGAGATGATATTGCTCGGGGGGGGAGATGGTCGATGACATGGCTCCAGCTTGGAATTTCGAGGTGTGCAATCACCAGTACTTGCGTGTTTGTACTGATATCGGAGGATATGTACGGGGCAAGCCTGAGCCAGCTGGTGGTGAGAGTGGGATGACAGGATAAGGTAGGGGAAGACGATTGGCTGGTGTGGCCATGTCGATGCAGCAAGACACAACGACTGCAGTAGAGCCTCAAGTCCCTCGATTGCCTCAGTTTCCAGCTGCCAAAGCTCCCACAGGCTCTGGCCTCGAAGAGAAGAGAATCTTGAACTTGACCAACTCCACGATCTCTAACTCCGCATTCTCATATTCATCCCCCTCTGTGTTCCCATTTGTATCGGCTCGTGTGCCCACATCCCGCTTCCTGATAACAGCAATTGCCTTTGGTAACTTTTTAACCTCGCCAGTGAGTCGTTGATGCTTGCCCACGTACAAATAGACCTTCTTCATCCATTGCTGGCCTTCCACCCCCTGCTCGTAATCAGGGAAGACCAAGCGACCGATAGGTGTCTCTTGACTCGGATAGTGTCCACTGATATCCATAGCCGTAGGAGAAGAAGAATCCGGAGGAGGTGGGAGGTTTATGGTACCCTGCAATTCGAGGAGGGCCAGTCCAGAGGGTGTTTGGAGGAGTGAGGGGAGAGGATTGTGGCCGACGACATCAGGCCGCGAGGCACTCGTATGGATTGGTATTGAGGAGGGCATCTTGAAAATATTATTCTCACCTTCCTTGTTGACTTTTCTGTTCTCACTTCAACCACAACAAACAACAGCTGTCCTTCCCTGAACGTTGACAACAACCATCATCAGATCAACCATCCAAGCAAGGTAAGTTTATACAAGATCCCTAGCGCCGGAGCCGGAGATACTTGAAGCACCGATTCGGAGTTTAGTTATTCCAGTCCAATCCGACCCGAAGTTGAGCCGGTCATACACTAACGCTGGCAGAACCGGCCCAATGAACAACTTACAGTTAGCTCTTCTTGATTGTTGCATTCATCGGTCAGTGCCTCAGGAAGAGATATCAGGGCTGGCTCTGTCAAATTACGGTACTGAGTTCATTGATTGAAATCCAGTTGAAGTCTATTCCAGATGCAAATTCTCCCAGCACATTTCCCCTTACGACTTTGCCTTATCTTCCGCTTCCGGAAGCCTCATCATCGCCATCTCGCTGCGTGACCTGGAGGAGGGCCTGGGCATGTGACCTCGCTTCCTCAACCAACCACTCCTGGCGCTAATGTGACTAGCGTATTCTGAAGCCGCACAATCCCAACGACAACAGGAAGTTTAGATTTTCTCGCGACAATTCTTCAACCCAACACACGCCAAACGACAAAAGCACCTTGACCAGCGCGCGACCGTCAAGATGAAGCTGGTAAGTCCTCTGCATGTATACAGCTTCAATTGGATCGTCTTGCTAACATGTTGCCCGCTGCAGAACATCTCCTTCGTATGTTTCCCTGACCAGTGGTTCCTCGCCGGCAGCAGCATAACTGACTATATCACAACAGCCTGCCAATGGCAGCCAGAAGCTCATCGAGATTGAAGACGAGAGAAAGTTGCGTGTGTTTATGGATAAGAGGTACATTCCGACATCAACTAGCAGTAGAGGACTCCGACTGACAATTCCCAAGAATGGGCGCCGAGGTTCCAGGTGACAGCGTTGGTGATGAGTTCAAGGGCTACATCTTCAGAATCACCGGTGGAAACGACAAGCAAGGTTTCCCCATGAAGCAAGGTGTCATGCACCCAACCCGTGTCCGTCTTTTGCTGTCCGACGGCCACTCCTGCTACCGTCCCCGCCGTACTGGTGAGCGCAAGCGCAAGTCTGTCCGTGGTTGCATCGTCGCTATGGACCTCTCTGTCCTTGCTCTCAGCATCGTCAAGCAGGGCGAGAACGACATCCCTGGCTTGACCGATGTCGTCCACCCCAAGCGCCTGGGTCCCAAGCGTGCTACCAAGATCCGCCGATTCTTTGGCCTCACCAAGGATGATGATGTACGTACCACCACGTTCCATCTTCATCGCCTGCTCTTCTCCCTGCAGTTTCCCCGTTGGTTCGTTCCTCGATGAAGGGCGTTCAACAACGGGGAACAAGTAGACAGAATTGCAGAGTGTGGGCCTGTTTTGCTCCAAACCAAATGAAGTGCTGACAGTTTACTTTTTCCTTTTGTGTACAGGTCCGCAAGTTCGTTATCCGCCGTGAGGTTCAGCCAAAGGGCGAGGGCAAGAAGCCATACACCAAGGCCCCCAAGATCCAGCGTCTTGTCACTCCCCAGCGTCTCCAGCACAAGCGCCACCGCATTGCCCTCAAGCGCCGCAACGCCGAGAGAACCAAGGATGCTGCCGTATGTTCTCCCACCCCCGAAGAAACACGATTCAATGCTAACAAGGCCACCAGAACGAGTACGCCGCCGTCCTTGCCAAGCGTGTCACCGAAGCCAAGTCCCAGAAGGCCGACCTCCGCAAGCGCCGTGCCTCCTCCATGCGCAAGTGATTTGTTTCCTGGTCTCCTGCACTGTTTCTCTCTAGCACAACGGTTTCTACGGATATGGCATGACTCGGCGACGGGATCCCCAGTCGTGAAGCCTGGGCTCTCTTCCCCCTTTTCCTTTTTCTGATGATGCACGGCCCTCCTTGCTCGCTTGCCCCCCGGTCTGGGAGATGATAAAAGTAAGTAAGTTGGACGGAATGCAGCATGGCATGGATGGATGCATGTAGCTAGGCGTTCTCCTTGCTGAATCAAAAATACCCGTTGCGAGGGCAAACAAAACAGTCCTGCCTTTCTGACCCGTGCCTGTGATTTGATCTAATCACCTGATCTGCTGCTACCTGGTTTTCCAATCATATATACATACATCCTCCCTCTCCCCCTCTACCTCTCCCTCTCTCACAACCAAGCCATTCAACATTCAACGTAAAACATACATAAATCCAATTTTCATTCTCCAATTTTCCATTTTCCATCCAAATTTCCATTATTCCATTTCTATTTTTTTTTTTTTCTTTTTCTTATTTTTATCTCTATAAATCGAACTGCATAACCCCACCCCCACACACCCCCAACCTCCTCCCTCCAAATCTAGCTACTAGCTCCTACTATAACAAAGCAAGCAGCCAGGCAAAGCAAACCCTGGAACGTTTTCAATAACCCATCGCTCCAATGCTGAGAAAGAACCCCCCCCCAATTAACGCCGGTCTTGCGTACATGCCATCCTGCGCTCCTCTCAGCGTGCGTGGCCCCTGTGAACGCTCTGCTGGGCGAGATGATGGCGTGAAAAGAGAAAAATGGAAAGGAAAGATGACACCGGTGCTCCTCGCCCAGCCCATCCAAGGAATGATCGATCTAGTCGGTAGGAGCGTGCGTGAACAAGAAGCTCACGCTCTCGCCGTTGTGCGTGCGGCGGATAGCCTCGGCGAGCGTGGGAGAGATATCCATGACTCGCAGCTTAGAGCCTAGCTTGTCAGCTTTCTCGCCCAGAGGGACGGTGTTGGTGACGACGAGTGTTTGGAGCTCGCTCTTCTTGATCACTTCGATGGCGTCGCCGCTGAGGATACCGTGGGTCACGATAGCTACGACTTCCTTTGCGCCGTGCGAGACGAGCGTGGACGCCGCTTTGGCGAGGGTGCCGCAGGTGTCAGCCATGTCATCGACGAGGATGCAAGTCATGTCTTTGACTGAGCCGACAAGGACCATGCGGGAGACTTCGTTGGGGCGCGCGCGCTCCTTGTGGATGAGAGCGAAGGGCAGGTCGAGACGGTCTGCTATCGAGGTTGCTCTGTGAAGGGCATGTTAGCATTGTGGTCCTTGTCATGCATATGGCCTCTAACTGCTACAATCCCCAGCGCCAAGGGTTGAGAAGTCGAACAAAAAAGAAGTCTGATCTGGGGAAGCAGTAGAAAGAGAGCATTGAAAAGGGATGACATACCGTTTTGCACCCCCCGCATCGGGACTAACAATAACGCATCCCTGGCCCCCTCTAAAGTTCTCCCGAATCCACCGCAGGGTACTGGGCTCCGCATATAGGTTATCCACCGGCACGTTGAAGAAGCCCTGGATCTGCGACGCATGGAGATCCATAGTAATCACATGGTTGCAGCCAGCCGTCTGCAGCATGTTGGCAATCAGCTTTGCGCTAATTGGCGCTCGGCTCTTGTCCTTCTTGTCCTGTCGCGCGTATGGGAAGTTGGGAATGACGGCCGTGATGCGTCGGGCACTGGCAGTCTTGCAGGCGTTGATCATGATCAGAAGCTCCATGAGGCCGTCATTGATGTCGCCAGGGAGTGTTGATTGGAGGATGAAGACTGTGGGAGATCAGCAGAAGTTTCAAGCTTGAGAGAATAGGATAGATGTTGTAGAATGTGAAGTTGAGGAGCTACAAGAGGTGGATTGGGGGGACAAACCATCTTCATCTCGAACACTCTCACCAATGGTGACGCTCGTCTCCTGGTTTGAATAGTTCAGACTCATCGTCTTTGCAAGTTCGATGCCCAATCTGAGGATGCGCCATTAGCCAGATTCCTTGACCTGCAGTCTCCCAATTCAACACGGCCACACATACCGATCAGCAACCAGCTTGGCCAGCTGGGGGTGGCTGTTCCCCGTAAGGAGCTTGATAGAATTTGTCGCCATCTTGCTATCTTCTCTATCTTCTTCCCTGTGCCCTGCGTGCTGGCCTTCTCTGCTGCGTGACCTCGGTGGTATCTTGGCGGTCTTGTGGATAGAGGAGCGGAGGTGGATTATTAGAGAAGAACTGCCATCTACTCCTGTCAGGAGACGTGCGCGATGTGCAATGTGCAATGGACAATGGACAATGGGGAGTCTGCGGGGAGGCAAACGAGTTGAGGATCGGAAGATGTCGCGTGGAGTCGCAGAGTTGATGATTCTCAATATATAAATTTTAGCGGGGCATTTTTTTCTGACGGTAAACTGGCGGGATTTGCCGAGACGTTGCTATCGCTGGACTGTAGTGGGGTGAAGCCGTGAATTCATAAATTAAATTCACAATTACAACGCTCAAGTCAACTGTCAAGGCCATGGACAATATTTGATTGATTTACAAATCAAGTTCAATTTAAACATTCCTGTACACATTAAGCCAGCGATAGCCAGGCCGGAACAAAAAGCACGAAGCGACGGCGAGGGAGGCGACGGCCAAAGAGGCGGCGGCGAGGTCAAGTAGAGAGAGGGGGGTGTTGTATAACAATCGGCGGGTGGTATGTATCAGTTCTGTAGTATCTATAGACAAATCGTTTGTTTCTTCGGTATAACAAAGGCCAGTTGGTGTTATTCTTCTATCAAAAAAACAACTAAAATATTGTTATGGGCGGCGAAATCGGACTCTCAAGCCTCCCTGTGGCGACCGCCTGGATAGTACCAGCCGTAAAGTTGCGGAGAGAGACGTACCTAAGTAGCCTACCACCATTTGGAGGCAGTCGGCACGCGCCATAATGGAGAGCGAAGTGTGTGCGGACACTGCTGGATAATTTCGAGATTGGAACATCGGCAGGCTGCCATATCTGTTTAGTTCATAAGCCTCTGGGTTTACCGTTATCTGATTTTCAAGTACTGCTTCCTTCGGGCAAACTGCCCCAGGATATTCTGAAACTCACTTTGATTCACGTGCTTCTTGCGCTTGACTACCTTCATACCGATGGCCACTTGATACATACAGGTATGCGTTTTTGCCGATTATGATCGTTCCCATTAATCGAGGATCTATCCTATATTGAGACTTTCTAATGGTCCCGCAGATATCCAAGCAAAAAATATCCTCTTCGGCATTGAAGATGAAGTGGAGGAGAGAAGAGGTGATGAGAAGATTTGGTGGGGACTCCTGCATCTGCATGGCGTGTAGGTGATCTGTAATTCGCGTTAGCATAGGAACGCCTAGGCTGTGTTATGAAGTTGGCACGTACCTTAAGAGTGTTGTAAGAACAAGAGATGCTGCTGAGAATTGGTTGCAACGGGAGTCTCCCGTTGCAAAGATTTGGGCGTGCTGTGGCTTGCTTATCGGTAGCAGGTCAGGAGAAGTTGAGCGGCAATCATATAATTTTATATTGACAGTAAGAAGCGAACGTTTCTTTGACTGCTGGTGTGTTAGTATGTTGGTAGGATGAAATATTGGCCTTTGTTGGTTCTTTTTGTTGGTTTTGTTGGCTTTATTGGTTGTACCTCCCGAACCCCTGAACGAGTCTGTACCTGGTACACAGCCATTCCTGCCTCTCTGTAGAGGATTCTCCTGAGATGGAGGGGGTAAATGTATACAAGAAATTGTCGTTTCTGTTCTTCTAGATCTCTGACATCTATAGCCAGCATCTCAAACAATCTCACAACTTTCACTTTTACAGAGGCAGCGCATGCAACAAATCTTTCTCTCCGCACCCGCATATCACGTGATGCTAATCAGATCGCCATCAAACCCTCTTCCGCGCTTGTCATGATTGCGATGTGCAACGAAATGCCGTAGTATCATGCTAATCAGATCGCCATCAAAGCCCCCGGTCAACACTCCCACGCTTGTCACGGATGCGATGTGCAACAAATCTTCTCTCCCTTTCGAGCTTATCACGTGATGCTGATCCCGCTGCTTTGGAAAGTAAGGTAACGTTCAAGCACTGCCACCACCATCGCGGATTGCGACGTGCAACAAAATTTCCAATTCTCGCGTATCACGGGCCCAGTATCACATGAAGTCGGGATGGCCAACGCCGAATGCGATGAACCGTTTCCGCTTGCGAACGCTAGGAACAGCGGGGCCATGAATACCGGTTATATATGGATATAGCAGGCTCCCACTAATTCACAGCAAACCGTCTTCGTGGCTCAGTTGGTTAGAGCGTTGGTCTCATATTCCGATATGACATGAATGTAAACATTCTGGCCATCCAAAGGTCGTGAGTTCGAGTCTCACCGAGGACAGTTGTTTCTCCTCCTCCCCTTTTTTTTGGCATCTTTTCCGGCTTTATTACACAAACCCCCCCCCCCTTCCCCTTCCTTATTATCATTCTTTTTTCTTCTGGAACTTCCACTACGGTAAATTCAAAATCCCGTATATGCAGCCCCCCACATATACAACATCCAAGTCTTCGTGGCTCAGTTGGTTAGAGCGTTGGTCTCATATCTTGAATATGATTCGAATGTTTAACATTCGGGCCATCCAAAGGTCGTGAGTTCGAGTCTCACCGAGGACAGTTCAATTTATTTTTTCCCCTCCTTTTTCTCTGGGGGCATTCATTCGTCTTCCTTCTTTTTACCTTTTTGCCCCGTCGTTTTTTAGGTACTTTTTTTTTTTTTTTAATGAATGCCATTCTCCTATCGAGAAATCAAAGGACCTGATAAGATATCCGACCAACAACAAATCACATAAAACGTCTTCGTGGCTCAGTTGGTTAGAGCGTTGGTCTCATATCCCTCAATATGATTCGAGTGTTTAACACTCGGGCCATCCAAAGGTCGTGAGTTCGAGTCTCACCGAGGACAATCAATTATTTTTTGTTATTTTTTGTTCTGCTCTTTTTTCTTTCCCCTCCATCTTTTTGTCTCGGGTCGTGCGCGTCGGATTCCGGGGAAATTCATGATGAACTCGTAGACAGTGAGTGGGTTTGTAACGCATTTTTTATTTGGGCTTGGACTGATTTTAATTTTAATTCGGTCATTAAGAATAATAGGTTCGAATTCATACTGTATAAGGGGCTTATCTCATTCTGCAGCAAAGATATATATGGCGGTAAATGTAGACCTTGGTTTATGAAGAAGCGCATTTTAACTCTTGAGGGCTATCCCACCCCACCCCCAAAAGAAGCCCTCTACACAGACATTTTGTAAATGACACCAGGTTGATATGTCGCGATAGGAGGAGAATATCTCTAGCGCACACTGGGCGATTCATCGCTGAGTCCACAGCGGGTACCTTAGTTTAATGGTTTAGCTACACCTAAATCGTGAATGAACAGTATGAAGAAGAATAGGGTGAAGGTGGGTTCAAACGCTATCGCTATCGCTTTTTGAGGTCAATGAATGTATAATAGAACAGCAGGTCCTTCCCTAAGCCAGTCTGTTGCCCAAGACACCCTTCCTACTCCGTATGAATTACATCCATTCCCCCCAGAACCGAACGCGAGCCTCCCGACCTAATAACACCAGCAACACTTCAAAACCTAGCGAATGATCTCGCCTTCCTTCTCGATGCCTTCCAGGGCTTCAAGGATATCGCTTCCACCCAGCAAGCCTCTACCTCCTGCCGTAGCCTTCTGACTCGCAGTCCAGACCTCATGAAATTTCACGCTCCCGTCGCTGGAAGCTATCACAATGCAACCCTCTTGTGCAGTCCGACTCAACCCACGAACACCATCTCTGCTTGTTTGACTCTCGTTCGGCCCACCAGGATATGGAATCGCATAGAGAGCACGATGCTCTCCACTCCATGGTATAGCTGCAACCTGTTTGCACTCCGGCCATGAGAAAACAGCGATTCGATATGGGTGCTCTGGCAGGGCATATCCGAATGTAGCTGCAATTTCTCTGCGAGTGGTAGACCATATTAATGAGGTGACTTGAGCTGCCACGTTGATTGTGGCAAGACAGGCCCCTGATGTTGTATGGAAGAAATGAATGCATTGGTCATTACTTCCACCCCCGGTAGCGACGAGGCCATCCCGCCATGGGCAGAAAGCCATAGCTTTGACGGCAGCGCCGTGAATCCATCGATGTTTTTCGGATCCAACTCTGACCTCTTTGACATGGCCTCGACCTCCAATTGTCTGGACACGTCGCATTCCATCAGCACCCATCAAAATCTCCTCATCATCCTGGGGATTGCCTTTTGTACCCTGGAGCACAAAATGAGTTTGGAATAAACAGCAAAGATTATCATTACCACCCGTCACAAACATTGCGCCGTCACCGGAGAATGAAAGACCGCATATCTGTTGCGTATGAACTGAGATTCGCGCGAGTAGAATCGCTGATCCTGACCAGCCATCGCGGGAGACTTCCCAGGCATCTGGCCATTCAACCGAATAGTAGTACACGTTTCCGATTTCGTCTCCAACGAGTAGATCTTCGGTTTTGACGAGCACGCCAGGATTAAATGGATTTATCGATGGCCGTATTGTAACAGTGGGTTTCCAGGTAATGCACGCAATTGGGTAGGGCTGTTGGATCTCAAAACGAGGTAGCATGCTATCATAAAGTGACATCAGGTTGAGGGACCCATCAGATCGACCGAATGCAAGAACAGATTTGCAACCTTGAGTCGAAGAAAATGCAAGCGAGGTCAAGTGAGATCCGTTGGGATTTCCCCCATTCAGAAGGTGAACACCCTGCCTATCTGACCACGAATAAAGGACAGGCCCAAGTCCGACAGCAAGTGTGTGACATGTAGCTGAATATGCTAGCACAGAGCAGTAAAAGTCATCGCGGAGACCAGGAGCATCGAGAACTGTACGTGGTATCAGCTGAAGTCAATATTTTTAGATGGAGATACTTATTTGAAAGGGGCCATGGGAAGGGATGGGGCTTCTAGACTTGTCGGGGTTTCTGCATTATATTAGCACTTACAGTCTGCAGTGAGAGGCTTGGAGGATTTTGGATTACTATGTTCGGGGCCTCCTAGGACCCATTCTGTGCCTTTCCAAACTGTTTTCGATTCCAGGTCCGTACCGTTATGTCTGCTAATAGTAATTGGTTTTAGAGGAGAGGCTAAAGGGTCGCGGAATTCCAAGACCCTGGTTACACGGTCCAAATCAAGAGCCTGTGCTAACCGACCTTCATGCTTCTCCATTTCTTCTTTCGCGTTCGGGAGTGCGGCTGAGAATGATGTGGTATAGAGAGGTGCATTTGTTCCACTTACCAAGAGCCCACCGCGACCGCTTGGGACCCCAGTGCTGATTGGAGCAAGTCCACCCACGGTCCATATGGTGCCAACACTTACCTGTAACAATTAGCACGTTGTTCAGTAAACGCCTATTTTTGCGAAGAATGTTGTCTTTATAACGTTTATACACATTCGCACTAATCTGGATGAAAGTGCTCCCAGGAAGTTCAGCATGAATATAACTCACCTGGCGATCCCCGGTTTGCGAAGGATCTCGCTGGAAGGCAAGCACAGTTGCTCCTGAGTTACAATTAGACACGGGTCTCGAAGGCTTTCCTTGGACCCCTTACCGCCACCTCCACTACGATTTGCAGAGATATTTCGTCGCGCTGGTGGAAGGTTCGACTGATGTGGGGGAGAAATGACCTTCCGGCGAGGGCTGAAGGCGTCTGGACTTGCGCCACTATGTCTGAGAAGTTTCTCATCGGGGGAGAGGCTCTGCGGATCTTTGTTCGTCCGGAAACTCTGTGTAGAATCCAGAGCCGGCCTTCGATGAGGAAGAAAGCGATCCAGATATCTCAGAGATCCACCTGAATTTGTATTCTCGCTTGGTTCGAAAGTCTTGAAGGAAGGTCGTCGAGGGAATCCCGAGGAACTAGAACGACGATTCAGGCGGGGAAGTGTCGACGTAGCTAGTACAGCTTTAGAACTGTCGGAAGAGCCATCGAGTCTATATTTGGACACAGAAGTACTTCGATTTTGATCTTGGAAAAGGTCAATCCGACGTAATTCTGAGTTATTGAGATAACTCTTGAGGCGAGGAACAGTTGATCCACACAGGAGGGGTTTAGGATCATCCGAAGCACCATCGAATCGTTGTCTAATTGACGAATCGCGGAGATATATACCTCCAAGGATGTCCGGCTTTGACGACTTATACAGTCTCCCAACCCGTGATGGAGATTGGAAGTCTGGAAGGTGTTCAGTATCCCACCTGAAGGAGGCGATCTGGTGTCTTACCGACAAAACCCCTCTTCCTCCCATTTGTAAGAATAGTAGGAGAACTAGAACCATAACCGGAATCAGAATCAGGAGAGCGAATACGGGTCCTGGGGATCCGGCAGCTCTCATTATTTTCAATGAAGGACATCTTGAAACAGAGAACGAGTGATGCGAGGAGGCTGAAGATAGGCCACGACGGAAATATGGGCTATCCACTCTTCTCTCTCAGAAGTCAAAGAAAGATGCTCAAGAAGAAAAGTCCAATCAATAGAGGAATCAGGCCTAATAAAGTATGCTGGGAAACTGATCCAACGACGTTCTCTATGGCAAAGAATGACAAGACGTCCCTGGTCCTGGGGCGTGAGCCCCGCGGGAGACCGTGAAGTACGAAAGACACAATGATACTGCGTTCCCGTACTGCGAATGTTAGTAAATACTTGAAGAAACAATAGTATTCTTCCTGTCCTCGGAGTGGACGTAGAAGAAAATAGGAAGAGAAGAGAAAAGGAGAGGAGAGAAGCCAGAGGAGGCCGTTGGAGCAAGAAAGAGCCATGACTTTGTTTTGGCCTCGCTTAGCCGATACCTGACTCGTCATTTCCTTGACGTCTGGAATTCTGAGCCAGCGTCGAATCACAAGCTTTACGCGTTGGGAATACTCAAAGTCATAAATATGGCCAGCGTATGATATTTGCAACCCTTACCGCCCTTTGTTATGGGGCTTGCTGATGAGGGAGACAGCATGGTGTACCACGACAAGCGACGACTGAACCGAGAACGGAACAGTCGCGACTGAAGGAACAGAAGCAGATACAGGAGTACACGGAGCTTGTCGATTTGATAGAGAGGAAGGTTGGCAGTGACATTTGTTTCTTCAAGTCCATACCTAACAGTTGGCAGATTGCAGAGCGTCAATACACCCGCGAAGTTCTTGAACTCACTTCGAAACTCCTCATCAAGAACCCCGAATACTACACGATATGGAACGTCCGCAGGCGTTTGCTAATACATGGCTTGTTCTCCAAATCCTCGGATTTATCCTCGCCCTCGATGGAGTTACCGAGTTCTTCTCAGATCGCCACTACCACAACCTCGCCCGCCGACTCATCCTCCTCTACTACCAATACTTCCACGGCCTCGAAGGAGACCCAGTCCAACCTCGCCTCCCCGAATCCTGGGAAGAATGGTACAACTCTTGATCTGATAAAGGCGGATCTTGACTTTGTATTTCCATTGATGGTCAAGTTTCCGAAATGCTATTGGATTTGGAATTATCGGTTATGGCTGCTTGAGGAAGGGAACAAAAGATTAGAACCGGAGGTTGCAAGAGAGTTGTGGAATGGGGAACTCAGTTTGGTGGGGAAAATGTTAACGAGGGATAGTCGGAATTTCCATGGATGGGGATACAGGCGAAAAGTCATATCAGAACTGGAGAGCCCCAAGTTGCACGGGAAAAGCATGGTGGAATCCGAATTCGAATATACCACGAGGATGGTAAAGGCTAACCTCTCGAATTTCTCCGCCTGGCATTATCGTAGCAAGCTGATTCCAAGACTGCTCTCTGAACGATCTGCTAGCGACGTCCAGAGAAGACTGTTCCTGGATAATGGTACGTCTCGGCGAACTTTGCTTGATTGTTTTGCTAATGTGATCCCAGAGTTTGAGCTCATCACCAATGCGATATACACAGATGCATATCCCTACGCTCAATCAGTCTGGTTTTACTATCAATTTCTCATGACTACTCTTGTGGACAGCATTGGACACCTGACGATCACTCCCAACTTTACGGATGAAGACCGAATCCAATATGTCAGAAAGCAACTTGTTAATCTCGGAGACATGCTTGATGGTGCTGAAGATTGCAAGTGGATCTATAACGCACTGCTAGAGTATACTTTGGCACTATGCCGGATGGAAAATCGGCCTCCTTTAGATGCTGAGCGGCAGGACTGCACATCATGGTTGGCGGAACTCAGAAAGTTAGATCCGTTAAGAGCTGGGAGGTGGGACGATTTTGAGAAGACTCTAAGGTGGGTTGAAGTGGATTATCGTCTTGCCTCCGATGTAACTGGAGTTGAATTATGAACATCACGGTTCCCGTTGCCTATACGATTGAACGAGGAAAATGTCAACTAACGACTTCACATGAGATATAGTGAAATCCAACTTGCCAAGCCAGTGCCAACGACGGAGTTGCAGTAAAATATCTCTGATAAGCAAGGCTTCTGATCATGTGGTCCGTCCGTTACTAGAGAATGCCCATTCATATGGTTACATGTTTGAATCCAGCGATTCAGTGATAAAACAACGATTGGGTAATCTGCAACAGTCTTCCAGATCTGATATACTTGCTATTTCGCTATTCCTTGTTACAGTCGAGCCTTAAATTCATGATCCAGTGTATACATAGTATGATCCATGTAAATGTCAAATTAAACTGGAATTGATGGCTACCATCAGATGGGCTGAGATCCTAATATGCTGATTCAGTACACTTCAAAACTCACCTGGACCGAAACTTCCTTCGTTCAAAAATTCGGAAACACATGAGAACCATCGGTGATAGTAACACCGACACTTTCTTCCTTACCAAGGAACCTCCCTCATCTCTCCGCTCTCAAACTCCCAATATGTCCCCCCTGAATAGACGCCCTCATCATCAAGCGCCAACCGAGTCACCACCTCCGCGCCATCTTTCGGATCCTTCGCATGCGGCATGAACCCGGTGAAGGCAGTTTTCAACAACCCAGGCTGCACAACAAAATATCTAATCCTGCCTTCACTCTTGCCCTTCCCTTTAGCTTCCTCTCTCTCGATCCGATCATTCTCCGCGATTTGCATATGCACCGATAGGCCATTCAAGCCCACCTTACTAGCCCCGTATGGTACACTCCTCCCGATTTTCTTCTTCAAGTTGATCGTCATGCTGCCCAAGCCAGACGTGATGTTGATTACCTTTGGCGATTTGGCGGCGTGGAGGAGCGGGAGGAAAGCAGTAGTGACGACCGCAACAGAGGTCATATTGACGTTGAAGACATCATTATACGTGTTCCTGATATCAGACAACGTCACATCTGGTTTCCGTCCTATGAACCCGATCCCAGCATTGTTTACGAGCACTTTATCGAGTCAATGTATATAGTATATATCGAGCTTACAAACCCCCAACAGGAAGCGGATCTGGTTTCGAGAAAGAGGGGGTTGTTCTTACCGTCAAGTTTCCCATACTTCTTTTGCACTGTGTCCACAGCTGCCTCGATTTGCTCGTCGTTGGTGACGTCGAGCTGGAGCACTTCAATCTCGGCTTTCACACCCAGATCTTTCAGTCTCTTCACGGAGTCGTAGCCGGACTCCAGATTGCGAGATCCGAGGAGGTAGGTTGCGGAGGGATCGCGTAGAGCAGTTACGTGAATAGTCTCAAATCCCAACCCCTGATTCGCACCGGTGACGAGTACGACTTTTGAAGACATATTGAACAATTGTGTCGGTGAGTTGGTTTCTTTTGTTTGATTTTTCTTTTATTGATTTTGATAAAAATCAATAGGGAACAGAGAGGTTTAAGTAGGTCAGAGAGCTGTTCAAAGATAGGACTGAAGCCGGAGTTAATATGGAGTTAAGAATGCGATTGACACTATTCAGCCTTATGTCAGATTTTAGTTGTTCGTTGGTTCTCTATGTTGGATCTTGGTTCTCGTGACGGCACGGGAGATGGATGGTCTATTTGTTACCTTCGTATTGAGCCGCTCTTATCGAGATAATGCCCCTCTTCCTTCTAATGCCCCACGTTAACTGATGTTGGTTGCCCCGCGACATAAGTGCTTGCCAACATCAACTTATGAGGGAATGATTTCATTTCCTCTCGTATATACCTATACTTTATGGTTTAAGAAATGATGTCTGACATCACCAAGCCCGCCTCGGGTTCGGATGCCGTCGACATTAGGCCCTTAAACCATAATCCCAAGTTTTGGCCCCCCTGTGACATTAATAGCTTCCCCGGGCTACTTAACCCCTATTGTATCTTTCTGCATCTCGCCTCTATCCAGAGCATGTTTGCCTCGGCTGGGTTGTCAGGGACGTCACAAGTGTTGTAAGATCAAGACTAATAGCGTTGAGTATTAACTATACTATATGGGAATAGTTCCATTACATTTGCCTTGAACCAAACTGGCTCTCGCTCCGACCAATCCATCAAAATATGCAAGCACGGTCTCTAATGGTACCATATCCATCAGGCCCAAACTTGGGTTGGAGCTTCGCATGACTTGGCCACCCCACAAAACACGGAGGTAGTAGCCACTTGAACTCGTGGGGAAAGTTGGGGATGGTCTTGCCGAGGAATGGGGTATTGGCGGTACCGGGGTGGAAGCCTTCTTATAAAGTTCAAAAACGACTTCTGAGCCCATTCCTGGCCAAACCATTACATCTATCTGCAACACAGAAAGCAGTCTCGATATGGACCCGTCGTGTGCAACGTTGTGTCTGTAAATCACGCTGCTATTTCCACTGATAAAATCCCGGATGTGAGTGGTGAGCTCCCCGATCCATACGCCATAGCTTGTTGCACTTGCAGCCAAACTCCTCGGATCGTCACGGTACATATAAGAGTACTCGTAATTGCCCAGTCGATAGACTTCATCAGCCTCATCTTGAGTAACACACGTCGTCGAGTTCACCCCGTTGACAAGTTTGCATGGAAGAGGCTTTGCGTGGCATTGACGTGCCGAAAGGTTGTCGTAGTAATGGTCGAAGCTGGCATGAAAGCCAGGGTCAGTGGGCGAGACACCAGAAATATTGTCAAGGGTGGCATAAAGAGGTGCTGCAGCCGACAGGTGACTCGTCCAATTGGCCCCAGATTCAATAGCGGAGAATAGGTTGGAGGACACAGGGCAAGTATATGTTGGTTCTAAGGAGTCAATTCCGCTGGCCTGAGATGATCTCATTAGCTTTCGTATGGACGCTTTGCTACAACTAAACTTACCTCCACCAAGAGGGGGTAGTCTGCTTCTGTGCCCAACATCCCATTGATAACCATACCTGCGACTTCGCTGGTGATAACATTCTGGGTTACTCGGAATGTAATTTTATCGTCGACATTGTCTGGCAAGAACCGCAGTATATCATGATATACGTGGTACAAATCCTTGCCATGCTGCCAAGAATCGTCCAACCCATCTGCAGTGATTTGCGGAAACTGACAAGTTCCCAAAAAGCCAGATGGCACGAAGGGGTTCGTGGGGGATATATATCCTTGCCAGTATGCGTTTGCAGACTTCTTCCCGGATTTTGGCTGCCCATAGTAAAAGAGACCCTCGTCGTCGCAGTTCCAACCGTATGATTCGACAGGGAAGGAGTTTGATGCGTATACGGTTCGTTTATGATGTCTGTGGATCTGAGAAATGAAAGATTAGCGCTGGCCCTTTATTCCTTAGACTATAGCTTACCACTTCTACGTACTGCAACTGGTATTCAGGCGATGGACGTTTGTATTCAGTCGCACGCACATGCGGCATGTTGCACCAATTGTAGGTTCCATATTCGTTGGGGGGAGTCGTAGAGCTGTTGTAGATGAACCCGTAAACACCTGAACCTCCAATGACCTGAGATAAGTCATTGATAACTGTGGCATTCGGTGGATACCAGCTGATGTCGACTGTCGAAGCTGCCTTGCCATGACGTGCAAGAGAAGCCGCCAGGGCGGCCATAAAGGTGGCTCTCGGATTGGAGCGCATAGCTAAGGTATCTTGACGAATGAAGCAATATAATGATATGGCCCCAAGCGCAAGAATGAGCCTGGTTATCGAGAGAAAACGCCAAGGACTAGTACTTGGGCTCTTGGGGTCTGCATCCATACTTATATCCCTGAAAGCTCTCTCAACTCCAGGCGTTGATGGATGCACTCATTTCCGGACGATCCCTACTAGAGGGGCCCGTCATGAAGAGGAGGCTATACTTTGACCAGTCAATACCAGCCATTTCGCATCGTTCGGGGCGGATGTTCGAAGTGGGATTGGGAGGCGGTTGTTTGAAAAGGAAGAGCGCGCACAGTTTGAGGTTGGCCATTGCACGTGCTGAAACCTCGCCAGCGATATGGCTGGTTCGGTCCTCGATATACAGCATCCCTCCTCTTATCTCCCGCGGAACAGCATCTACAGTACATGCGCCCAGATAAAAGGATGCAATATAGTCGAGGAGTTGACTGCATTGTTACTCCGAAACCCGAATATACACTGACTGCTGTCTTCAGAGCGAAACTGGAGAGCAACAGACCAACGACTCCAAAAGCAATCTGTGCATTTCCAACCTCCCACACCCCTGCGTACCACGAAACTCTTAACAAGGAAACAATTTTCCAGTTACCAGTTCAAACATAGATCCGAGTCCTCGGCTTAGAAGCTGCCAGTAAATTTGTTTCCCAGATGGCTCTTTAATGATACTGTCTGCGACCTCACTAAAGGTGCTCACCCCAAATCCGTATTGCAACAGGTAAGGATGGAAGTATAGAAACTGAACAAGGATTCATACTCTCTAGCATTTGAAGCTTAGCCCTGCCCCGATTCTTTAACTTCTGGATGTAGTTATCCTGAAAGTATCTTTCTTTTTGATTCTCTACCTCATACTCGGCAGTATTTCTTTTACAGCATATGTCTTTAAGTTCGCCTGTCTCTTGTTTCTTGATGCTCTCTCATTCAATAGTCAATGCATTTGGAATCATCTTCGAGTATCAAACAAGTATGCTTTGTTGCGCCAATTATGTAGCGTGATCAGTGCTCAACCTATATACAAGACGTTCCTTGGCTGCTCCTTGTTTCATTAAGAAACACACATCAAACTCTTCAGAACATCTACAAATGGAAGAAGACCTGGAGTAGAAGCCGACATTTTTCTTTGTGAATAAGAGACTCGGAGTCATCCTGAGGTCGACAAGGTGATTGTCAAGCCGAGATGCTCTGGGAAGAATCTACTATCTCGATCCTTTCTCTCGAGGACAGTTGAAAGAACCTGAGCGGTCTTGGCAGTATCAGAGTCCATTGACCGGCGAAGGGGGAAGGGGGAGGGTGGTGGACGAGGTTATAAAATCCGAGTCGTACCGTACTTAAGAGCTCTCCAGTCTTTTCTTCGCTATCCCTCAAATATCAGAAGAAGCCAACAAAACAAACAGACGTCATGTCTCAACCGCAAATACCAGAACCGACAACCCTCCAACCCTCTTTCAAGATGGCACCAAAGAAAACGGAACTCACACCCAAAACAACCCAAGTCCCTACTATCATTGCTGAGTTCCACCTCTTCCCCAAGCTCCCCACCGAGATGCGTCTAGAGATCTGGCATCTGGTAGAGCAAGTCCCATCCCTCGTCACCAGGCGAGATATCCTCAAGGGTAAATATTCCTCAGAGTATTCTCGCCCCGTGCCTGCAGTTCTACATGCTTGTAGAGAGTCCCGGTACGAGTTTCTGGCTCGAGCTGGGGTCAACCAAAGACACACCACATACCAGCTGTGCGGTGGACTATATGAGCACCAGCTTTTTTTTGTCTGTATGGAAACCGATACTGTATTTTCGGGAGGTGAGGACTTTATTTTATTTTATATTTTGTTCCTTACTCTCTTCCACCCTCTGTTGATGAAAGCAAGACTAATAGTATTTAGATGTTTTCGACGCCATGGGCATCAGCAATCTCCGCCATCTCGCTCTGTACTGGCGTACAATGTATTTTGAACTAGACTACTTGCCTGATCTTAAATTTCTCCGGACTCTGACTGTTGTCTATGATTGTCCCGGCCATACTATTGAAACTCTAGCTCCTGAAGTCGAGGCCGAGATTGTCAATCCATACAGTATGATCATGTATGATGAAGCGGGTTGGATGATGGAGTATTTAGAGACTACCTTCAAGAGCATGTTGATGGAGAAACCAGATTGGAAGGTCCCCCTGGTTAGGTGGCGTGCAGAGCCACATTTCTTTGAGAATCCACATGCAAGCAGGGTCTTGTATGAGGAGATGGAGAGGAAGGGCGAGGCTACGCAGAGTAGGATTATGTCCCTTAATACTAGATACCCCACTATTTAGAGTGCTGGGATGAACAGATTTTAATGTACTGTTGTTTGATCAGGGACTAAATGAAATATTCCTACACCTGTAGTCATGGTTTCTCTTTGCACTATATGTGATTCTTTGCCAATATCTTGCAGAAGGGGGTTTAGAGACGGACTTCTGAAGATCTTATCTAGGAAATAATTGTAGTGGAGACTTTTACTATTTTGTTATGATATCAACATAAAACAATTGAGTCCCAGACAATAAAGCAAGTAAGCTCGTCAAAAATGAGCAGGATAAAGACGAGGCTGTAGCCTCCCCAGTATACTTTTCTTCGCGAGCTACTTCGCGTCTCCCTCACCACATCTTCCCTCACCACATCTTCCGCAAACACCACAACACATCAAGTTTCGAACAACCAACATCGCAAGGCATTTTCCCCGTGCCATCACATCACACAGTCAAGATGGCTAATTAAATGAAAATAAGAAATTTAGGTATTCAGCCCACCAGGAAGCAACCCGGTCGCGCCGCTAGAATCCAGGCTGAATCTGAACGTAAACTTGCCGCGCAGTCGATCTCAATGGCAGGCAGCACTAAGGAAGAGAGTTCCCCAAGGTATGTCTTTTATACTTCTGTCTGCTTTGCTCTGAAGTCCATCTATCCTCTCCGTTTTATCCCCAAACTTTCTCAATCTACTTTTCTGCATGAGAGCTGAGACAATCACTTTATCTGATAACAATCTGGTCAAAGGAATGCTAACATGATGGCATCTCAGACTTTATGGAAACCTTGTTTATCAAAACCCGATTGAAGATCTGACATTTTAGGGAGCCTAGTTTTCTTTCTCATTGCAACTAGAAATTCCAAGGATGATGATAGTAGATCCATCCGACTGTGCTAGACCTACTGAAGCTCTTCAAAGAGACAAAAGAAGAGTACCTGCATAAGGACGACATCAAGAGATGCCATCTTACTTACAAGCTCTGTAGTGGCTTGGCATTACTCCGCTCCTGGAACACGGCACAGTGTCTGACAATGACGGAGATGGGAGAAAATAAGATAATGAGAGAATGAGAAGACAGAGAAGTGGGCATCTGGATGCTGTTACAGGACACAGCTTGCAGTCACTAGAAGGTGTGGCTAAAGGAAACAACATTCTTCTTATTCTTGTAATGTGGTAAGCACAACCTACCACAAACAGGTTGGTTCCGTTATCTTTCCCTTTTGACTACCTACATTTGTTTGTCATTGGTATACTATCATTGCTGTCTGCTTCCTTGGAATAGTTGATAATGCGTGGCGCTCTCAAATTGAAAGTTGAAACTACCAAGACTAGGGTAAAGTTAACAGCTTCTAAAGCGTTGAATCCCGCAATTCAGCTCTAGGCTTTCTATTATATTTCCCCCAAAAGACAAGTGTTGATATTGAAGATCAGATGTACGGAGGAAGCCTGTCTAGAAGCAAGTGATCAAGACGCAAAAGTGAAAAGCGATAACAGGCATCTTGACAGTATCCAGACTTGCAGAGATGATAGAAACCAACGAGAGATCAATATTGACAGAGACAAAATCTGTAAAGTTTATGCACAAGAAAGGTACTAGACAGTTGTCACCAAAATCACAATCAGTTTCTGACTGTTTAGCTAGAATAAGTCTGGATATAGTTGTGTCCACGCTACATCATAACAACTATCTGACTATAGAACAAATTTTGTCTATCTTAAACAAGATGTGCAATAACTAGCTAGTCTTTTCGTTTGTTGTTCGAGTGCTAAGGGGAGTTGGCCTTTTCTCTATCTCGAGAGGAGGAAAAGGGGCCTAAGCGAAACGGGCTGTGACTGGTTGCATCATCCCCGACAACAGTTGACTGCTTTTCGATTTCTGTTCCCTCTCCGAGTTAATATTGCATGGGTATTTCACTTATAGTTTTGATTGCCTCTGGTTTTGTAATTCACCTTCACTTGAGTACCCCGTTTCCGCACGAAACCACCTAAGAACTACAGGGGAGGTATCGAAGGAGATCTAGATATCTACTCGCCTCTGACTAAACCCGACAACAGACATCAGAAGCAAGAACTAAAATTCAAATTCTCAGTTTTTGCTAGAGCTTGGTATTAACAAGCCACACCCAAGCCTGCAAAAGCAAAGTCAAAGACACATTCAACTTCACCTCGACATTGAGCCCATCAACAACAACATTTGGCAGAAGCGAGACAATAACAATGTAAGCTTCTCTCATTGAGTCAAAAGGGAGCATTCAGACTGATTGCTCAAGAAGTCAAGTCTAGAATCACCTCGACACTCTCAATTTCTCAACCTCAAAAGATCCACGAACTTCATTCTATCCTCGGCATTGAGTCCGCCACGATAGCATCTAGGACGATCAAGACTAAAGCAAGGTAAACACCCTCCATCAACTCAAAAGAGAGCATTGCCACTAACTACATGAGAAGTCACATCTACCACCCCCTCGAGCACATTCTACTTGCAGTGGACCTCGACATAGAATCCCTCACCACAGCACACAACGGCACCAGATCTACAAAACAAACACCTCAACTCGTAAGAGAGAATTTGCAACGACTACCGACCGCTGCATATTACCACACCTTTAGACATTTCTTCGATCTGAAGATTCGAGAAAATCACCTTGTCAAAATCGATTATCCAAGCCGAGATTTATCAAGTTCAGTCCAAGGATCTTGCTCCGACAGAGGTAAGCACCAATCCAACCTTGATAGGAGACTGTAACGTTGTATCTGATTATTGAAAGATAGCAGAGACAAAATGGGTCGCGAGCTCAAGAAGAGAGTGAAGGCTGAGTCGGCCAGCAAGAAGTCCACCATGACTGCATATTATCCTAGCACTCGCCGCCGCTCCGCGCGCATCGCCTCAGCTAAGGAAGCGGAGAAGAAAGCAATGATCGCTGAAAAGGTTGCAGTCCCAGCCAAGAAAGTCTCAGCTAAGCAGAAGACTAAAGTCCTTGTACAGAACAAGACCAGCAAGAAGAACACGGAGAAAGAAACTCCTACGGAATCTGTTACCAGCAATACCAATGCCAATATCGACTTGACCACTCGGACCCCTCGTAACCCCCTCCCACAAACCGCCATCACAGCTGGCAATGCCACTGGAGAGTTCATGGGCTTTTCTCTCCTTCCCCTCGAAGTTCGAATGAAGATCTGGGGCTACGCCGCACCTGAACCCTACACGGTCGTCCAGCGAGAGAGCCGTACCAGCAAGTACCGGTACACCTTCAGTCGTCCCGTCCCCGCCCTCCTACACGCTTGCCGCGAATCCCGCTACGAGTACCTCGAGATCGACGACGACGATAGTGCGCCTCTTGAACGCCGCCGCCGTGAGCACCCAGTCTACAAGCTGTCCTTCAACGGCCGCACCCGACGCTCCCCAGTCTTCTTCTCGACCGACATCGACACCTTCTGGGGCATGAAGGGTCCTGGTCTGGAGCCCTTGCTGGTTCCTGAGGCGCTCCCAACCGGCGGCACAATTTACCTTGCCAATCCGTTCTCAGGCATCGCGGAGCTGGATATCGCGCGCGACCTCAAGCGTCTTACCGTTGAGCTGGACATGCGCATCATGGAGGTGTTGCTCTCCTTCCCGAAGCTCGAGACTCTGACGTTGGTGACGAACGTTTGGAATTCTTCTCAAAGGCACAGCCCTTGGATTCTCCAGGACGGTAATTATGAAGCGTGGATGGACTATCATCGGAACGAGGTCAAGCTCGCGCTGGAGAAGCTGCAGACTGAGAATCCGCTGTGGAAAGCTCCGATCGTGGATGTCCTCGATACTGTCTACTATGTGGCGACAAGAAACGTCGACGTCCCGCTCGATGGCCACGGTAGTCAGCGCTGGAACCCCATTGTGGAGGATCCTAGCGACTAAGGGTTGTGACCAGACTCAGAGGACGGAAAGTCAAGAATCAGTTGCTCCGAATCTGCATATTCGTCTTTCTCAACACTCGCAGCTCCATCTTCCATGATGCCAAGATCTGGATTTTTGCTTGCCGGAATCGCATGATGATATCTCGAGTCTCGATAGAGATGGTTCTTCGGGGGTCTGCTCAGCTCTTTCACCGATAATGGCCATTCGCATTGCATCCATTCCATGGTTTCCCTGGATAAACAAATTTCGATTCTTCATTCAATTCTCCATTCAATTCTTCCCTCGTACCCCAACACACGCCCTCAAAGCCGCTCCATCGTCACATCCATACAAACGTTCACTCAGCCAAAAGAACCCAGCCTTCCCACGCCTTCGCAGATACCTCAATGTTTAATGGCAACACGACGAAGATTTCCCCATTGCTTCCGCACCTATGTTTCTTTCGCCCTGATACTCGTACTCGATACCCCGTTACTTTCACCTCGGTCTTGCTTTCCTCCTGGTCGTCTCGGTTTTTTTTTTCATCCATCTCAGTACCCGTGCACGCCCTTTCCTTTCCCTTCCTTTCCTGTTCTTTCCTTTCCTTCGGTTGATTTCTCCCCGCCACACATACGTCCAATAGCGAATCCGCACACCTTCACTCAACTCGTCAACACCTTGCTATTCAGCCAGCTAGCTGTCTCTCTTCGGATTCGCTGTCGCTCGTACATCCCAAATAACGGTAACGGGAGGCATTGGCGTGGAAGCCCTTGAGGATACGATAGGCTGGCTGGCTATGTTTCTTTCCTGGTTTTTCGACGCCCGTTGATGAGATTTCTTCTATGCTTGGTGCAGTTTCATGCTTGATCGCTAGTTAGTTAGGCGTGTAAATGAAAACCTTCCCTCACTGAAATTAAAAGAAAAAGAAAGGAAGAGGGGTTGAGAAATATGCGAATTTCGCGATGTGCATCTCTTGTGGTGTCTATACATCGATTCTTCGTATAGTGTCTTCCTAGAAGTATTTGTGCCGGTCTTCAAAACGCCTGTAGAATCACCAACGCCATGGGTAAAAAAGTAAAAATATGGTATGACAATCGAAATATTGCATATAAATTGAAAATGAAATAGGTATCTTGCAAAGACAACACCTCCCACCAATTTTATATATCTTAGACTTGTCTACAGAACGGCCGTCCGTTCCTGACCTGGAAATTACAAAGGGCTTCCTCTAATACCAAACCGATCAATCCGGCTATACAGATACCTCCCGAATCGCTAACGCTTGTCGCACCAAGACTAAACTCCCTGTCGGCCTCGGGGACATTGTCCATGATCTCCGCGAAGGTATTCACGTACACGGCACCACCGAGCAAGCCCTCCCAGAAGATGATGATGAAGAGGAGGTAGATGGGAATGAAAGGGGACAGGGATTGGGCAAGGAGGAGGATGAAGTTGCCGACTTGGAGGAGGGAAGGAGGGTACAGGGAGTGCAGACGGACGAGGGGGATGGAAGAGCGGGAGACGAAAACGCCGAGTTGATAGAGGAGCATGTAGAAGGGGTAGAACTGGCGGTAGCTGGTGAAGGGCGTGTGATTAGGCGCGTTGGGAGAGCTGGGAAGGGGGTAGAGGAGCGTGGGCGCGATGCTCTGGTTGATGGTGTATTCGGCGATGTACACGAGGAGAAGGGGGAGCATATAGGGGACGAAGAGAGCCCGGGCGCGCCGCAGGTTTTGGGCTAGGGTGGGTGAGGAAAAGGAGGCGAAAGAGGCAGATGAAGAGCTGGGTCGACGAAATGTGCTCTGGTATGCCTGTGTAGCGTCTGAGGGGCCGGGAACGAGTAGGGACGAGGCCACGGTTGTGTTGTTAATTTCCGGGCTGAGAATATCCTCGTTGTCTGCATCGTCGGTGGGGACCTCATCATAGAGCTTTGAGGAGTGTGAGAGTCGTAGGGGCCCGCGGGGCAAGACGACAAAGAAGGAGAGGAGCATTATAGCCGGGAGGAAGGCTGATGAGATCAGAGAAGTCCTGACGGATAGCCCAATGGTGGATGTTAGAAGAACGTAGAGCCCTGCGCCAACCAGTCCCGCGCCTCCTGTCCCGCTACCCCATGCGGCCAGGCTGAAGGGGCCGTAGTAGTGCGTGAGGCCTAGAAAAGAGAGTTCCCCCCCTCCACTGCTGAGAGATGCCATGACAACACCAAACATCTTGATGGAGATAGATCCTCCTGTTTGGGTATCGGGTGTGAAGGCAATAAGCAACATGCCTGCAGAGGACAAGGCGCAGAAGATCAGGATCCGGATCGAATAGGAGATGTGGTGGATGAAGTAGGGGGCGATGAGTTTTGTGAAGAAAGAGGGCAGGACATCAGCTAGGAGGACGACGGATTTTGGAACGCTGGAGCCAACGAGATCTTGAGCGGCGGAGAGGATAATCACATAGAGGACATTGTTGATGAGGCCTGGGCCAGTCAGTAAGTAGTTGGCAGAGGGGAGTGATGCGGGAGATCAGGCAAATGGAGAGGAAGTACCGAATAGCCAGAAGGAGACCACGACGGTAGCATCTGCGCCATGGAAAAGGGCTTTCAATCTTGCACGATACATGGGCCACGATGAACCTGGAGAGCCAGGAAGTGGGAGGAGTGCCGAGGACGAAGGAGATCTACTCATGGTAATGCGGCTGAAGAGGGTCGCGCAGTCACACGAGCATATCGCAGACCGGATAGCGGGCAGATGCGGCTCGAGAGGGGGGTTATGAGAAGGGCGCAGTGTATGCCGCGTATGAGCACACGGGACCAGAGCAAGAAATGGTCGAATAGAGAGGTATGGAGAGATCAATGTATGGTTTGACCTCGCTGTCGCTCTGTTGTCGTCGGAGGATGTGCGAATGCGCGCGATGGTGGCCTGAATAGCCAGGTTACTCGATCGACGGAATAATAATAACCCGCATCCCGGATCATTGGCCCAAGATTTGCCCCTGCGGCGCTAACCCCAAGTGACATGGCACTAGCATGGTCGCTTCGGTCGCTTCTGGCGCTAACAAACCCCGGTGTTCGCGCGGCTGCGGAACGGCAAAAACATCCATGCGGCGCGTTGATGCGAAACTGTGAAGCGCGAGCGTCAGCTTTCCCTGTTCTCTCCTCTCTCTTCACCTACTCTTCTGTGTTCAACACTCCAGATCCTCTCTATCCTCTCTATCCCCGTCTATCCTTCTGCTCACACCTCGAGACTACATCTGCCTCACCACGGCCCGCCCTCTGCATCGTCCTCTCCTCGGTCGATCTGCGCGCGGCCAGCCTGCTGACCAAACACCTATACGACCCTGTCAATGCCCAGCCCCTGCTCTGCGAAGACCGCTACTGTCGTCGACGTCAGCATCAACAACCAGAACCATCGTGGATACACGGAACATCTCTCTCTGCAAGGTTATGAGTGGCAGAGAAGCGTGACGGAGGGGAGATAGACATATACAAAGCGAAACCTTCGGCCTAGGAGGAGCCTGTCGAAGACGGAAACAATCCAAAACCCATTCGCCCGGCCGAGTTCACCGCTGGCACCTACGAGCCCATCATGGATCCCAGACAGCCGCAGCTCCCTTTCTCTCGGAATACTGCATCTCCATACGGTCGCTCGCCTTTTCCTCCATCGACAAATCAACCGCCGCAGTATCCGCCTACATCCCATGCTCCAGCGGCTGCTGCTGCGTACTCTGATCATCAGCGCAGACCCTCCGATCCCCCATACTATAACCCGCAGCGGAACTATGGCCCAGAGTCGGGATCAGCGCACTCGAGACACCAGAGTTCTTCGTCAGTTGGCCACGGCACGCCTGTGAATCGAGGCATGCCTCCTCCTTCATCTCCCCAGCAGCAAACGCCACAGCATAGCTATGGTCCTCCTCCACCCCGAGCACCAACCATGTCCGTCGGGCCGCCTACCGGCTTTGCGTCTGGTCGCGAGCTGCCGGCGCTGAATTCGTTAGGTCGTCCTTCTACTAATTCGAATGGTATGTCAATATCTTCGATCCTTGGTGGACCAACACCGGCGGCAAGAGATCAAACATCCTCACAATATGGGTCCCCCGTTCCCGCACCAGCTGCTCCAAACTCGGTCTTTCCAGGCCAACCAAATGCATCACCACGGGCAAATACAATGGGTCCCGATTATGCCCCTTTCCGCCGGCCTCAGACACCAGAGCATCAAAGATCTTATGAACAGCGCGATCATGGAGCGAGTACAGCGGGCTCTCCTGCAGGGCCTACGCATTATTCAACCCCAGATGGGCGCCGGTACGGTGCAACTCCCACATATGCTCCCCGTCAGCTACCGCCAGCGGAAGAACGGCGAGAACCTGTCCGAGTGCAAAATCCTAACGCCATCCCCGCTCGGCCCGAAAGTCAACCGACTACATTCAACCCTTCGCGACCAGCCGACTCGCGCACTCCGATACATACCGATGGCGTGTTTGGGAGGAGGGAGAATCCTAATCGGGTAGATCCGGCAAGGGAGCCAACATATCAAAGAAACGAGTACGAGGAAATGAATAATTCTGCGTATGCGTATGCCGAGAGAGCCAGGCAAGAAAGGGATGTCGCCATACAGAGGGAACGAGAGCAGCGGGAGAGAGCCCATAATGAGCATGCGAGTAATTTACAGCAACAGCAGGAGTTTGCACACCAGGTAGCACAGAGAAATGCCCAGACCTACAATCGGCCCCCTGAACAGCGAGAGCCGCCTGCGTGGATGAGGTCAGGCTACGAGACTCCACGAGCACCGCCGTACGAGCCAATTCCTGAACAGCAACCACACCAACGCGAGCCTGTTAATAACCATGAATTTGGAAGATCTGCTGTGCCGCCATATGGCGGCTATACAGCGTATGCGTCAAATGAACATAGATATCCCCCTGCTTCACACGCGCAGCCAATGCAAGCTCAGCATAGCTCGATTCCCGCATCACAGTATGATGTTAACAACCAAGAGCGCCAGAGACTTGCTCAAGAGCAACAACGACAACAACCGGTTTACGGGCAGCCATCGCAGAGCGCACCGTATCAACCCCAAGAATCGCCCACGCGGAGACAATTTGACGAGTCTCAACAGATCCAACAACAAGCTCCACAGCAAAGAAGCCTTCTTGGTGTACAAGAGATCAATCGAAAAGGTCGTGTGTCCCCTCTTCCTCAAGCGGTTCAAGGGGCCCAGGCTCAGATTGGTGTAGCCGGGGGTGAGCCAGGGATCAAGAGTGAATTTGGCCGCATGTTTTCAGGTATCGGTAGCGGCGTTGGGGGCATAGGAGTGCCAAGTCCAGTCACATCTCATCAAGGATTACCTGGTGCAGGGCAATTGAGACGTGAAGATGTGGATGGTCTCCAAGGTCACGATTCCCCGGTTGAGAATGGCGGTTTTAAGACTGCTCGTACTGCGTCTGGTACCAGGAGACGGAAGCTGAAGGAAGAAGATAGCAAAGGTGATGATGATAGTAGCACTGGAAGACATACACCTAGCGGAAGAGGGAAACGACCAAAGACACATCACCACCACCACCACAACCATCATCAGTAAGTACCCTACCTTGTTCTACATTCAAACCTCTAACCTAGCCCTGACTCAGTCACCATCACCATCACCGCCCCGATACTCTAGACAACATATCGCCGCCATCACAACCCAATCCTACACCGTTCAAACCAGTAAAAGGTGGTACCGTTTCCTCGCCACCGGACCTCAAGGCCGCTCCAATCCTACATCATCACCACGTTCCTCGTCACCACCACCACCACGTACCACCTGCGCCTAAACCCGCTATTATTCCACTTCCAAAGACCACTGTCCGTTCAAAAGCCGTCCTTGATGCTGTTGCTCATCTTCCTCGAAAACATCTCGGATACGATTACTATCAAGCGGAACTGAAGCCCACCGGATCAATAATCCCACGACGGAATTCAGGAAGAGGATTTGCCAGCACGCCTCGACCGCTTCCTCGTTTTGAAGGCTCGGAAAATTGCACCTTTACTATCAAAGTCCCACGCGTTTATCTCACCTCTTCAAGCAGGGCGGAAATCACGAGCCGAAAAGCGGTTTGGGGGACCGATGTGTATACCGATGATTCAGACGTGATCGCAGCTTGCATACACCAGGGGTGGTTCAGGGGTGAATGGGATGAAGATGTGGATATTTCCCTCCTCGGTCTTGAACTCGAAGACACACCCCCTAGTTCTCCGAAGGATTTCCTCACCGAGCCCCCTCGAAGCGGTCCTATGCCCGTCCCGCCGAATCGCGATTGCCATATAACAGTTCTCATTCTTCCGCTCTTGGAGAAATACGGCAGCACCACACGCTTCGGAATTAGGAGCCGCGAATGGGGCGGTGATCACGAGGGATATAAAGGTGTCCATGACGGGCTCAGCTTTATGATTATGAGTGTGAGGTGGGTGGAGGGCGTGGATGGGAAGGAGGGATTGAGAGGAATGAAACGAAGGGCATTACTCGAGAGTGAAATGGAGGCCGAGAGGGAGGACGTGGAGTTCTTCAACAGCCTGGAGACGTCCGAGAGGTGGAAGGACAAAGATATCACAATCATGGAATCTTTTGAGAGAGGTAACGCGGGAAGCTTACCGGGCGATATCAAAGGGATTGGCATGGGCAGCTGGTGGAAGCCTACCTCTCCCAAAGCGGATGATGCAAGTGCGGACGCCGACAAGCAGCAGCAAGGAGACCAGAAAGCAGATGCGCAAACGGAGGCGACCAGCCCAGAGGCAACAAATGGAGAAGCGACCAATAATGGCGAGCCAGTCCCCGGCGAAGCAGCGACCGACGAAGAAGCACCCGCCGCCGCCGTTGAAGCAGATAGTAGCAATAAGGAGGTCAAGAAGATAACAGAAGAAGAGCAAGCCGCTATCGAGCATGTCACGAAGCGCATGATCGAGAATGCTAATGCGCATACTGCTGGGGACGGAGAGAGTGTCGATAAATAAAACAGGGGGGCGAAGGGCATTAATTATTCGCTTTGAATTTGAGCAGAACGGTGTTTCATCAGGGGATCTCTCATTGCGCCTACCTAGGTACCTTACCTTAGCATCCGCAGTAGCAGGAATGATGATGGGTGGAGTCCGGGTGTTAAAAGCTCGCGCAGGGTTTTTATACTATTAGTATCGTTCTATGATTATCATTATCATTAGCTACCTAGGTACTATGCCTAGGTGCCTACCTAGGCACTGTAGGAAAGGAAGGAAAGTCGTTAAGGGATGAATTGATTCATTGAAAAGGAAAACTTGTTTTTATACGGAATCGGAAAATGTATAGTTCAAGAAGAAGAAGAAGAAGAGATGAGGTGTGATGGATGGGATGGATGTATAATTCCTGTTTTTCGACCCCCTTTAAAACGTTTTATGCCCCTATCCCGTTCATTGATTGATCTATCTACAGCATATTCATTCATCCTTTTCCCATCCATCCCATCATTCATTCCCTTACCCGATCGATCATTTCCCATCGCTCTCGTCTCTGCATCTATGCATCTATGCATCCATCTAGAATCTCAGATCCCACCCAATCTGCGGCCCCAGCTTCGGCAGCTCATCCGCCACGCTCTGCACATCCTTGTCACCGCGCCCACTGAGACAGATCACGATATCCTTGCCCTTCTCCATCGTCTTGGCCAGCTCCAGCGCGCCGTAGATAGCGTGCGCCGACTCTAGCGCCGGGATGATGCCCTCCAGCTGGCTGATCAGCCGGAAGCCCGCGAAGGCCTGCGCGTCCGTGGCCGCGATGAACTTGGCGCGCTCGTTGTCCTTCCAGTTCGCGAGCTCGGGCCCGACGCCCGGGTAGTCGAGCCCGGCGGAGACCGAGTGCGTGTCGGAGATCTGGCCGTGCTCGTTCTGGAGCACGTAGGTGCGGACGCCGTGCAGCACGCCCTTGGAGCCGCCGGTGAGCGTGGCGGAGTGACGCAGCGTGTCGAGCCCGTCGCCGCCTGCTTCGACGCCGAGGAGCTTGACGCTGGGGTCTTTGGAGAAGGGGTAGAACATGCCGGTGGCGTTACTGCCGCCGCCGACACAGGCGACCACGGCGTCGGGGAGCTTGCCGCGCTTCTCGAGCATCTGGGCTTTGGTTTCGTTGCCGATGACGGATTGGAAGGTCCGGACGATGGTGGGGAAGGGGTGTGGTCCAATGGCGGAGCCGATGATGTAGTGTGTTGTGTCGAGCTTGACAACCCAGGCGCGCAAAGCTTCGTTCACAGCATCACGGAGAGTTCGAGTGCCAGCCTCGACAGCGACGACCTGCGCTCCGAGAAGCTTGATTCGGAAGACGTTGAGAGCTTGTCGTCTGACATCTTCCTGTATGGTTGTCAGTGTTTATGGTCACTAGAAGAGTGTATATACGTACTGCTCCCATATAGATGGTGCATTTCATGCCAAACTTTGCGCAGACCGTAGCAGTAGCTACACCATGCTGACCAGCTCCAGTTTCGGCAATGATTTCGGTCTTCCCTAATCTGCGAGCAAGTAAGATTTGTCCCAAGGCGTTGTTGATCTTGTGACTTCCAGTATGATTCAGATCCTCTCTCTTCAACCAGATATTTGCACCGCCAGCGTGCTCCGTCAGTCTTTCAGCCAGATGTAATTGTCCTGGGCGTCCCATCCAAGGATAATATGATCGGTATTCTTCCCAGAATGCAGGGTCATCCTTGATCTTGTTGAAGCCTTCTTCGAGCTCAGACAAGCAGTCCATCAGTGACTCGGGGACATATTGGCCGCCAAATTCACCGAAGCGTGCTGGCAGAATTGATGGATCTACGGGGCTCTTGGAATTCAGAGCCTCAATCTGATCTACCAACCCGGGTCCTTTTCCGTCCTCACGGACAATACCATCGACGTGTACCGTCTTTCCATCTTTTGCGACCTCGGTCAAACCACCATTGGGAACATTCCTCCGTCCGCAGATTTGAGCGCAGTACTCCTCCACAGCCTTCGCACCTTGTCCAGCAGGGGCCTCGGCCAAGGTTGTGATGATCTGGCTTCCAATGACAACACCATCGGCAATCTGTGCGACACTGAGGAATTGATCGCGTCTGCTGACGCCAAATCCGACGGCAGCTGGGACATTTCCTGAGTACCTTTTTACTTTTGCTAAGAGCTCGGGTAAAGCAGCGTTCATGGATCCGGTGACACCTGTAACGCCCATTCGTGAGACCACGTATACGAAAGAATCAGCGAGCTTGCAAAGGAGCTTCATTCGACTTTCGGATGTGGATGGAGCAATGAGGGGAACGTATGATAGTCTGCAAGCATCGGGTCAGCATATCTTCAGGGGTTATTTGAGTAGAACGCACCCTTCCTTTGCGCACCAATCTCTGAAGGTCACGGCCTCCTCGGGTGGCAAATCAACAACGATGAAACCATTGACGCCTGCTTCTCGGCAATCCTTCAATAGCCTCTCCTCTCCATAGCTCAGCATGGGGTTGTAGTATCCCATGAAGAGCACCGGTGCCTTGAGACCCCTCTTTCTTGCTGTCCGCACCATCTCGAGCGACGAGGTGATTGTGACTCCATTCTTGAGAGCTTGCTTTGCAATTGTCAGAGACTTGCTTATCAGAAAATGAGAGGGTATAGACGAACAGTATTTGCTGTCTGGATCGTTGGGCCGTCTGCAATGGGGTCCGTGAAAGGGAGGCCCAACTCAATAACATCTGCACACACATCTTGTCAGAGGAGTTTCCGAATTGATACCGGGTTCTCTACCTGCGCCGCCTGCTTCCATGCCCAGTAAAATATCGACCGTCTCTCCAGGCGTTGGGAAACCTGCCGTGACATAGGTCACCAGCGCGGGCTATCAAAAGCGTCAGTCAGCCATGGGTCACAAAGTGCGGTGTATGGTGGCCGTTCAGTCCCGGAACACTCACCCTGTTCTCGCTTTTGCATTTCGCAAAGGTCTGCTTAAGCCCCTCCATATTGTAAAATCTTGCAAAGCGGATTTATATGTTCAATTGCAGATTGTTCGTGGAGAGTTGTCTGGGGAAAAGAGGAAAAGATTTCGAGTGACTGACTCAAGGTGGTTTTCAAAGATTCAACCCCTCCTACCGATTGGGCCTAGCCGTATTATGTAATCAACTGCGGATACATGCGATCAAGTGTTGTTAGAAGTTTTTGCTTCTATGGGTTTACATTTTACCAGTACGTTTATGCTATAAGTACCCCAATAAAACGAGGCATGTCTGTATTGAAGATTTGACGAGAAGGAAGAAGAGAAGAAATGGGTGCGCGGCTGTGGAATCGCAGCCTCGCAGGCGCACGGGCCATCCCATACAAACTGAGGTGGAAGGTGGTTTAGTCACGTGCAAGGCAAGTCACGAGAAGACTTATCGCGTGATCGGCCGCTTCTTCCTTCCTGACCGCCCGGCAGAATATTATATATCGGAGCGTCTTTAACCTCACTCGTTGCTTGCTCTTGCCACAGCCCTGTTTGACAACTCCATCCAAACCAGTTTCTACACCGGATTATTGCGAATCTATTGGGGAAATTCCACAGAGGAAAATTACATCACAATGTCACGGTTTCTACCATCCAGAATTCTTTTCCCATCCCGTCGTTTCTTGAGTTCGACCACCCGGAAAGGCGCCTTTGCGACGGGTCCAGCTCCACCCCGTCTCCCTCCCAAGGAACAAGAAGAATTCGAGCGCCTTCAACGTGCGTCAACAGGTGCATTTAGCACGCCCAAGTCACAGAACTATGAATCGCCTGCATGTACCGAAACGTCACAGCCAGCAGATCACATCGATATTGAGCTCGAGGTAGCCAGTGCGGCGAGGGTGCAAGCTACGGGGGAAGGGAGCGAACTCCATCCTGATATTAGGACGGGTGCGAAGCCAGAGTTTGAGGGAGATAGAAATCCGAAGACAGGGGAGGTTGGAGGTCCAAAGAATGAGCCACTCAGATGGGGCGGGAATGGGGATTGGAGTTATAATGGACGGGTTACGGACTTCTGAGTGCTGGAGAAGGGAAATTAGGAACGGGGGGAGTGTAACAACCTATGGTAGGACAGAAGACGACATGAAGCAGCCGAAAATCTTCGGATCTTTGCAGCCATTGAAGTTCCATTGATTGGAAATGGATCCCCAAGTTGTTGGGGAATTGGCATGATTGTCAAGATGCCTTTGATTTTCTGTATCTTGCTTACCGCTTGTAGCACACCTGAAGCTGTTTCGATGGACTGGAATATTCACGTGGCGGATATCAGGTATGTAGGTGGTGGTGGTGTCATCCATTCAATTCTCTCGCAAGTGCCAACGAGTAACTACTGGCCCAGTGTCCTCCACCACAACCTGTCTACACCAGTCTGTCGTCCGTCCCACCCTTCCTTTACCCCATCATAGCCTCCATCCCAATCTATGCTCCATCTCGATCAGTATCGGGTTTGTTCTTACCTTCGTTTTCGTCTTCGGCCTGTTCGTCTTCAGCTTGTTCTTCGACGGCCATTTTGTCGTCGTCGTTGGGCGTATCGGAAACCTCTTTCACTGATTCTATCAAAATCTTATCCACTGATTCCACAAACGAGCCGATAATCGAACGAGGGTGTTCCTTCTCCTGGTCCCATCCGTGGTGGTAGCGTAGCATGAATCCTTCGCCATGTGGTAGTCCTTGGCCTCGGATATCCCCTGGGTACGAACCCCAAGTCTCATGAATTGTACCCTTTGGTGCAAGAACGAAGATCTTTGTCAAGTTAGGAGCTCTGAACATGGCGTCGTAAGGGAACTGCCCAAGAAGCTGCGCCATGATTGCGTGAGCGCTTGATCGGGTAAGGCCATAAAAATTGTCATAAATTATGTCCGACCACACCATTGGCACAAATCCTATGACTTGAAGAGAATTGGACGGTAAAGGGAAAGCAGTATGGTCAAAGTTGAAGAACGATTTCAAAGCTTCGGGGCCGTTGAAAAGAAGAACATCACAAGCGTGGTTGAAGTAAATAGGTCGAGGTAGGTGATTGACGAAGGAGAGCTCCAGAACCCTTAGAGCAATAGCTCGAGATTCCTTGCAGGTACGAAGCATTGGTACATCGGCATCAGACGGTGCTGCAATATGGCCATCCCGCCGACGGACAGAGCCATCGTCGTCCGTGACGCAGTATGCTTGGTAGTTGACGTTGATAACTCGAGGCCCTGGAAGTGCCAAGTTCCAGATCAGATCGCGAATCTCGATGGGCAATTGTGAGAATTGGGGGAATGTCGGCAATCTATTTGCAGAGGCATTCCGATTCCGACGCCTCGCCAAGCTGAAGAGGCCAGTAGATGCCATAGTCGACAGCAACACGCGTTCTTGGTTAGGAGGTGTTGTTTTCGTGGAGTTTCGTCCCGACTAGTGTTGTCAAAGGAACGTTCAGATCAAAAGAGTCGCGAGATTGGGTCTAGTCGAAAGGGAGACGAAGATAAGGTCGATCGAAATAGTCTCGACCGATCTCAAGTGTTGTGAAGTTGAGATCGATCCAAAGTCTCGCGGAGTTGAGGCTGATTTCAATTTTCGCGAAGTCAACAGTCGACAGTCACGGTTAGTCACCTGCTGGAACAGTTGACTCAACAAACATATTATCGCCTAGACAACAGAAGACATATGTCACTGGACTCTGTTTGAGTAGTTGAGAATACCTCAGTTGTTAAGTGGCCTTGGACAGCTCTTATTGAACCCATTTGAGGGTCCAAGTCAATATAGCAATAAGTGCAATGAACACTTGCTATCAAAGAGGCGTCTATCTTCTATAGGTATACATCATCAAGGAATGAATTACTAGGTAGGATTAGACACAGAGGACGATAGGAGGATATCCTAAGATGCTTGTGTACAATAGATGGCTATCTTATAGTTATAGTAAGTAGTGTAGAATATTCTCTCGACTCCTCTACTACTGTTGTGGTTTGTTTTCATTTTTAAGATTATCTTGGCCTCATTTGTATCTCTGGCAGGTAAAAGAGAGGTTGGATCAGAAGAACATCAGCTCTTACGCCAGAGACGAGACTTTGTTGTTAACCCCCTGCGTTGCTGTTTACATCGCGTCGTGGATCCTGCACGTCTTTTTTCCAACCCGTGTAGCCCTTACACGCCATCTCTTATTTCAAGCATCGTCTTCGATCAGAACTACATCACCCTTGGCTTGCTTATCCCAGATTTCCTCCATCAGAAGCAAGTTCCTCTTTTTCGGCCCAACACAGACTACGCAGTAAGTCATAATATCTAAACACATGCTCTATCCTAATAACTTCTAGGACTTTCTCGGCGCTAAGATTCACCAAGCAGCATCCCAAACACATATCCAACATGCACCGACCCAAGAAATTTGATCCGCCTTGGATTGATTTCTTTACAAACCCGTGTCCATACTTCTTGAGCCAGACGAAACAGTTTCAATGCTTTTCCAAGCTCCCAAAGGAACTGCAGCTCATGATCTGGAAGGAAGCAATCGCAGACGGACGCATTGTTCCCATTAATCTTCATTTTGACGTTGATAAAATGGTGCCTCTTCTCAGAAGATATTCTGATTGGGAGGGGCGTGCAAGATTTCTAGCTAGTGGCGAATTTCGACAGTTGTTGTCCCTGAGACCAGCTGATCGTCCTCCCGCCGTGATGTCTGCCTGTCGGGATTCGAGAGCTATGGCAAAGAAAGTCTTGAGCCCAGCATTTGCAGCCCAGACTAATAGCCGCATGTTCTTCAATTTTAGCAAAGACGTGCTTCACTTCCAGTGGGACTCAGCAGCTCGGCTTTTCTGTGAACGAAGTCCCAATTTTGGGATCTCGAGGACTCACCTCGAATCCATGCGAAGCCTGGCATTGTCGTTCAACGCCATCCCAAACATCGTGCTCTTCATACTTATCTTCCGAGCCTTCACGAAGTTGAAGGAGGTCGTTATTATCTCGGACGTGCCGGATACGGAGAAGCAGCCTTTCGATCTTGCGGTGGAGATGAACAATGTCTGGGGTTCGTTGATGAACAAGAAGGCAGCTATAGCGGCTATGATCGAGGCCAATGGAGGAAAGGGTCGAGAGTGGAAGATGCCCAAGTATCGATTTGTGAGGACCGCTGATCTCCCGGATATTCTCGATTGGCATAACGTGGTTGAAGTCGAGGTATATGGATCCCAGCTCTCTCCATCGCCCTTGTTAGTTTATTACTGATACTCGGGATTGTTGCAGGACGAAGATAAAACTGAAGCTGGATCCGAAGATGGGAGCGAAGCCGACGACGCTGAAGCTGAAGCCGATACTGGAGCCGTAGCTGATACTGCAGCTGGAGCCAACTCAGGAGTCATAGCTGATATTGCAGCTGAAGCCAATACTGAAGTCGTAGCTAATACTGCAGTTGGAGCCAACACTGGGGATGGAATCAACACTCACGGCGGGACAGATACTGGGGACGAAGTCGAAGTCGACTCGGAAGATGAAATTGATTCTGAAAATGAAGCCGACTCTGAAGAACAATTCTATTCTGGAGAAGACGAAGTCGATTCTGAAGATGAGGTCTACTATTCTGCAGAAGATTCTGAGGACGAATTCGTCTTTGAAGATGAATTCTTCTCTGAAGAAGATGAAGTCGATTCTAGAGATGATGCTGAGGGTTTCGACGAGGATCAAGATGATTATCTCTTTGGCAACGCATCTATGTTTGACGATGATTTCATCTTCAATACCTCTTCACCTTACTAAAGAGTAGCCCAGATTCTACATCAAATACTTGCTTATGGTTTGAGCTAATACTATGGGAGACTTGGGTACTGGAATGCAAGATGAAAGAGGTTTTCACGAGGTATTAGGATGCACATTTGTACAATACTATACCGAGCTGTCACAGCCTGTCAGAGTAGATCTCCCCCTTTTTCTGCCAATCCTCCTCAAAATAGTTGCTGCTAGCGATGCCTTAGGAGTGGGATGCGATTCTGGGTTTAGTTCTTGATAGCATTCTGCGCATAGCGACTACCTAGGATAAGGTTACACTTCTTATTAAAAGGCTGCTAGTTAGGGACAGACACCTTAAATTCTAAGTTGTTCAACAATATCTTCTGCGTTAGACACCTGGCATGAGCTACTATTTGTACTGAGAAATAAATGCTCCATAATATAACAACAGGCAGCCAGAGAGTCCAGATTAACGAATTGATGAAGGAATGTCAAGAAAATGAGGAGTAGAGAATGCTAGTTGCACAGGATGTAAAAGGCCCAAAAGCTTCAGCTGGTTATTACAGCCCCTCCTCGCAACCATATTCATCAAGAGAGGTAAGAAATACAAGCCCTAGTATTGCTACCATATTACGCGTAGTAATAGTGATTGTGTGGATCTAACGTGAGGAACCAACAAATTGAATTGACTAAGGAAGGATTAGGGTAATTGTACAGTGCCTATATAGCATGAGTACCTCCGGCCCGTTGGCGTTTGGTCGAGCTGCTGGTACCGGCTTCGGGGGTCTTCTGCCCTGTTGGTGGTAGAGTATTAAACGGCCGAAAGTTTAACATACCCTGCGTGGTTATCTGATAGTTTAACGTACCTTGCGCGCCGCTGTTTTAATTCAACTAATAAGAGCGTTAGGATGTAGGGGCTTTAGCCAAGGTTCAAGAGTCCTAGAGGGATCTACCTTACCTAAATACGGGGATGTGGGTCACGTGCGCAGCGCACCCTAACATGCCCCCCCCAGATATGCATTCTCTCCGGAGAATGAGACCTTACTTCGGTGGCATTTGATGGTTTTGGTGGAAGATGGGTAGTATTTCTCATCTCTGCTGGTCTATTTACATGTGTCCTAGCGTACCTGCCCTATGGGCGTGTATCTCCATCCATCATGTGTCGTAGCCGTAACAGCTGCCCCCCCTTTCAAGAAAAGACCAGCGCCCTCGCTGGTATAACCCATAAAACAGAGCAAACATGATGTGATGGAGTGAAAGTGCAGTAAAGCATGTAAAGCAAATGTAACGGTGTCAGGCCGAGCATAAAAAGGTTGTTAGAAGCGAAATTGATTAAAAAGGGGGTGTGTGAAGTGGGCAGCAGTGCAGTGCTGAACGAAATGAAGCGTCCTGAACAAAATACAATGTCCTGTAGACGTGGGTAAGGCCTGACCACAACCTTAAACTATTCGGACAAGTCCGTCTCCAACGTGTGTTGTGAATATAGCGATCTGAAGTCATCGTTGTCCTCATCTGGCGCGTAAGTCCATTGGCTCCTATGACCAAAGCAAAGCATCGTAGCAAACCGTCATATACTTAGCAACCCCTCTAAATCATCGCGTGAAACCATCAAACCGTAACGCGTAACCAGATCCCATGGTCTCTCCTTCCTACTGGTATCCGTAGAAGGCGAATGGCTGCTGAGGAGCAAACTGTGCCTGAGGGCCAAATTGATGAGGGCCGCCGAACTGCTGAGGGCTTCCGGACTGCTGAGCTGGCTGCGGAGCTGGCTGCGACATAGTCCGCGACGCGAAAACGGTTTGGGGACCGTTTAATAAAAACGCCCATTGCTTCCACGAGGTCCCGGTCCTGCGTCTGTTGGTGTATGTGCCAACCGTATGCTCTGATTACCTTGTCCTCGCTCGTCATCAGTGTGGCTTTGACCTCGTCGGACTCCTTTATCGTCTTCTTAACCCAATTCGCCAATACCAATCCTGCGTTGTCGGTCTGGATGGTAACAGCAGGCATCGTCGGGGTGAGGGCCACATCGTCCGGCGTGGTGCCAACGTTCTCGTCGTCGTTCTCCGGAAGCCACCCCCCCTTCGACAAGCATAACGCCATGTTGAACCTGTGCAGCACCTTGTACAGACGGAGTTTCCGAGCCTTGATCTTCGCTACTCTCCCTTCCCCGATTGTTCTTCTTCCATCTTGCTCCTAGGAGTTGAGGGTGTTCCTGCTGTTCCCGCTATTGTTGTCGCTGCGCTAGTTCTTGTTGTTCTTGCTAAGCCTGTTCCTAGCGTCCCAAGTCATAATCGTGTAGGTCAACATCAGCTGGCGGCGGGATTCGCTGAGGTGGCGTCAAGGCGTAGTCACTATTCTCGTGACTGCGAAGTTGACTATTGAAAGAGCTGGCGGGGTTGAGATCTGTCGATTGTTGGGAGAATTGTTGCACTTGCTCTTGGGAAGATTCTTGTGAAGATGGCGCTGATCCTGATCCTTCTCTCATCCATGCTGGGCGAGAGGGGAGATCACTGTAGACGTGCTGTCTTCTAGGCGCCTCCTCTGAGACGTATGGCTCCGGATCGGAATCGGGGTCCATGGTGGTGGTAGTGGTGCCTAAGAATCTCTTGGATACTGCTTCTATCACATTCTCGGCAGTCGCCTTCATTTCTGAAGGTATATTTGAGGATCTCCAGATCAAGGGTCGACCCGTCCTGCCGGTGCGATAGGTCTTGGAGAGCGACCCGCCATTCTCCCGCGCAGGTGATCAACAGGGGCGTCGTATCGCTACAGATGTAAACAAGCACGTGCTGACTAGGGCCATAGTGTAGATGGGGATAAGCGGCCAGGGCGCCCTGGAAGGTATGGAAGTCGAAGTCGTGGACGGTGCGGGCACTAGGTTATCCGTAAGGGCCAGGGAACCTTGATTATCACCATATATCCGAATCGTCTTGACGTCTTCTGAGTCGACGCCTAACTCATAGAACAACTGCCTCAACCAGGCTGCCTCTCTTGCTGCGTTGGACAGTGCGTAGTACTCTGTCTCGGTCGATGACAGACCACTTGCAGATGCTTTGACCTAAAGGATATGGCACCCCCGTAGAAGTTGAACAAGTATCCGATAGTCGATCTGCGCGTCTCTACGCAGCCGGCGTAGTCTGAATCGCCGGCGCCGTCGCCCACCCTGGAAGTTAAGAGTTTCTTGTCTCTTACTAGACATTCCTAGAGCATTCTGATATGCCCGTTGTCCGCCATCTCTTTGACTCCTGTATGAAACATCTTATTCCTTGTAGCATAGTTTCAAAGACTGAGATGATCGCTTCGGGGTCTTCAAAGAGGTCAGCGACGAATAGGTAAGCGTGCTTGACAGAATCGATATATGGAGTTGGAGCGTCGACGTCTTTGGCTTTCACTGGTAGGCTGCGCAATGGGTCCCCATGGGTTGGGTTTTTATATATACGGCCCAAAAACGCCTTTAAGGTCTCTCGAGTCTCGATAGAATCGTCCATAACAAACAGATCCGTCCTCGAGGGGAACACACGATCGTATGTCCCATCTATAGGCTCTTCGTCAGAGTGTATGAGTCTGTAAGCCTCATAGTGGCCCGAGGGCTGATTTGAGAACGCAAACCCAGTATCGTCAATTTCCGAATCCTCCGGCCACTAATCTGTTGGCCCTAGCAGATCTACCCATCCATCATCCTCATCACACCACGCTACCATATTCCTCCACATTGCTTTCTCTCCCGAGGTAAAAAATCGCTCGAGTGTTAGGTAGTCTCGTAAGACCCTATCATTTATAGTAGATTAGTATAAAGATTAGTATAACAATTACTAGGACACGTACCCGTCTGTAGTGAGGTAATACGTAGATAGGATGGTCGTAGTAACATTCTGTCATTCCTCTCTACTGCTTCACTTCGTAGGGATGTTTACCCCTGACGAAGCACGTTTCGAAAATGTCTGCTTCCACCTTCTTCAGCACGCCTAAGTGTAAAGCGAGGTAGATGCCGGGGAGCAGGTCAAACATGGGACGCGCCAAGGCGATGTCCTTCTGCAGAAGGGGGTTCATTGTGCCGTGGCAGGAGGAGCTCGGCGCCACTTCTCAACCTCCTCCCTATCCATCCCCTTGATTTCCTCTCTCGAGAAAGACATCACGACGTACCCAAACGGCATATAGTTCCGGAAGAAGACTTGTGGCGCGCAGCGGGACGTGCTAAAGAATGCGGCTGGTGAGGACCCGAAGATCTTATCCCTACATCGTTGTCGGACCATTTCCTTCCTGACAGCCTCACATCAGTCCCTAAAGCTCCGTTCTTCAACACTCTCATTGAGTCATTGCTATCTCTGCTCTGAAGGGATTTCAACTCATCGACGTGGTCGATGACCCTAGCTTCTTTTAAAAGCTCTTGTAATGCATACGTAGAGAAAACTCCTCCCGCATATCTACCAGAGCAGTTGAGTCACTCTACCGACAGCTTGAGCAAGCTTGAGATTGTTCCTTGGGCACTTGACAAAAGTTCATTTGAGATCCGTTATCAACTCAGTTCCAATGGTTGTAAAGAAGAACTTGATCAGTCGACGACCTGCGGATAAACAAGAAGAGAAGAGAAGCAGAATCTGGAGAACTTGGCCCCGCGGGCGAGGACACCATGCCACGGGTGCCGATAGGATCCCGATATCCACCGGCATTTAAGCCTACCGGCATTGTACGGCTTCAAAAATGCTACCACTCGAGCTACTCTTGACGCTGATCAGACGGTTACCACAGGATGGCTGTGGCTGTGGCTGTTGCGGCCCTTGTGCCAGATACGGCGCCTCTCGTAAAGGAAGACCCCCTTATTTAGGCCAGCTTCCTTGAAAACTGAAGCACCGAGTATGTCCCAACACTCGCAAAAGCTGCCGGAACATGCCCTTCCTCAGCATTGATGAATGATCCCTTCTGGCGAGCGTCACCAACTAGTACAACAAGATGTAAAGTCGGAAAATGTAGAATCATTATGATAAACGTAGTCATCATTATCATCGCGGTAGACGGCACCTGGGGCACCAGAAGACTGCAAGATTGGAGTGCGCGGGGTGCCGGGTGTCGCTGGAGTACCTGGAGTACCTGGAGTACCTAGTGCCGATGTACTGCCGCGCGTGCGCTGCATCCCTGCAAGAAGGTTAGTCTCTTCTCTGTGGTCATCGTAGGGAAAGCTGACAGGGTTTGATACTCGTGTCTACAACCAATGTAGGATGTGTGAACAGCATCATCAACTTTAACCGTTCCAAAATCCAGATCATCCTCAACAGAGCGGGGTAAGCGTCTCAGCTGCGTCCATGTCTCGAATCGGGGCTGCTAGGTCTCCCATTATCTTTCTTTAGAGGATCTGCCGCAGGCACGCTCTCGGGCACCTTGAGTTAGACTCCGATACTTAATTCTAAAAACAATTAGAAAACAGATAAGACATTTCTACAAAGTTGATTCGGAACATACGTCGCTGGGGCGGAAGTTTCAAGTTTTCTGCCCATGTCGACGGTCAGTCGACCCGGCAGAAACATTCTCCTGTGAGTTGGCACGGCTCCGGCGAGCTAGTAGCGGCAACCTTCTTTTGGCGAGAGCTTCCTCGTCATTGATGAGCATTGTAGGATCAAGAGATTGAACCTAACATAAACTCTCGATATTTGCTAGCGACTTGTTTGGTCGGGGTCTTGGTTCCCATAAAAAGCAAGTTTACATGCTTTTGTGCACTCCAGAGGGGGCTGTTATCCCTATATTATCATTAGTCGGCTGGATGCAACTAGCTATGATCTATCCCCGGACAAACTTACCTCTCCTCCATTTTGCAAGTCCCAGGGGTCAGAGGTATGTCCCAGGAACTTCGTCCTGTCCAGTACCTCTTCTAGTTCCTCGATTGCCTTTTCTATGCCTTCCGCGTGTTGGTCGTCTTCTGCGTCGTCTGTGATAGCTTGGCACTTGCCATAGGTCCATATCCTCTAGCCAACAGAACTTGTCTGAGCATTATCTGGATAATGAGTCCAGGAGACTTTGAAGTTGAGAAAGTTGGTCCAGTGGGGTAGAGATATTCGTATTTATCGACCAGCCTTCGCGGGTCAAGACATGTAATCCATGTCTGAGAGAGCCCATGCCTCTCAATACGGCTTTCCATAAGAAGAAATCGGCAACGAACCACCTATCACGGCTTGGATCACCGCCGTTACGAATATCAGAAGCGCCGCAGTTGTAAGCATAGGTAAGCAGGTGTCCAAAACTTGGTAATTAGATGGACAGAAGCTGATACAACTCGTCTATTCCCCTTTAGAATTAAAGAGCAATCTTTCAGTATCAGCTCTTGAGCGTCCAAACTGTCTTACTGACTTCCATAATCCATTTTGTTGCGCAGCAAGTAGCTCTCTGTACAACCGGGTTGACGTATTTGTTCAACTGGTTGCCTGATATTGAGGAGATGAAGCGCACACAAGGGACCGCAGGGATTTAGCTTAATCCGAATATTCTCGGGACATCAATGGACATGATGTAGTACCCCAGTTGACTGGTTCGATATTTATGGACTGTAGGCTATGCTCAGGGACGCCAAAGTAAAGCCGCCGAAAGATATCAGCCAGGTAGAGAAAGACCTAGTGGGCCTTTCTGTAGGCTTTAAGGTAGGCGGTGATGATAACAAGGCCAAGCGGATTTCAAGCCTTTCCAGGTAATTGTAGGCCAATCAAAGGCAGCTCGGCGCTCTCTCGCTAGATCATAAGATGCTTTGTTGCACCACTGATGATGGTGAAGGTCCCACGAAGCCATCTGATTGAGGCATCGTTTGCATGCTACCGAACGCTTTGATGGAGCCATGTCGTCGTAGGTGTCCACCCTGTCACGAACTGGTTTAGAAGCCATTGATGCACATGGAACATGTTGATTTGGCTCTTCAGCGCAGCGGCTACCCCGCTCCCTCTTCGCTGTGTCGGGAAGAGATCCTGGATGAAAGGGGGTTGCCGTATTAGGGTTTCAGTTCCGCTTCTGTGGCAATCTCCTCGCTATTCAGAACAGTGCTGCCGTGTATATGCTGTCATGCGCGCATCTCTTACACATCACCAGTCGCTTGAAACCAAATCCTTGGACAAACAGGGCTTGGTCTTGTGTTTTTTGTCTTTCGTGTGTTGTGGAAGGAACGGAAGCTTGCTGAGATAGCCAGTACGGTGTTGAAAGGGGATCTGTGCTAGGACCTGGTAAGCATTAGCAAGAAGTCAGAGCCTGGGGGGTATTGAAGGGATGGCACATTGTTTCTGTCAAGTTCCGCCATTGCCCCTGTTGGGTCAACATCCATGAGAGCTCTGGAATTTACAAAACTTCGCACAAAACTTCGCGAACGCACTCTGTTCTAAATAGCGAGAAAGATTGCCAATCTTCTCATATATCTCGCCGCAAAAGCCCTTTCCAATATAGTGATGATGTTGGACTCTGTAGTAGGTTCTTGCTGCCGAATTGTGCTAGAAGATGCCATAGATATGACAGATTCAGAAGTGTGAATGCTCGTTCTCCTCCAGAGAATGGCAGAGATAGATATCGGTTTAAATAGCCGATCAATAATCACTGCTACAGCCAGTTCGAAGCCCATTTCAGGGGACCCATTGGTTCAAGGACGGGTCTTGTTGGAGACTACTCTGCAATTAGTAGGTTCCGGTTACAACTAGACACTTCTTATCTTACTCTTGAGACTGCGTCAAGTTGTTAGCCATACCTTACGACAGGCTCATTGTTGTCATCATCGCTCGAGTCGTCATCGTCCTCGGCAGCAACCTCGATGACAGGAGTCAAGTTCGACTATCATGGTTAGCGGGTCGCCGTCGATGTGAAAGTGATGTACTTACATTGTGGCGATACGTGTCCACCAAAACGTCCAAGGTTTAGTGAATCCAGAGACGGACATCAATGGCGACCAACATCACTTCGGCGATGGTCCGGGGAGCCGTCATCTGGACATGGAAGCAAGCTTGATGGATTTGGGATTCGACCCTTCGTGTGAAACTCCTCTGTCGGGATGTGATCTTTGCTTCAAGATTTCGACAGTGGCTGGGACGACAGGATGCGCGGCGACGGTGGCTGTGACCCGATCTGAGAGGGCGAGAAGGCGTCACTCATTGTTTGCAGGCTTATTTTAGGTGCAGAGTCCATATCACTGCAAGTTGAATGGTTGTTGTTTGTCAGACATCGTAATTGGCGGTCTGGACTCAAGACAGATTCGTCTTTGTTGATTTATCTTTGCAATGAGCTGTTGCTGCTCTTTGATCATATGACCCTGAATTCTTGTCCTCGCTGTGATTCCGTCAAGATTCGGAACTTGGAGGATTAGGTACGAAGTCGGTCTTGCTGATCAGTTCCCCTATGTCTTACCCTCGCCTGGCCAGGTCCTCTCTAGGACTGTGTCTAGGTCTAGCTGTGTCGTGGGCTTTGTCCTTGCTGGCTCGAACGCATGTGTGCTGGGATTGAAGAGAGGGGGATGAAGATCCTAGGACGACTGCATCGTCCCCATTAGGTTGTTCCCGAGACAATTCCCAATTTGCGCTCCAAGATAGAATATGTCCAGAGGCAGTTGTAGCAGGGGCTCACAGGATCGACTTGGATTCGTCTAAACAAAGACGCAAAGCCAGGGCCTGGAGCACCCCGTGTCTGGGTCGACGACTACTACTTCCCCAAAGTCCCTTGACGCGTTCACTGAAGTTCATTGGAAGGAGGGTTTGTCGGTCTCGACTTTCTCGGATGTAAAGACCACTTTGTATTCGCGGCCTTGAGTGCGCTTTGAAACGTTTGTGCTTGAGCTCGTCTCTGAGCTCTGTTTCTTTTGAGCCAGGTGCCGAGACTTGGCATTGGTGTTTTTAGTGTTCTAGAGGTCAAGTTAACTTAATCGTCAAGGGCGTGCGAATTATCGAGGGCGTTTGAATTATCGAGGAAGTGCAAATCGTCGAGGAGGTGTAGATCATCATTGATCAAGGGCATGTCTTGCTCAGCTTTTCTCTGAGTCTGAATGTTGGAAGAAGGCAGGATTGCCATTGATTGTTTTCGGCTCACTAAGCATCTTTACCATGAACGCAGCAGCCTTATATGTTGTTGCTTTGATCGATTTGTATCGGCCCCTCCGCGCTGAACGCTGCCTGGTGTGGAAGAAAGACACTAAAACTCTAATATTAATCACTCGCTATTTGGAAGATTGGATGGAATAGAAGAATAATTCTCGAGAAACCGGGCTTGAACATGCTTGTGCAGGTATGATAGTGGATGAGATAATAGCGACTCGTATAGAATCACCGCGCTTAGGACTTTTGATTTTATGACGAACTTCAACGCAAGTCCCAGCCTCATGTGACAGGCTCTGTCAGTTGACAATTATAGAGTTCGGCACAGCGTTAATGAGCTACCCCTTAGCTTAGAGAAGTAGTTGTGAAAGGAAGATCTGAGTAGCCAGGAACCATGGTCCATCTTTGATGGTCGCGATTTTGCTTCGGGAGAACATACTGTTCCATTGCAGCCCCGCGCCTTGAAATTGAAAATATTAGTGCAGTTCTGTCACACTCCTTAAAGCCGTTTTCGGTAGGTCCGAAGAATGCTTCTGCTTATATTGGAAGAGAAAGAATTGGGGGGTACAAAGAACGTAGGTGATAGACCAGGTGGTTGGAGTCAGGATTCAATCAATGAATGATTTGTTGACAGTGTGCCACGTTCTTCTGATAATTCCTGGATTGTCTCGGGATAGGCAGGTTGCTTAATGCAGCATATGGTGTGTCTGTCTAAAGGTTTGAATTAGCATTTGCATAATCACAAGTGTCTGAGTGTCTGAGTACTTACAGAATAGATAAGAACTAGATTCCAGAACAGGTGACCGTTGATCAGATTGTTCGAGCCGACAACAAGACATGACGCAGGAAGTGAGTTAAGGTTGTCGTGATATCTCTCTTGATAGTCTCCAAGGTCTTCCAGGTCCTAATCCTCATTTTAGGCCAAGGCAAAGCCTGTAGGGAACAAGTATCTTTGTGATATTCCAAAACGAGATCTGGCATACCCGATCCCTCGGAATTGATTGTGCAAATTCAGACAGCATGGATAGATGAAAGTAGCAGCCATCAAAGAAATACTATAGTATGTCCGGTGCAGGTCCTGGATTTTCGTCATTTCTTAACTGGCGTGTCTCGCGTGTGCCCCGTGAGATAAGGTGGCGCGCATGTTCATTTGCTGTTGAGGATTTCCTTACAATCCTTACTGATTATGATCGAGAGTGTTGTTGTTGGTGTCGAGAGATGGGTTTCCGTTTCCTCCGCTTGTTGAACAAATGGATACCTTCTCACGCTCCCCTTTCGCTTTGGCTTTTTTCTCGCGGTCTCAGCTAGATCCCACGGGAATAGGGTAGAAGCAAAACTATCAAGGAACGTATCTAAGCCTGAATATCGTCTTGCATGACTCTACAGGACTCGTAAATGGCCCTTCTCTCTTTTTGAAAACGACCCTGAACGACACGGCTTTGATCCTGGAACATGAGTCTCGAATGCGTTGTGATGTTGTTATCAATTGCCATGTCTCAATTGACGTCGTGAACTTTGCGGGGTCTCCGGGTTTAAGACGATCTCTGTCAGAACTGTGACGAAAGTCGATGTCTTGCCTGTGCCAAAAGGCTTATGTACTAATGTAACTTCAAGAGTGTCTGAAAGGGGGGGCATAGAAAGCCCTTCGCCTGCCGTTAAATGATCTAGAGCAGGGTCACTGATGGAGCGGAGGTAATGTGAGAAACTCCGCCTCGCTTAAGCCGTCAAGGTCGGACTCCGACTCCGTAAAAATCATAAACAGATAGACAGCCTCTCAGTAACACATGCTGAATCTCCAAAGAAGGTAAAACTTGATTTGTATTTGAGTAATATATATAAGGATGACTTCAAAATTTAGAAATGGGAAGGCAAGGGGAGTTTATATAAGAGATGTTGAGATGGCACAGCCGCACAGATCAGAGCAGGGCCAGTAACAGAAGTACAAACAACTCAAACACTCAAACACTCAAACATGCGCCATAACAGGGGAAATCAAGAGCCAGTAACTATACTGTAAAACAACAAACATATGTTGAGAAAGCAATCCAATAATTCATACTACCTACCAAACAACAGTTGAGTTACTGCTGCTATCCGCTAAGGTAAGCAAACTGTTTCCAGCAATCGTACCTAAGCGAGCCCCTTTTCCTCAATTATGGTCATGTGATCCACAGGGTGCCAGCAGCCGACGGGAAGGAACCCTGTGGTGTTTCGGTTTGAAGCATAAAGGTTTCAGGTGTTTGTACAAATTGAGGAGAGGTTTTGCTGCTTGGATCTTCGGTTTGATTGACTAAGGTGCTGCGATTACGGCTTGTGTATGCCAGTAAGAAACCTACCTTATGTAGAAGAGACTCAAATTCCCTGCCTTCTATACAAAGCATGAGCGTTGCTCGATGCAGATGCATACAACAATGGGTTGGAATTCCATAATTTCATAATCCTTCCATTGTAAAATTATTGGGGGTCACATTCTGGTGTGTTCACGTGACGGATACGTACAGTTTTTGCCAGTAGGTACACAACAGCAAGGATTGTATGCATCAGAAACAAACTTCTAATAATGTCTCGGCAACGAGAATGAATACTCATAAGCCAAGAATGACTCAGATGCTCAATGCATCCTCGCTATCGACCCTTCTGGTCAGTGAACCCGCGAGACCTAGCATCCTCCTACCTAGCAAATCATCACTGCTTGCTAGGCTGACGAGACTCTTCTTGCGTTTGCCAATGCCCTGTTCCTTCTCTAGCCTCCGAGCACGCATCTCTTCTCTTATCAGCTTCTCCTTCCGCCTCCTCTCCGCTTTCTGATCCGCATCTCTAGCCTTTCCCTTTCGGGAACTGCTCATTGACATCTCTAAGCCCATGTCTTCTTCCCCGCTACTCTCCGTCCTCCGTTTCGGGGGATGGCCGTTGATATGCATCGTGCCCCCGGCATCTGGATTTCCAGGATATAGCGAGCGGTGCCTCTTTCGTTCCGATTCGGCGAATACGGTGTCGATCCAACGAGCGCAGCGGAATATGTGTTTCCAGCCTTCGGGGAACACACTTACAAACTGTAGGAAGCCGTGACTAATACCTGGAACCAGGGACTCTTCGACGACATCTCGTCCATCAAATTCTTTGCCCAGATGCTCATTGTTTGCCTGTTCAGCCTGACGTTTTGCGAGTTTGGCACGTCGCAAACGCCCGGCGAATATGACTGTATCGTCAACCAACGGATCTCGCTCGCCAGTCAGTAAGTAAGTCTTGGGAAATTGCGCCAGTAAAGAATCAGGAGCCAAAATTGGAGAAAGGAGGTAATCCTGGGAGAAATCGGGTCGATTATGTGGCCCGATGTATAGGATGATCATTGCCCTCATCATTTCAGGGCTGAGAATCCGATCGTTGAAGTACGATAGCATTGATGACATTGCGAGTCTTGTCTTAAGCGGTTCAGGATGATGCAAACCAGAAGGCCCGCGGTCATGACTTGGTTTAAGAGTGGGGGAGAGATGCCCCGGGGGCGCAGTAGAGTACTGAGGGGAGGGTCCAGTCGTGGCTGTGACCGTGGCATCGTCATTCAGGGGTGGTGTTGCCGCATTCTGTGGTGAGAAGTAGTCATCTTCATCAGATTGATGCGGCGTCCCTGCGGCTAACGTATAATGCATATCTTTTCTTCGCAGGATATTTTTATTCGTTTTTCGCATCTGTCTGTCTTTGATAAGAGACATTTGCTCATCTGACATCCAGTTCCCTATGTTCATGTCTAGTGATGGGTAGACAAGGACAAGGCCTTCGGGAATTGGAAGGGGGGCTTGCCCTTGATATTGAAGCTGGTTGATCGAGCCAGATTCGATGATCATGAGAGTGAGGCCCGTGGCCAGATTTCCTCCGGCACTGTCCCCAGTAATCACGATTCGAGGGACCACATCCCCGGAGAGGCCGACGCAGCGACCCCGGCTGGCAATGATCGTTCTGTAGACATCGAAACATTCATTCAACGCATATGGATACGGAAATTCAGGTGCCTTGCGATAATCCAAACTCAAAACTGGAAGACCGGTCTTCCCAGCCCATGCCAGTAATTTATCATCATGTGTTCGTGGGTCCATCGCTACGAACCCCCCGCCGGGCACATCCAGAACCATCTTTGTGTGGTTCTTTAACTCCGAGAGAGGTCCATCGAAGTATAACCATCCATGCACCGGCTCCTTGTAATCGCTATACGGTGGTCTTGGGATTCTGATTGCTCGCGGCGGGTATCGCATAAGCCTTGGACGCAATAGATTCTGAATGAATTTCAAGTATGGTGTTGTGCCTTTGTTCCAGCTGACTCGCAGATGATCGACGGTCAACACCCCTCTAACCTTTCTAACTTTCTCATCCGCTTGCTCAGCAGCTATGAGATAATACGCAGTAAACACCATACTGGCGAGATCCCTCAGCCACTTCCGCCGTATACGCATAGCCGTCCAGAACCCGGCATCCAGCGCCGTTGTGACCCACGTCGCTCGAAAATACGATCGTGTGTAGAGATTTGCGAGGGGTTCAGGGCATTCGAGACCCAGAAGCTTCCCCAGATTTCGTGCGACGTAGAAGTAGAGGAGGGTTATAACGAGGGTCTGCCAGGGTGTGATGAATTTGGAGAGACGTCGCGAAAGCTTTCGGATGTAGGGCGGGCCATGTTGATTCCCTCTATCAAGAGGTTAGAAAAGTGCTGGTCCGACTTGGGATTGGAGATATACCTGAAGAGGTAGAAGGACCAGAAGGAGACAACAGCCAGGACCTGGATCTTGCGAAATCGCACTGAAGGACGACCCAAGACATGATCTGCCTGCGGTTTAGTATTTGAGCGATATAATGTGATGGAAAGCTGCCCTACCTATCATCTTGAAATGCGAAGGAAGAGGAAGAATAATAGGTGGTTAAGAAAACAATCAAAAAAAGGAGCGACAGGCACTTCTTGACATGTGCGCGTGCGAGAAAGCAACGCCGTCAAACATGCAGAGCTAGCCAGCCACAATCTACTCAAATTCTACCCTATCCAGAAGGTGAAAGGAGCAAGCCATACACGATCAACGAGAAGGTTGCAGCGGAAGAAGAGGAGACTCTAGGAAGTGAGGAAGTGAGGATGATGCGTAGGTCCAGTGGTGGTTGTGGTTGTGGTTGTCGCGGCGCACATCGTGGACGTCGCAGATGACAGTTGACAGTTGAATCCTACGGCAGCAAAAGAAGAAGAATGGACCTCGGAAGAAACACGAGGTTTGGCAGGTCGTGGAGGAATCTCTGGAGAGATCAGAAAAGATCATTGGAGCAGAGGTCATCGAGCATTCGACGGTTGACATGTGAAAATGCTGACAAAGACGCGTCACATGTCAGCCGATTGTTGTCTGAACATTAAAACCTTCAGCCTTTTAAACCTTCAGACTTCAGCCTTGCATCTGACTTGAACTCGACGGCGTCTCCCAATCTCCAGCCTTGCCAGCCCCTTTCTCCCCCTATTCAAAGATCCCCTCTCATGGCCTTGGGTTTCCGACGCGTCAACGGGCTCGCCAGGGATATCAACCCGGGTTAGACCAGCACACCGTATTACCAGCATCCTAATTTACTCCGCCAAGCTGCCCCATCTTCTGTGGAGTCTGGACGCGTTCGAGACCCGTATTTTCCGCAGGATCCGATGTTTCTTGGCGGGGTCCCACGGTTCTCCCGTTTCATCTGATGCTCGTCCAGGGCAGGGGGCGCGGAAAGTTTTTACGGAGCAATATGAAACCAAGGGACGGTTGTACCGCGAGTGTACCGCGAGCGGGCGGCCCTTTACTACCCGTTAAGTTTCGACAGTTCTGTTATAGACTCGAAGATACCCGACACAACCAAAGACGGCTCTTCAATTGCACTTACGATTTTCACCGCGAATCCTCCTGTGTATAGTCGTGTCAATGATGAGCGTCTCCCAACCAGTCAAGACCCGTCTCCACTTGTACCCGGTCTGGGCATCCAAAAAAAAACTCCGCTTCGCTTCAGCATTACTGCCGCCCCCGTCTCGAACTGGCCAGACCTCGCAATTGTGCAGACATCCGTGATGCTCTGCTGTCCCTATGCAGAACTGACTGCAGCGGAATCTCCAATCAAAGGGAAACCCTCTATAAAATAACGTGGCCATCAATGAGCCCCCCCTGAGCCGAGGGGTCTTGGCTCTTGGCTTCGTGTTCTGTCTGTTCAACGTCTCTTCAGTCTTCAACCTCATTCTCTCTTTTTCTTTTCTTTAATTTCTCTCTTCTCTCTCTTCTATCTCACTGCAAAACCAACGGTAATTGAAGGGAATGATTTCTTTTGTATCTACCTCCTGGAGAGGCCGCATTTGAAGCATCAACTTACAACCATCTTGTTCTGATCATTGCACCACTCGCTCCACCGCCCCTCGACTTGACCTGGGAGGGACCAGTCATTACTCATTGACCTCGCCACTTCACACGAGACTAGACCCCAGCAGACCTGCGATCCCTCGTTCAAAAGAGCCTCACGAAGTCAACATGTCCGAAGATTTCTCTGCTCCCGCTGCGAGCCAGCCCGCCGCCGCCGACCTCCACGAACCCGAACGCCCCTCGCGGCAACCCATCGACCAGAACCCCAAACCCGCACAATCACGCAAATCCACCATGTCGAATAAGGGAACCATTGATATTTCAGGCCTGGAGATACCGCTCGAGAGCGAGCCGGATCATCATAAGAGCAAACATTGGACTGGGTTTGATGGGTATCTTGTATGTCATTCTCGAATCCTTCAAACTTAATAACATTCTTTGCCTTTGCCTTCCCCAGACTGCATTCGCAGTGAGGAATTGATATGCTTCTTGGTTGAAAGTAACGTAACTAATGTCATTTCCGTTCAGGTCGGACCAATCGACGTAGAGCGCCATTCCAAGCTTCCCTACTTCCTTCGTCTCCAAGGCAGCGTAGTTCCCCGGATGATCATTCCCATCATGCTCGTCGGCGCCTGGTCAACGATTATTACCTGGCTCGATCAGGCCCGCGGAAAGAATCGTAAGGCCCCTAGCCTCCTTACCCGCCGTTCCCGCACAGGAAGACGTAGGAATGATGCTGACCAGGAATATATAGTCGGTGTGAATCAACTGTTGCTCACAGTTCTGGGGTTCGTGGTTGCGTTCACGCTATCATTTCGCACTTCTACTGCTTATGAACGGTAATTCTCTTTCCTCCCTTTTCCGCACCCCTCCAAATACTAAGAAAACTAGATATTCCGATGGTCGTAAGGCTTGGGCAACTTTGACCGTGCAATCGCGCAACCTTGCCCGCTATTTCTGGATACACATCGACGAGCGAGAAGGCGACCAGGGGAAAGATGATATACTAACCAAACTGTATGTATCTCGCCTCTCGTTTCTGTTCCATACTCCCCGGCCCCGGCCCCATGCACTGACTCCCACATAGAACAGCAATCAACCTTATTCTGGCATTCGCCATCTCGCTCAAACACCGACTCCGCTTCGAGCCCTACGCGCACTATCCTGATATCACCCACCTGACCCGCCACCTGGACACCTTCGCCAGATCAGCATGGGGCCCAGATCTCGAGGTCGAGGAGAAGAAGAACTGGTGGAAAGAGGTGGGCGAGTACTTGGGCCTGTCTTTCGCGCGGAGTAATCCGCGGAAGACAATCAAGAGGGCGACGAAGCCGCTGGGGAACCTGCCGCTGGAGATCCTGCAATATCTTAGTGCGTACGCCGAGGAGATGAGTGACAATGGCCAGTTGAAGAGTCCGATTATCTATGGGCAGATCAGTATGTTTCCTTTTCCCTATCCTCCTGCAGCGGGAGCAGGAGGGGAGGGGCGAAAGCTAATGGTAGATAGTGACATCCCTCGCCAGTCTTTGTGACACCATGGCCTCCGCCGAGCGAGTCCTTACTACCCCGCTCCCAGTAGGGTACAACATCCTCATCTCACAGATCACTCTCCTCTATGTCTACTTGCTCCCCTTCCAGCTCGTCACCGCTCTTGGCTGGATTGCCATCCCGGCCACTATCGTCGCCGCCTACATGATCCTTGGGCTGGCGACCGTCGGAAACCAGCTTGAAGACCCTTTCGGCGACGACGTCAACGATCTCCCGCTCGACCACTATTGCGATGAGCTAAGGCGCGAACTCGATGTGTTGACGAGCAGCCCCAGGATGAAGTTCAGCGAGATGATCGCCGCCGAGGAGGAAAAGAACCCCGTTCTTTGGCCTTTGAGTATGAGCGGGCATGATGAGTGGCGGCAGAAGGAAATAGATGATATCAGGAACGCGTTGAAATCTAAGGTGGTGATCGGGCATGCGAGGCCAGGTAGTAGGGGACAGGCTAGCGGGAAACCTTCCAGTCAGAATAGCATACTCAAGCCGAGCAGGGCTTCGAGCGGCGTCACGGTTTAAGAATCTTGTCTTTTTTCTTTTAGATCGAGTCTCTGTTTTATATTGCATACAAGAAAAGCCAGCGTCTGGTTTCTGATTACTCACATAGCGAGGTGTTGTCGGGGGTTACAGGGCTGTTTTTCCTAGCCCCAAACATTGGGAGGCGTTTTTTGAATGCGATAGATTTCATGATGGACACTTTTCTGTGTCTCCAATAGATTTCTCATTGTTGCTTTCCTCATGCATGACAGCTTGGACTCACAAATGACTGCCGGCTGATTATAAGATGGGTGGTGTGGTGCTGCAGGTGAAGATCTTTAATGTTATGGAGATGAATACTTGAAGAGCGAGTTCAGTTTCAAGGTCGAATGGAAGACAGCTGACAGGTGGTTCTAGATACTTCGATGATAAATCTGAGCACATAAAAAGATTCAACTAAGGATAGTGTCCTCTTGGCTAGTTCTGGGCCTTTCTAGACTTTCATTCTCTGTTTCATGTTTCATGTTGCCTTTGATAGTCCTCAAGGTTTCCCCAAGTCTCATCAGTCCATTATTTAGAAGACTCCGCTAGACAAGTTCGGGTGCAGATACATTTAACGGGATCCTGCAGGACCCTACAGAACCCAGCAGAATGTATCAGTTCCCGAGGTGTCTTTCTTGACAGTTGTGAGATTCCAAAGAGATCTATTGAAAGAAGTCCGTTTGTTCAAATCGGGATATAAGAACAGTCTGAGCAAATATTCCCAAGGTAATAATAGATGTCATTGCCCTCCACACAGTCACACTCGACATTCAAACAATGCCGTTCGACGACGTTTTCGTTTGGCAATTTATTACCTTGTTTCTTTTTTTCTCGTTCGCGTGCCTCCGCGAAATCTTGAAGGACCGGACTCCAGTTCGTATCAGGGACCTCAAGGAGGCAATATCTATCCTGGAAGACTCAACTCTGGAGAGCCGTGCTATACCAAACCAGAGATTAGTCGAAACGTTTGGAATCAAGAATTCTTTTACAACAACTAATACTTGCTGTAACAAATCGTTTATCGCAAAAGCAAATAGATTGTTGCAGACAAGTGAGCCCGAGTGGGAGAGACTAGCCAAAGGAGCATTATGGATTGTAAGCCAGTCCAGAAGCCCCAGGATGGGAGACCCTACTTCGCTCCCACTGGTCGATATCGTCCAAGCCCTCGTCTTCCGCATCGTCCTCTTGAAATTCTTTCCAGACCTTCGCAACCCCACAGAATCAGAGATCACGATGATCACAAAAAGCATCAACACGCGCTGGACCGGCTCCAAATCTCCCAGCAGCCAATCCCGCCCAGCCCAAGTCCAAGCCAAGGCAGTCTTAGACTACGGACTCCGACGAGTCTTCCAACTGGATCTTGATCCATCAGTCCCGATTGATCCGCGTTCCAACCCGCTCAACATCCTCCTCCTTACGTACGACGCGCTATGGCCGGTTGTCCTGAGCGGCTTTCTCGAACTTCGTTTCCATTCTCAGCACCGCGACGCTCCTAAATGGCGCAAACAACTCGAGCGCTTTCTCTCATCACCCAGCAGATCCACCTTCGAGGCTCCCGAGGACGGAATGTCCATCGAGATGATCGTGGCTGAGATGCTCCGACTCTACCCGCCAATGAAACGCATCAACCGGGTCCACAACCACCAGACCGTCGGCATCGACGTCGAGTTCCTGCACCGGGATCCTGAGATCTGGGGTACCGATGCGGAGGTTTTCGAGCCGGCACGCTGGACAGAAGATGGCTGGACAAAGGATAGAGAGATGGCTTATATGCCCTTTGGAAAGGGGAAGTTTGTTTGTCCGTCTAGAGCTGTGGTGGGACCCATGTTGATTGGGATTTTGGTGGCGGCTTTGTTGAGAAGGTTTGATGAGAAGTTTCAGGTTACAGGACCAGGGAGTTCAAAGGTCGTATTTGGAACTGAGCCATTGAAGAGTGAGAGGGATGCATATGCGCAGTTGAAAGGAGGAAATACCTCTTTTTTATATGGCCCTCAATGCCTAGACCCATTATCCCATGTCTGTGGCTCATTTGGAACCCCCCCCCCCCCCCCCCCCCCCCCCAAAAATAAATGACATGTCCAAGTTCCCAGAAAGCTCATCCAGTAGCTCTAGTCTGTACATCTATACTTTCTTGAGAAGTGAACCTTTCTCCCTTGTCTTCCAAAGTTGTAGGTAAGGTAGTTGGATCTCGACTCACTGGCACGTGATGTTTTCGGAAAGGGGCGTTTTTCGGCAAAGTGTGGAGCGAGCGACAGGATTCCGACCTCACGAAAGCGAATCGACGAACATAATCTCGAAATCCAAACTTGCTGAACGATCCTAACAGCAACCCATCAGGAAGTCGTCATTTATCCTGTCGGCGACTAAAAAGAGCTCCAGGTATTTCCCGCAAGGAAGCCTGTGAGCAAAGTACGGCCGCATAGGTGCGCTGTGATCTGCAACGACCGCAGTGTATTCTAGATGCCAGACTCGTCGGATTGCATGCCCAAGACAGTCCACGTCACCACGTCCGGCCATGTGATGATATCTCAACTAAGGCGGATCGAGTTGAGCTCTTAGTCGGGAGGGTGCTGCTGTTGTCTCAAGCTATTCCCACCATGAATAGTGGTGCAGGGGCGGCCATTCCCGAATTTCAAACACAGGCATTTGGGGGCCAGAATGATCGAGGCATTCAAGGCAATGAGTATTGGGCTAGTTACCCACTCAACTTTACAAATCCGAATTTGATCTGCGCCGTTGATACGGAGAGGATTTGCAATCGTTGATTAGACGATTTCATTCCCTCTAAGCTCTTTCAGTGATCGAGTGAAGAGACACGCCCAGCACCACAATTTTCATCACTCGAGCTCTCAAGATGTATCCTACTATGCTACTACATAAAGGACAGTTGCCTCCTTTCATTCATCCTGCATGAATGACGGGCCGGAGATTCCAACGCTCCTTGCAAACTGCTCCAGTTTGGTTCGACTGTGAGATAGTCAGGTTTGTGGGAGCGAGACCATAGTTCGAGATACGATCAAGAAAGAGATGAAGCGGCTGTATCATGAGGTATGGTCCCTCAAGAAGTCTTGAGCATGCTTCTCGTCCTACGTATTTGCCCGTCAAAGCGTCAGTCATACAACAACATGGATTTTCTTGTGGCCTTTCAAGCATATCTCATTTACTCAATCATGGTTCTTTTCTCTTCCGACCATGGAAACTCGCTTATAGACCGGCAAGTCATGGTCACTCTATAGGCTTTTGCTTGTGATGTCGCGACCACGGAACTCGTCTGTCCCGCGGAAACGTCAAAGTCGCGACCCGATTTGGGATCATGGATTGTGGTTTCTACGAGACATGGGACTCTATATGCACTGTACTTGTTTGTCAATATATTTTGCTCTGAGCATGGATTGCCGACCTTTCTCGGGGAAGAACTAGCGTCTCCCTGCGCTCGCGAGCAAGGCTCTGTGGGAGTATTCAGATAAAGATGTTTAGGAGAAGAATTACTACCTGCATCTTTGCGAGTGGGTCGCTGGAGAGCTCCAGATTGAGGACTTATGGCCTGTTGTGAAGACAAGATGCGAAGAGACAAGGCGGTAGTTTGACAATGGTTCGATTGTGAACACTGAACGAATTCGGCATGATGCTTTTCGCAGTAACTCATCACTCACGGCGGCTGATTTACCTGCCGTCACAACAATTAAGGGATTCGGTCTTTCACTAGTAGCATGTTCAGGACCACGAATTGTAAGTTTCCTTATATGAATATATGGAATATAATATGTGACGGTAGGCATTCAACTCCTGAATATCTCGATCTAGATAAGAGAAGTGCTGACAAATTAGGAGCCCTGTGGTGCGGATCTAGTTCTCGGAGTTCCGCGCTTTAGCGAGTCTCCCCCTGTTGCCCTCCCCTGCCTCTCTCCTACATCGGCCGATACTGTGCAAACATATAAACCCATAGACCCATCTATGCGCTCTTTGGCCAGCATTCCCTTCACTGCGAAAGAATTTGAGCATTTCTCTGATTATGGAGAAAACTTCTCCGGGGCAAACTGAGACCGTCTCTGCTGTTCCAGTACCATATAGCATTTTCACTCTCCGCCAGAAAGCATTGATTGTCACCATCGTCTCCGTCGCAGCGACGTTCTCCGGCTTCTCTTCAAATATATACTTCCCAGCTATCCCCACCATTGCGATCGACCTCTCAGTTTCTCCTGAATTAATCAATCTCACGGTCACATCATACCTAATTTTTCAGGGGTTGTCGCCAAGCATCTGGGGTGCAGTGGCTGATGTTCATGGTCGAAGAGTCACCTACATTATCACGTTTATCGTTTACATAGGAGCTTGTATCGGCCTCGCTGAGACGAAGCATTACTATCAATTAGTGATCTTGCGATGCCTCCAGAGCACTGGCAGTGCGAGTACCATTGCTATTGGCGCAGGTGTGGTAGGTGACATCACCAGGCGTGAGGAGCGAGGGGGATATATGGGCATCTATCAGGCTGGATTATTATCCCCCGTAGCTGTTGGCCCGATTATTGGGGGCGTTTTTTCCCAGACGCTGGGGTGGAAGGCAATATTCTGGTTCCTGACTATTTTCGGCGGATGTTTTCTTCTCTTTCTGTTCCTTATCCTCCCGGAAACCCTGCGATCTCTCGTCGGCAATGGCTCCCTACCTGCAAAGGGGCTTGCAAATTCGCCTCTTGCCTATTTTCAACGCCGCCGTCTCAATCGGGGCGATACATCTTCTGCTTCAGAAACACCTGTTGTTCCCTCGCAGCGACCCAGCCAGAAATTACCCGTAAATTTCTTAGGCCCACTCCAGATCATCTTCGGGTTCGAAGTCACCTATATCATTCTCTTCTTGGGAATAGGTTACACAGCTTGGCAGGTGGTTATTACAGTCATGTCAACACTCTTCAAGAAGACCTACGGTCTTACCGACCTCCAGATCGGACTAACCTTCATTTCCAACGGCGTGGGTTGCATCGTCGGAACTCTTACCACCGGGCGATTCCTCGACTGGGACTATCGTCGAATCAAGGAGAACTATACTGGACCCCCCGAGGACTTCCCGCTCGAGTATGCCCGGTTAAGGACCGTCTGGCTATGGAGCGGTCTTGAATGTGCAACGACTCTCATATTCGGGTGGACGCTCAACTACCATGTCCACATTTCCGTTCCTATCATATGTACTTTCTTTGTGGGGTGGTCTGCCACTTCGGTCATTAGCGCTACGACTACATATATGGTTGATGTGTTTCCCAAACAGGGCGCGTCTGCAACCGCGGCCTTGAATCTCGTTCGATGTCTGATGGCAGCTGGGGGTACGGCTGCCGCATTGCCAATCGTGAATGCGATAGGTGTGGGTTGGACGTTTACTTTAGTCGTGGGTCTCATGTTAGGTAGTTTGGGGCTTGTGGTGGTACAACTCCAGTACGGAGTCAAAAGAAGGAGAAGGAGAGAACGCCGAGAGAAAGAGGAGGCAGAGGAGGCAAAGGAGTGAGTGACCCTTTGGAAATAATAGAATAATAGTATAATAGTATAATAGCTTAATAACGAAACGCTTGGACGTTGAATATAGGCTTATGAGAAATATCCTCCTCCTCCAACTGCGTTTGCAAGCTTCTCTTTCCCTTCACATCGGGGGGTTCTTTTTCGGCAATAAGAATGAAAGCGAATCGACGATCGGAGGGGTATTGCGGGCCGTACCGCAATAGGTACAACAGACCTAGAATCTACGGAGTAGGTATGTAGATGGAAATCTCTCAGCGCTGTCAACAGAATTCTCTTGTCTATACATACCCCTTTACCATCTCATGTTCTGGCTCTGGCAAGAAGCTAAGTTGCTGGCCTTGCATCTCTTGCGACAAGTCATATGACTGACTCTGTACATCTTCAACCCCACTTTGCTTCAAACACACTGATTCCATCCCCCGCATTTCTTCCACAAACTGAAGGTATCCTGAGCAGTATCTTTGAGAACCAACTCTCCACTTCTCTTTCCTCCCCAAGAAGCTCTCAGCATGACTTCCAATCTATTTCTTGACCACATCATCATTCTTGTTCCCTACGACACCCTGCTCCATCCTCCTCCATGGGTCACGGATAACTTCACCCTCACACCCGGCGGCCGGCACGCGGATGGCAAGACAGAGAACAAGCTGATCTGTTTTGCGGACGGGAGCTATCTGGAATTAATCGCATTCATCAACGACTCCCCGCATCACCGGTCCGGGCACTGGTGGGGCAACAAACCCTACGGAATCATCGATTTCGCATTCACCAGCCGCGAAAGCGCGCAGGAGCAGCACGCGCGTCTCGCGTCCCGACTCTCGGGAAACGCAGACGGCGTGCGCTATCAGACGCCGGTGGAAGGCGGCAGGACACGAGACGATGGCCAGGAGCTGAAATGGCATGTGACGTTCCCGGACGTGACGACTACGGGGTTTCAGAGAGGGGAACTCCCGTTCTTCTGTCATGATGTGACGGATCGAAAACTCCGCGTTCCTGGGGGCGTGGAGACGACTACGCATCCGAGTTCTGCGTATGGGGTGGCGCAGATCAGGATCGGCGCGCCGAAATCGAGGGCGGAGAGCTTGGTGAGAGCGTATTCTGCGATTTTGGATGTACCGAATAGTGCTGGTGACGGTGGGGATATAGGAGCTTTTGAGATAAAGAGGATGAATGGGATCAAGGGGGTGGGAGATATGAAAGTACTTGTGTCTTCAAGGGAGGAGAATGGGGAGAGCTTTTCGTTTGATTTGGTTATAGGGGGGTTTGGCGAGAGAAAGAGCTATACTATGTTGGATATGAAATCTGATGGGCCAAGTAGAATTTTCCTGGATTTGGATGTTTATCCTGAAAATCCGAGTCTTAAAATGGGAGTTTAATGCTGATATAAAGTACAACTGTTCCAAAATCTCTGAAATCCAGCCATTTTTCAAGTGACCGCAGATACAAAGAGGGCTTGTTCATTCCTATGTTGAGGAGGAGTGCATGATGAAAGTGTAAGGACAATTTCACAACTCAAACCAGTGTAATACTGTACCGCAAACTTGCTTGATCTGCAGACAGTTTCTAATACATTGACAAGGAGGCCACTCAATGACGTTAGAAGTTAGATCTAACATTGATTTCCATAGTTTATCTCATCCTGGTAATTTCTTGCCATATTAGTACTATTCCAGGAATCAGATAATGAACAATTGAAATGGCACTCAAGTATAAATTTTACTTTATTAGTAAAATAAACCTCCACTATTCGATATTCAGAGCTGGTGGACAGAACGACGTGAGATTAACTTATCAAGAAATCCCCCGGAATCGGGGGTGGGGCCGGGTGTGAATCTATCATGGCGGGGTAAAACTCTCTGACTACACCCCAAAAAAGTCCTCGACATCGCCTCCCGACGATTATTCAAACGCGACAGAAATCTCACGAAATGGAGGATGATCGAGCGCAGGTCGACTTGGGTATAGCTGTGGATGTAGAGGAGAGACAGGAGGAAACTGCGGCTCAGAGACAACCAAAGAAACGGTTCGTAGGTAGGAGGCAGGCGGCGGAGGCGGCGGCATCAAAGGATGGTCCCAATAGCAGTGTCGAGAACAGTGGCGCGGTTCAAGGTCAGCATCCTGGGTCTATCTTCTACTCTTGTAGAGATATATTACTGACACCTTTTAAGTCTCAACTCCAAGGCGAACCCCTCGAACCTTAAACCAAGTCCCTCCTGAAATCCTCAATGACCCTGAAATCAACGCCGCGATTGCCCTACTCCCTTCCAACTACTCCTTCGAAATTCACAAGACTATCCACCGAATACGAACAAATGGTTCCAAGAAAGTTGCTCTGCAGATGCCGGAAGGTCTTCTGCTATTCGCAACCACCATCTCCGACATTCTCACACAATTTTGCCCCGGGATCGAGACACTTATAATGGGGGATGTTACGTACGGCGCGTGTTGCATCGATGACTATACTGCGCGAGCTCTCGGATGTGATCTCTTGGTACATTATGCGCATTCATGTCTGATTCCAGTGGATGTCACAAAGATCAAGACTCTGTACGTTTTCGTGGACATCAGTATCGACACGGCGCATCTACTGGCTACGCTGGAAAGAAATTTCTCATCTGGCAAGACTATAGCCATGGTGGGCACCATTCAGTTCAACGCCACGTTACATGGAGTCCGAGCACCTCTGGAGAAAGCGGGATACAAAGTTCTGATCCCGCAGATAGCCCCTCTGAGCAAAGGGGAAATTCTCGGATGTACATCGCCTCGACTGACGTCTACCGACGGTGTTGATATAATCCTCTATCTTGGGGATGGCCGCTTTCACCTCGAGAGCGCAATGATCCACAACCCCTCCATCCCAGCGTATCGCTACGATCCGTATTCCCGAAAACTTACACGCGAGAGTTACGACCACAAGGAAATGCACACTTTACGGCGTGACGCCATCTCTTCTGCCAAGTCAGCGAAGAAATGGGGCCTGATCCTCGGATCTCTGGGCCGTCAAGGAAATCCGCATACCATGACGATGATCGAGAAAAAGCTCGAAGCTCAAGGGATTCCATATATCAATTTACTCTTGAGCGAAATCTTCCCCGGGAAGCTAGCCATGATGGATGATGTGGAATGTTGGGTACAGGTTGCGTGTCCACGGCTTAGTATTGATTGGGGCTATGCTTTCCCACGACCATTGTTGACGCCGTATGAAGCGCTGATTGTCTTGGGGGCAAAGGAGGACTGGGGGAAGGCAAATGATGGAGTCTATCCGATGGACTATTATGCAAAGGAGGGACTTGGCAGGACAAAGAATCCTACTGTGCTGGCAGCCACGGGGTAAATTTAGCCCACAAATGCAATCCACCATCCAGGGAGTTTCGCAGGGAGATCCGGAATGTCCAGCTTATGAAGCATAGGCAGATTTGTGAGAGCCAGTTTAATCTAGCTACTCCTCCCTACGTCAGGCTTCCTACAGTCTATAAATAGGGCGTTTGTTGGTCAATGGGGCGATATAGTGAATCCGGTATTCAGCAAAACCGATTTTTCTCTCCCTCTTCAACCCCTTAATCCACTGGCAGTACCTGGAAATATCTGGGCTAAATAAACATGATATGAACGAGGAAATGAAACCGTCCTGTACATACCATATCTATGCGTCTTGAAATCTTCATCGAAATAGAAAAGAAAAAGAAACCCACGTCGAAAGTGCCGTGGAGACTCGGAATCTACCTACCCCCTTTTTCACATTGAATCATCCCTTATCGTGTATTTCATTACTAATGTGTGCCAGATGGAGAAATGAGGATGCGACTATTATTATGCTCGGAAGTTTTATTGAGGGATACTCTGGTCTTCGTAACACACAAGAATTGAGCTATTTCAGAGAGGGGGCGAAAAAAAGAAAAGAAATAGAAAAGAGATCTGTCTTCGTTCCTCCTCCACCTTCATTGATTCTATGTTAGGGAGCAAGCAGAGGATAACTGAGGCTTACTTAGACTGCAGCGGTTCTCAGTCTAATAGCTTTGGAAACTTGCTTTTCTAGGTTTGATATAAGCATGAGTTGTATTTCTAAAGTCACTATCCAGCTGAGAGGTATACAGTGCATGCTTTCCTATCCGCGGCCGAATTCAGAATCAGGTTCCGGACGTTGTCTCAAGCTTCGGAGCTTCCACAACCTTCACGATAGGCCCTTCGATCTTCTTCACCTTGCGGCCCTCCCACCACATCATCAGGCCCGCGAGCAAACTCACTCCACATCCAAGACCGATGAAAGTGCCCGTCGCCCAGCTCGGTCGAGTGATGCGGTTATACCCCCACATCATGCCCGAGAGCACTGCTTGGAATAGCGTATTCAGGATCATCATCCACACCACGAACGACAACTTCCACAGCTTCGTAGGCGGAGCCACCGCTCCTGTAAACGTGACTACTCTCTTCTTCTTCTTCTTCTCCTCCTCGTCCCCGCTCTCCGCGGCGTCCTCCTGGCTGCTATACCAAGCCGGCGGGCGAAACCACGATTTGTTCTGCTCGCTCAACCGCCGCATCGCATAGCGATTGTGTCGGATCCTAGCCTCGAACAACCACCACAGATCCCTGAAGCGCCACGGCGCGAGCCCGAACCCCGTCACGCAGAACAGGGCGTTGAGGATCTGGCTGTCGACCTCGAGCCATTTCTTGCGCGGCGAGTCGACGGCATCTTTACTCGGATGGTTCATGGCGGGCGCGGCGCCGAGGAGGAGGAAGAAAAGCATCGCGCCCCACGCTACGATATTCAGCCCGTAGATCACCATGACGAATCCCGTGGGCGTCGTGATGAATTTCCACATCGCCTTGAAACCGTGCCGTGTCGTCTCCGCCCACCCATGTTTCTCTTCCGACTGCGCCTGCTCCGCCAAAGTCGGCCTCCTCCTCACCGCAGTCGACACCACCGGTAACTCGTCCGCCTCCGCACGCTCGACATCCAGGACCCGGGCCGCGGTCTTGGATGTGGTCGGGAGCAAGAGCGCTCCGGTGTCGTCCGTGACGACCGTCCGCGCACTGCAGCCATGCTCGTTGAATTCGATGTTCTCTCCCCCAGCTACCGGGGCGCGAAGCTCGCTGAGCGTCGGCGCGTACGCGATCGCGGTCCCCGTCGCTGCCCACATGCCGGGCTGAGGGTTGAGACTCATCACGGTGCCGGCCATGGAGACGGAGACTGCGCGCAGGCGGCCGACGACCCCAGAAGCTTCGCTCTCGGCCATCTTGGGTTGCTTGGGCGATTTGGAATGACGCAGAGAAAGGACCTCAAGAAAGAGCAGGAGCGAAGATGGGGCGGTTCTATTCTTTCTTTTTTCTTTTTTTGCTTTTCGATATTATCGAGCCATTGGAAAGGACGGTCGGGGTTTCGTGCCTTGTCGGCGCCCTGCGATGGGCGGGGACAGAGGCGTGATAATAGCTGTTCAATGAGGTTTGGTTTTCACCCTTTGAGATGAGTTGCAAAAGAGGAGAGTTAATAAATAACAGGGAGATAAAGAAAAGTTGCCTTATATACGTACGTCTGACTCGCTCTGTGTTGTTTTGCATTCGTTTACCGCACCGCCCCCATGGTTGGATAAGATAACGAGAGACAGCATTGCTAAAGACAGGGTTCACAGGGGTCTGCAGCACTGGCTACACCGCACTGAGCTTTAAGTTGCAACTTTACCTACCCGGTAGAAGTCTCTACTGTAGAATTCCCCTGCCGTGCGGAGTGTACTTATTTATAGGGAAGAAAAAGCTGGGGAATTTCTGGAGTCGAACGAACGAGTGGAGTTGAACGTGCGGCACGGCACGACTTTTCACTATGAAAACCCACTTGGGTCTTTACCTTGAAGTTTGCACTTCAAAGAAACATCACGAACAGAATCATTCTGCTGATCGAAGCCCAATATCCCCTGCGTCTCGATGCCGGTATATTGAAAAAAAAAATCTGCAGCATCGGGATTTTGGGTGTGCGGACAAAAAAGCCCATAATAACAGGGCGTCTGATATGGGGTCTCGACCTTTCCGGGGGCGAGACTACTCCGAACTCCCCGCTCCACATCGTGCCAAAGTTTATCTACTGATCAGCGTGCTACTCCTACGATTAGTGGACAATGGGATGCTAAAGGAGTCTGACGTAGTAGTTCGATAAAAATTAACCTTCTTTTTACCACCATTCTGGCGCCATTTCGCAGACGGGCTTATATCTAATCTTGCGGCTCCCTCGGCATCGACTTCAGGTTTGAACACCTGCTTTGCCGGGTCATGGCAAATTCAGACCTGGCCCCCCTGGGCCCTGACCCCAAGTACCGAACTCTCCGTAGGCGAGAGGATTATCTACCATACACGGGACAGGAATCTGGTGGCGGATATGACCCACAGTGTCAATGATATCATACGAGTGAAGATTGATATACCCCGTGTTGTTCTGTGATCCTCCATGTTTACTTTCCCCCACTCAGTCTTTCTTTGAACTTTTTTCTTTCAGGCTTTCCCCCTAAGCCGTGGCCCCGTCCTGGCATTTCTAGAGTCGTGGTCTTACAAGTGAAGGCTCGACAATGGCCAAGGGGAGAGACCCGGAACAGCCCGTTCCAAAGCGCCAGAGAACCCAGCAGGATGGCGACGGCCATGTATTCGTCGCCAACGAGGGCTCCCACCAGAGAGAGCAAGTCACTCACGGCGGCCGCGTCGACGTGCACCTGACCGAGCGCGCTCAGCGACAGATGAACCACCTGCAGAAGAGAGCGCAATGGTCCGTTCCCATGGGCCAGGAACTGACCAAGAATAACCGGAACTACGAGGCTCACTTCCAGGAGCTGCTGAAGAGGTACTCTGGTGTCCCGCGTTTGAACATCGCGATCCAGATCGTGGGCTCGAGGGGCGATGTCCAGCCCTTCCTGGCTATCGGCCAGATCCTTAGTAAACCGCCGTATGGGCATCGGGTGAGGATATGCACGCATCCGGCGTTCAAGGAGTTCGTGGAGGAGAATGGGCTGGAGTTCTTTTCCATAGGGGGCGACCCCGCGACGCTGATGGCGTACATGGTGAAGAATCCTGGACTGCTCCCTGGAAGAGAGAGTTGGAAGGCAGGAGATGTGGGGAAACGCCGAGCGGATTTTGAGGCGATATTAGAAGGATGCTGGAGGAGTTGCGTTGAAGCTGGGAATGGTATGGGGGACGAGACGGATGAAACCACGGCGAAGTCGCAGAACCTTGCGGAGTGGGCGGATCGTTCTTTCATTGCGGACGCTATCATTGCGAATCCTCCTAGCTACGGACATATCCATTGTGCAGAGAAGCTGGGCATTCCGCTACATATGATGTTCACGTAGGTCTTGGTGCTATCGCTGCGAACGGAGCTGACATGGAAGTCAATAGGATGCCATGGTCACCAACCCAGTACTTTCCACATCCGCTTGCTGCCCTCGACGGAGATGAGTTTGATCCTAAGCTTGCCAATTACATGTCATATACTGTAATGGAACTGTTGGCATGGCAAGGGTATGGGATCTCACATACCTAGACAGCAGAGGGCTGGCTAACTTAGGTTTGTTAGACTTGGCGATGTTATCAACGCATTCCGCGTGAATACGCTCCGCCTAGAGGCAATAAGTCCTCTTTGGGGTCACATGTTAATCTCAAGATTGAAAGTCCCTTTCACATACCTCTGGTAAGGCACGTTATGTAACACCCAACCTTCCTTCATGTATTAAGATGCTGCAGGTCATCAGCCCTCATACCCAAACCCCCCGATTGGGGATCTCACATCAACATCACCGGATTTCCCTTCTTGAAAGCAGCTTCAAACTATAAGCCAGACGACGACTTAGTCGAATTTTTAAAGGCTGGGCCGCCTCCCATCTACATCGGGTTCGGATCCATCGTCATTGACAAGCCTGCCGAACTTACGAAGATCATCTTTGGCGCCGTGAAACGAACAGGCGTTCGAGCTCTGATATCGAAAGGATGGGGCGGGTTAGGAGAAGGCGATGCCCCCGAAGGCGTCTTCCTCCTCGAGAATTGTCCGCATGACTGGCTCTTCCCACACGTCTCGTGCGTCGTGCACCATGGCGGGGCTGGCACCACCGCCATTGGGATTAGCTTGGGTAAACCAACTATTATAGTCCCCTTTTTTGGAGACCAGCTCTTCTGGGGCTCCATGGTGTACCGTGCAGGAGCGGGCCCAGAACCCGTGCCGTATAAGAGCTTGACGGAGGAGAAGCTCGCTGAGAGCATTACTAAAGCCCTCGGACCCGATATTCAAACAGCCGTCAAGAAGATGAGCGAGAAGATTGCAGGCGAAGATGGATGTGGTGAGGCGTCGAAATCTTTTCACCAATGGCTCAATTATGACTCCATGCGCTGTCTGCTTTGTCCAGACAAGGTCGCTGTATGGCGCGTGAGGAAGACAAATTTGAGACTGAGTGCTTTGGCCACAACGACACTGATTGACAATGGGCTATTGACATTGCGCGAAGTAAAGCTGTAGTCATCCCCCTTCAATATCCAGTCCCCCGTGTCTATACTAATAGTTAGCAGAATCAAACATAGAGATTGGTATATCGACGAAGGAGCCAGCAACCCGCTCTCTGGAGCCGTGGCCTCCATCACCCTCACCCTCGTCAACACCTGGATCAGCACGCACACCTACATTGAAAACCTGGCGAAGCTCCGTCACCAGAAGCCTAGTTCCAAGTCTGAGGACTCTCAGTCCGAACCGCAACCAGAAATCCCGGATTTGGAGAGTCTACCTGTACAGTTCCCAGTCCAGGCAGCAATGTCGTATCCCCCGGAGATTCTCGAGTCGATGGCGTATAGGATGGCCTCGAAGACGCTCCCCAGTAAAAGGGAGCGTGCAAAGCGAGAGAAGATGCAGTCCGGGACTCCCGGTTTGAAGGTCCAGAGGTCGAAATCCGCTGCCAGTAGTGCATCACGCAGAAAGAAGCACGGCAAGGTGTCTGAGGCTGCTATTCAGACAGAGCGGTTTACTGTCTCTATCATTAGCATCGGCTTCAAGGGTATGTTCTTCCGGAAGGTAGCGCGCGTTTTTGGCAAAGCTGACAACTCGGTAGCTCCTATTGGGTTCTTTTATAACCTAGCGAATGGCTTCAATAATGCCCCAAGCTTCATTCTTCACGATGAGACAGTGAGGAGGAGGGACAAAATTACCGGTTTTGGGAGTGGAGTCAAAGTCGCTGCGAAGGTTAGTTGGCCTCTGTCTATCATATGAATGACCAGATGGTGTGGGTGTTTCTTACCAGTACTGATTTCCACCAGGGGTTTGTGTACAACATTTTCGACGGCTTCACAGGTATCGTCACACATCCCTATCGAGATGCCAAGAAGCAAGGGGTGAAAGGTTTCGGCAAAGGCGTGGGCAGAGGATTCGGTGGTCTCGTCTTCAAGTCCACGGCTGCGGTCGTCGGACTTCCGGGGTACACTCTCAAAGGCGTCGAGAAGCAGATGGAGAAGCGCTTCGACCGGGATCTGAAGGCGAAGATCTTGGAAGTCAGGATGAGGCAGGGACTGGCGGCTTTCGAGCGAGCCAGCGATGCGGAGAAGCAGGAGATCTTGAAAAGATGGAAGGAGTATGGCGTTGAATGAGTTCGCGACCGGGGGTTTGCAAAAGGATCATAATTGCAATTCCTACAAGAGCCAAAAGTTAGAGAGAAGGTAGCAGATCTCGCCCACCATAATATAATGAAGCGATGCTGCAAAGCTCAACGCATGACCAACTCGAAGCTTGGGGTGAGAGGAACAGCACCCACACGGCAAACACGGCCATCATCTCCATCCTCGTCCTCATCCCACTTGCGTTGGGGACTGTGCTCAACGTGATCTACCTCCATCTCGTCGTTAACCTCCTCCTCATCCTCGTCCTCCATCTCCTCGTCCCCACCCTCCTCATCATCTTCATCGTCTTCGTGACTGTCCGAATCAGAAGCTGACACCAGACCGTCGTCCTCGGGCTCCCAGCCCTCCCCAGCGCGCCAACCATCACCCTCTTCCCAAGCACCCACGCCCATCCCGGTCGTCGCCGTCCAAACAGTACTAATGTAGCTTCTGACCGAGACCTCCCCCTCGTATCTCTCCTCCCTCTTTCCCATCATCTGCATCTCCTCCACAGCCTGCCTCCTCCTCGCTCTCATGCGCCTCTCTTTTACCACTTTCCTCTTCCGCCTATTCCTCTCTGTCTTCCTCTCCCTCTTCTCAGCCTTCTGGCTCTTCTCATCGTCTCTTATGTTCTTCGATCTTCTCTGTCGACGCCGAGCTGGCCCACTCTCGTCCGCTATTCATTTAGTCAATTTTGATAATGCAAAGATGGTAGTAGAGTAGGGGGGTGAGAGGTCAGGTGCGGGCAAAGAGTAGAAGGTGTAGTGAAGACGGATGAGGGGATGATGCAGGATCTAATGCTTACGGCCGGCAGCCCGCTCTCGTTTCTTTGCCTTCTCCTTCTTCGCCCTCAACTCGGTCCTCTTTCCCGACCGCTCAGAGGGCAGGTCGATCTTCTTTTCCTTCTTCTCCTCCTCCTCCAGTACTTGGTTAGCTTTCAATCTAAATGGTTTATGTGATTCATGACTTCTGAAGGACCAGCATAAAATGAATACTTTCCATCAATGAAGATCGCTCTAGGAGTAGAGAGAGAAGAATAACTCACGCGCTGCTCCGTTAGAGGCATAGGTTTGAGATATCCTTTCGTCTGTTAGAATATCAAAAGGCTTGGGTCTGAGTTTTTGAGCACTCAGTTAGGTTCTTGTTCGATGGGGAAGAAAAATAAAAAAAGGAAGAAGGGTCAAGATCTGGAAAGACATTTATATGCCAAGCAAGGCTCCAACAGACTTGAATAATAAATAATCGCACTATATGAACAAATTACTTTAGAATATCTTCCAAAGATATGTCTAGACTCCTAGTTTTAGAGCTCTTTCTGGATCTATCGTACTTATTGTAAGCTATTATCATATTTCGATAGTTGAGACAGAAGGAAATTAGGGATTTATGTTGGGATTTATGTTGGCCTTAAATACCTCCTCCTTCTTCTTTGCATTACTTCAATTAACGATGTTCGTAAAGAACCGGACGAGTCGTAGGGCCCTTTAGGAGCTGGCTGGCTATGCTACTTGCGTGTTGGAATCAGCCGTCTTGGAGGAAAGCAATATCAAAAGGATGCTTAAATCAACGACAATGACAGCGACAACGACAACGGCAACAACAAGGGCGACGACAACGACAACAATGGGTGCTGTAGCATGGATAGCAATCGTTGCCACGTGCCTTTTCGCGCTCCCCTTCGCCTTGGCCGCCTAGGGCTTGAGCGAACGCCTTCGCCGGCCCCCGGCCCCTTTGAGCTGAAGGGTCTACAACGTCAAGCCACTGTAACCGAGATGCAGAACAAAATCTCGCTCCACTAGGAAACGATCTTGAATAAATTGGCCAAACGACTAGAATAAGTAACCTAAAAGCAATATAGCACGAGAAACCGAATGCGCGTGACCGTGTAGCGCGGTGCACCTGGAAACTCTCGCATCTCCCTTAATGCCCAAGATGAACGGGGTTTGCATGAAGGGTGATGCATATAAGAGGCTGAAGGCTTGCAACAGCCGTTGATGGACGCTAAAACCACACAGGGTATGACAATACCTCGTTAGTTACTGGTTTACCTAGTTACGGGACTCGGTGGTTAGATGACTTGTGGCAGCTTGTAAGGACCTCGTGTTCTTATAAAGTTGATACTCGCCGTCTACCGTTGGCCCCGCCAATTTCCCGAATTCTTTGACAAAGATCTCAAAACCCCCGCCCTCTCTCCTACTTTATTTAGGGAAAATCTTCACGATATCGATGCCGAAATCATGGAAGGAAGTCGGGTAGAATTCGCAGACAGACTGGGCAAGCCTCGGATTAGGGATAATCCAGAACCGCTTCTGTGACTGTACCCGGCACTATACGTGGGTATAAGAAAAACAACGACAACGACAACATCAGCGACAACAACAACAGCAACGACGACGGCAACGACAACAAAAAAGAATATTCACTAGAAAGTACCTAAAAGATCCTTCGCTAGAGGAGCAGGAGGGCGGGCAGCCCCGGGACCCGATCGTCCGGCTCTTCCCACTCCATAGCAGCCCTTTGATTCATTCCTTCGGCCGCTTTGATTAGTAGCATGTATGCATGACGACAACCTACAAAGAATTCGTTTCCCTCATCAGCAGACAATGGCTTATCAAAGCGTTGACTAGTGTCCGATATGGAATTAGCAATGCTTCCAAACAGAGTAACGAGCGCTCGATTCGACGCTACTCCGGTCGCTCGCAAAAGTGATTATAGGAATTTACATAAAGCTGAACTTATACCCATCCGTCACCCCCCACAGAGGACCGCGCTCCGTGATCACGGAATTTGCAATTGCCGTATACATTGTTCCAAAATCCTGGCAGCACACGACACTCCGGAGTCACCCCCGCTCGCCTTTGCATGATGAACAGCCACCGATCGCTAGTATGCCCGCGCGTTAGATCAAGAGAGCATTGATGTAGGAGGGCCTATGAGTGGCGAGTTGCGAAGGTTACAGTCGCCCGGCACGGAATAGGACGTCACGACCCGGGAGTGCGAGGGCTCGACGCATCCTGGGCGTCCATGCCAACGAGGGGGGGGGGGGGGGCGGCACGGCAAGCGCGGCTCAAGCTGGACAGGTGTTTAGCCGTCCGAGGAATCGGTTAAAGGTGAGATGTTACCGCAGTATTGCGTACGAGACGGGCTTGGTGCTATGAGAAGATCTGGTTGACCAGATATGAAACCTGTAAACTCGGATACTATTGGTGGAAGCGCTATATTCTGCATTCAGCAGTGTGCTCGTCCCAGCCGAAGTTGGACAGTATTCAATGCTGGACCTTCAATCCATAGAGAACTAAAAGACAGGTAGAGAATGCCAGCTGCGAAAGTAGCTGGGATGAGCAAATTCCTTTTTCGAATATATAAAGGGCCATTCTTAACAAGGTGCTAGGTGAGGCCGCGAACAACCTTTCTTGGACCAAAGTGGGACAGCAAGGACAATTATCAAATGATTTCAATGGAAAGCTTTTGATTAGAAAGAGATTAAAATGACCATCTGTTCGTCAATATCTCCGAGGCCGCCTTCATTCGTGTGCACGACACTAACATCGCAAGCTATATCGAAGTAAGTCCACAACATGTATTGTATCGGCGGATCGATCCCCCTCCATTCGCCTTGAAAATATGCTTCAAGATATCTAGATGACTTCAGATTCGATAGAAATCTCCCCGAGAGCAAAGCAAGTAAGGAGTTGTACGGTTTCTTCTCCACAGCACAGCAAATTCGCAAAGGACTTTCCTCTCTCGTGAGAAAATGCGAGGACCAATATACGCACTTGCAATACTTCTTCTAGCATGTTACATGACAGGGAGCTTCCCAGGATATCGAGACTCAGATGGCCATCGGAAACTGGAATCAAGTCCTGCATCTGGCCAGGTAATACAGCGCACACTCACGCTGCTGGTCTTGATGTTTCAACCTCGATTCACTAATCTCTGCAGCATCTCGTTTGACTCGCATACCAGAGAAATCACTTTTATAAGCTATAGCAGCAACGCTTGTGGCTCATGTAACTTGGAGAGGGGAAGATTCAGCGAAGTGAAGTGTGATAAGTGCAGTGTCGTTGAAGGAGACATCCGTTTCCGCTTAGTCATTGTAGTTGTCTTAGGTAATCCGGCATCTCCTCACCTGCAGGTACGGTTGATGCACGTGACTGGCAACATCCAAGCCTCGATCCCTCCACAGAAACCAACAGATCAAAAAGAACTCACACATGTCTAATGGACATGAATTCGACCTAATACGATGTTGATATTCTGCATTAGACATGGAAGGCGCCTAAGCTGATTTCTGTTTAAGGGGGGGACATCTTTCTTTAAAAACGATCCTCCTTCAGATTGCATCTGGCTCTCCACGGGATTATCGAGAATCTGTATTCTTCATCTAAAGCAAACTCTCCTTGATATTGTTTGTTGTTTTCTCAAAAAAAAAGGTTTTTGTTCCCTAGCAAACCTCACGGTTCCTCGCTCATTCTTCACAATCTTAATTTCATCCATTTTCGAGCGAGTCCCACTCCTATCAATCTTTCTACAAGTGTTTCTTGATATCTAGTATTTGGGCCACCAGCTTCGACATAGCAGAAGTCCCTGAGCCTGACTTGGCAAGCGAGGCCCCACAGCAACAAATCATTCAAAATCATTTCTCATTTATCGCGGGGTCTTCGCAAGTGGGTCTACAACCTCTATCACCTTTCATATTAGGTCAGTCACTGATTCCAGTGGAGAATTATGAAGGAAAGAGTGGTGCGGACAATCAAAGGCACTTCCATTGGCTGCATTGATGGCACAGCTTTACACTGATGAACTGAGTGGTTATAAGTTACTGCGATCTTGCTCCAAGGAATATTCACAAAAGTCGTTGCACTCTTCGATTGGGAACTGTCTGGCTATTACCCGGAGTATTGGGAATGTGTTAAAGCCCTCTAGCTGCCCCTCAAGGAAAGTAGCTGGATCAAGGAGAGAGTCGTGGACCAGGTTCTGCAAAGTTATTTCACGAAAATGATGATTGTTTGGCATACGAAAGATGTCATCTGGTAAAACACTGAATAAACTTTGCTCGAAGAATTGCAGAACATCATCAATTGCTTCTGGAACATTACACCAAAGGTCCAGCCCGGGAAGAGAATGTCTGAACAGGCGTTGCCAAGCATGATTTGTCCGGACCTGGTCAAACGGGACACCGTACTGCACTGTGCCGAGCCGAACCATGCGAATGTGGCCCGAGCTCGAGCTTCCCCGCAATGGCAGTGATTAGAAATGGAATACCCATAAATAAACTCACCAACCGCTGCAGCCAACGCCACCTTCGTCTTCAGTACCATGCCGTGAGCGATATTTACCATGTTGTTTCTACGACCTCTTGTTAAACGCGGCTGTCGCGGTCTGCGCATCCGTCAGATACGAGGACTGGCCACAGCGGCCGATCCCACTGTCAATCAATCGCGCGAACACACACATCATACCACCGGCGACCACGTCAAGATTGTCGAGGTCGGGCCTCGAGATGGATTGCAGAATGAGAAGAAGACGATCCCTTTGGCGACGAAGATAGACTTGATTGAGCGGCTCGCAAAGACTGGGTTGACAGACATCGAAGCTGGCTCCTTCGTTGCTCCCAAATGGGTCCCTCAGGTAAGCCTGCCCACCCCACCCAGAGGAAGTGGCATGGCACTGATGACTTGAGCCTTTCAGATGGCAGACTCGGATGGGATCCTCGAGCATATTCTCAAGCTTCCATCGGAAAGTCAGAAACCAATAGCCTATTCATTTCTCGCTCCCAATGCCCGGGGGCTTGAGAACGCAATGTCAATCCTACGAAAGTACCCCACGGCTTTCAATACCTTCGAATCGCAGCCCCAATCACCACTCGGATCTACTCAATCACCTACGCCAGGTGAAACTGCGAAAAGTCCGGCACAAAATAAGCCTTACATTGAAATGTCCGTTTTTGCCGCCGCCACAGAAAGCTTTACGCAAAAGAATTTGAACTGCGATATTGAGACTTCATTATTGCGATTTAAAGATGTGATCCTAGGCGCCAAGGCGGCTGGCCTGCGAGTACGGGCATACATTTCCGTAGCGTTAGGGTGTCCTTTTGAAGGCCGAGACGTCGACCCTCGGCGTGTAGCTGAGATAGCTACTGATCTCCTTGAGATGGGAGCGGACGAAATTGATATTGGAGACACAACAGGAATGGGAACAGCACCCAGCACCAGAAATTTATTGAAGGCGATGCAGGCAGCAGGCATACGAAATGAGGATATAGCTATGCATTTCCATGACACATATGGCCAGGCGCTCGTCAATACAATTGTGAGTTTGGAACATGGGATCCGGACGTTTGATTCTAGTGTTGGGGGTCTTGGTGGCTGCCCGTATAGTCCCGGAGCAACAGGAAATGTGGCAACGGAGGACGTGCTATATTTCCTAGACAGTCTAGGGATGAAAACAGGTGTGGATTTGGATGCGATGGCTGAGATTGGGGAGTGGATTACTGGAGAGATTGGGAAGCCCAATGCCAGTAGTGCTGGGAAGGCAATCATGGGAAGGAGGAGACGAAGTCTATGAGTCCATATCTAGACGAAATCTATTACACAAGAGCAAAAGGTCCGGAACAAAGTTGAAGTTACTACACAGTACCTTGGATAGATCACTGATAATCGACTACCTAGGGGAATAATTGCGTAGGTAGGCACAACACTGGTACCAGTGCACATTCGATCATTGACCATAGAGAGAATATGAACTCGAAGAGATTGCAATAATATAGTAAAATCGAAAGATAATAGCTCGCATAGCAAATAAATTCAAAGAACGCCCCGTCGAAAGCCAAGACCTGGATCGCACGTGATGGTGAGGTGAGGATGATTCGCTTATCTCGTTCAAGCTAGCTCCATCAGTGGAATCAAGTATACTGTGCTCCGTACAGCTCTCCAACCTCGCACTCCGCGCCTAACGTCTCGCTCCTCAACACTGCTCTGCGATTGTTGGAGCTGACTCGAAGCTGAAGCTCGCCATTGCCACGATCTACCTACGCCCTCCGCGCCGCCATCATGGGAGACCCCCGAGAGTCGTCGTCCTATAGCGTCACGCCCAGAATCCGATACAATACCATTGGGGGCGTGAACGGTCCCTTGGTTATCTTGGAGAATGTGAGTTTGGGAAGATGGTGATTCAAGGGGAGCGAAGGATGCTGATGGGGCAATAGGTCAAATTCCCCCGATACAATGAGATTGTTACTTTGACGCTGCCCGATGGCAGCGAGAGGTCGGGGCAGGTACTTGAAGCTAGAGGTAAGCGGAGTCCTTCAATGGCTTTGATATGCTATGCGCTGACTTGAGACCTGGATAGGAACTCGTGCGGTGGTGCAGGTATAATGCCTTGGCTCGGTGGAGAATTATCACGATATTGACAGCGATTAGGTGTTTGAAGGCACATCTGGCATTGATGTGAAGAAGGTAAATGATACAGGATACAACAGGGAGCTGCGCAAAAGCTGATGGTCATATAGTCGAAAGTTGAGTTTACAGGACACAGTCTGAAGCTCGGTGTTTCCGAGGATATGTTGGGACGTATCTTCGATGGATCAGGAAGGGCAATTGATAAGGGTCCCAAAGTCCTCGCGGAGGATTACCTGGACATCAACGGCAGTCCCATCAACCCTTACTCTCGAGTAAGTCGCCTGCTATATAGAAACACGGGATGTGCTAAGAAGAACAGGTCTACCCCGAAGAGATGATCTCAACGGGTATCTCTGCCATCGATACCATGAACTCCATTGCCCGTGGACAGAAAATTCCCATCTTCTCCGCTTCGGGTCTACCACATAACGAGATCGCCGCTCAGATCTGTCGACAAGCTGGTCTGGTCCAGAAGCAGGGTGTTACGAACAAGGGTGTGCATGATGGACATGAGGAGAACTTCTCGATCGTTTTCGCGGCCATGGGTGTTAACTTGGAAACCGCAAGATTCTTCACAAGAGATTTCGAGGAGAACGGCTCTCTGGAGCGTACCACACTGTTCTTGAACTTGGCCAATGACCCAACGTACGTCTAGCCACTTCGATTATCGGACCATGCTAACATCTCTCAGGATCGAACGTATCATTACCCCTCGTCTCGCGCTTACTACTGCTGAATATTATGCCTACCAGCTGGAGAAGCACGTCTTGGTCATTCTTACTGATTTGACCGCATACTGCGATGCTCTCCGTGAAGTTTCCGCAGCGCGTGAAGAAGTGCCCGGTCGTCGTGGTTACCCCGGTTATATGTACACTGATCTGTCGACCATCTACGAGCGTGCGGGTCGTGTTGAGGGACGGAATGGATCGATCACTCAAATTCCCATCCTGACCATGCCTAATGACGATATCACGCATCCCATTCCTGACTTGACGGGTTACATCACGGAAGGTCAAATCTTCATTGATCGTCAGCTCTACAACCGGGGTATCTACCCCCCGATTAACGTCCTGCCATCGCTCTCCCGTCTCATGAAGTCTGCTATCGGCGAGGGACATACGCGGAAGGACCACGGCGATGTTTCCAACCAGCTGTACGCCAAATACGCCATCGGTCGTGACGCCGCGGCGATGAAGGCGGTGGTCGGTGAGGAAGCGCTGTCGTCGGAGGACAAGCTCTCCCTGGAGTTCTTGGAGAAGTTCGAGCGCACGTTCATCTCGCAATCGGCGTACGAATCACGAACCATCTACGAGTCTCTCGACCAGGCATGGAGCCTGCTGCGGATCTACCCCAAGGAACTGCTCAACCGAATCCCACAGAAGGTGCTTGCTGAATTCTACCAGCGGGCGGATCGGAAGGGCAAGGGACGTGCGGGGAACAAGGACACCCGGGATAATGCCGAGGAGAATGGCAAGCCGAAGGGGAACGAGGAGAACCTGATTGATGCGTGAGAATAGATAAATTGGGGGATGAGGATGAAAGCTGCTGGGGACACGGATCAGGATGAGAGGGACTAGGACGGGGGAAGTGGTTTCTGATGATATATATACATATGCCCTTGGCAAACGAGGGCGAAGTAGTTCTGCTTCGGCATGAGGAGCGCGTATTCTGCTGTAAGTAGCGTATTTCTGGGGGAGTGAGTGGACTGTAGAAGAAGAATGAATGTACGCTGCATGGGTGGTTCAAGCCTTGCGGACGCTGTGCCAATGTGCCAAGTTCGGTGGTGAGAAAGCCCGGGTTCGGGTCAACTCCGGCCTAGAGTAGAGCCGAGGTTCGGCGCGTGGAGCTGTGAGTGGTGGGCGAATATACGTATATTGCATAAGTTGTATCGTCCTGCACTGCACCAGGAACTGATCTACGCTCCCCGGCGGGGTTCCCCGCATCTGGGGCCGAGCAGGGAGAGATGTCAGTGGCCGGCACTTCACGTCAGATGGATATATCCAGGGAAGATAGGTAGGTAAGGTAGGTAAGGTAGTTGCAGATGAGGTCGATCGATGGTCGAGGGGACAAGACATGACAAAGGACCGGTTTGGAGCTACGGACGGGGCGGGGAGTTTGTACGAGGGGTTTGGGTTTGGGGGAAGGGTTTAGTTGGGCTATAAAAGAGAGAGGGATGGTCGCTTTACTGGAGATAGTCTGGTGAGCTGGTGCGTCTATCCTCTTCCTCTTCCTCTTTCTCTTCCTCTTCCTCCTCCTCTCCATCTCCCTCTTCCTCCTCTCCTCACCCCCTCACAATGTTGTGGCAAGCCTCGTCCTCCATCACGGCCGCCCTCCTGGTCTCCCTCGCATCCGCCACGCCCCAGATCCCCGGCCAAGTGCTCACCGGCACCGTAGGCAATGCCACCATCGCCGGGAACCCCAGGGGCCCCGACGTGCACGGCAAATACGAGATCCGGGGCCCCGGCATCCGCGCGCTGTTCGTGCCATACGGGGCGGCCATCGCGAACCTCTTCCTCAACGACACGGCCGGCATCGAGCGCGACGTCGTGGGCGGCTTCGACAACGCCAGCTACTACACCGTCGACCGCCAGCACCCGCACTTCGGCGCCGTGCCGGGCCGCTACGCCAACCGCATCCGCAATTCCAGCTTCGAGATCGATGGCCAGACGTTCCATGTGCTGCCGAATGAGAACCCCGAGCCGGGCAGCCCCAAGGGCGTCGATACGCTGCATGGCGGGCCTGATGGCTGGGATTGGCGCAATTGGACGGTGGTCGCCCATACGGAGGACAGTATCACCTTCAGCCTCACGGATCCGGATGGCGATCAGGGATTCCCGGGGGAGGTCGTGAGTTATGTGACGTATACGCTGGGCAATATGACTTGGGATCTGAGGATGGTGGCTGTGCCGACAGAGAAGAAGACGCCGATTATGTTGAGTTCGCATGTAAGTGTCACTCGAGGGGGGTGTTTGGTTGGAGATATCACATATGCCTCTATATCCATATACATACATACATATACATACATACATGTGCAGATTTCAATGGCTAACACATATCCAGACATACTGGAACCTCGACGGCTTCGCCAATAACGAGACGGCCCTCGCTCTCAATCACTCCCTCTGGCTCCCCTACGGCGGCCAGCGCGTCGGCACCGACCCGATCCTCATCCCAACCGGCGACATCCTCGCCAACGCGCCGCAATCCGTGAACGATTTCTGGACCGCGCCCAAGCAGCTCGGCGCCAACTTCACGAACCCGGCGCTGCTGGGCAACTGCGGCGCGAACTGCACCGGCTACGACACCTGTTTCTTGACGAACCGCCAGCAGCCCTACGATTGGCGGCAGGCGGGCCCGGTGGCGCGCCTGCGCAGCGCGTGGAGCGGCATCCAGGTCGATGTCTTTACGGACCAAGAGGCTTTCCAGGTGTATTCGTGCGGTGGGATGAATGGTGGGTCCCCTTCTTGCATCTGGCTAAAAAATAAAGCAAGACGGACATTGGACCAGAAGAAGAACCCCTAGGCTAACACGGCGAGCATAGGATCGATGGCGCTCAAGTCAACGCAGGGCCTGTTCAATGTTACGGAGCGGCCGCGCGTAATCGAGCAGTACGGCTGCGTGGTCATGGAGGTCGAGGACTGGATCGATGGCATTAACCAGCCGCAGTGGGGACGGCGGGAGAAGCAGATCTACGGGCCCGGCGGCGACCCCTACGTCTTGCAGGCGAGCTATAAGTTCAGCCTGAACAGCACGGCCGTGGGCTTGCTGGGCCCGGGCAGTGGATAGGTTCGTGCGCGCTGCATTAATTAATATGGTGGCGGGCGTTGGAGTAGGGGAGCTGTTCAAGTTCGGACGGCTGCTATTAAAAGATCAAGAAAGCACTTCTAATAATATGCGACGCTTCCTGCAAACTCTAATGCGACGTATGGGCCTCGATAGACCCGTTTTTTGACTATTTTCTCGCTGTGCGAAAAGCAAGGGTTCTATGCAGGCGCAAGGAGCTTTGAAATGAGTTCCGAAAAGAGAAATAATAATACATACATAATCGTGATGAATTATTTTGTGTCCCTATTGTACCACTGTGAAAAACTCAGAACCTCCCATCCGTACTTTGTAAAGCGAGACATGCAAAAAAGGAGAGAGAGAGAGAGAGAGAGAGAGAGAGAGAGAGATACCAAAAATAGTAAACGAACACACAGTGAAACTACGCTTATTATTAGCAAGAGCGGGTTGCTACATCAACCCCAGTAGTAGTGCCAAGGAAAGAAAGAAAGAACTCAACGACGACGTTATCGCCTAACCATTACATTACATTACTCCGCAAGATGCTGATCAAGAGGAAAAAGCTTGATATCATCAGAAAAACAAGTCGAATGAGTTTTACTATATGACAACCCGATGGTTTGGTTAAGACATTGATGAAAGGCTGTCACAGGGACGACGAGCTATAGCAAGACAAGACAGGATGCTTGATATTTATGTTTGGGAGGGAGGGGAGGCTTCCTTAGCAACGGGAGGGAGTATTCTGTGGATTTTCTTTCAGAGGATCAGTGCCTGGAGAACAAACATATTCGGCGGTTCGATGGGCTGAAGCTGTCTGTGCTTGTGGCTGGCTGTTGGATGATCGAGGGGTAGAGGCTTGGTGGGAAGTAGTTGCGCACTGGAAGCCGTGGGATGAACTGGACTTCAGCGAGGCACTCGAGAAGCAAGCAAAGATACTGGAAATACTGTGGCAATGAAGCTACAATATCCATGGCCACGACTCGGCTCGCATGGTCTACCCGACCCGACCCGACCCGACCCGATATCTCTTCCCCCCCCACTGTTGTCCGGGGTATCATTGAGAAACCATTTCCCCCGACCTCCATAACCGAGGTCCGCTAGAGCTCCAAAACGGGAATCGTTGAAATGATGGAGCATCATCCTCGCCGAGTCTGACTCGCAAACAATAAACAATAATATTCCTCTGCGTCGATCGATTGTTTATTCGCAGTCTGCGTTCTGCATTCTGCACCAAGTACATATCCCACTAGTCGGCGGCCTCCCTTGCGTCCCACTTCCCCCCCCCCCCCCCCCCCCCCCATCACCGCCTCTCTCTTCGATCATCTCGATTCTCGACCACCCCCCCGAATCCCCCGAATCCTCCTCCGCCGTGCCATGAGTATCTTCTCGCTGGCATCTTCGTCTCTCAACTCTCAAGATGGATGGAAAGTTGGAGGAAGCCGTCAACGGCGGTCATGAACGGTCTGTCGACGAGAACAGCGGCCACAGTGGCCATGCGCAGGAGACGCCCTTGATGGATCGGCCACTGCCCGGATTCTGGTCGCCTTACCTGGCCGCCGAGCGCAAGATCTGGACCAAGATGTTCATCGCCTTCATCGTCCTCCTGGTCGCCATCATCATGGGCATCCTGTCCCTCTACTGGGGCGCCGACCACTCGCTCCAGTTCAACATGCCCGTCCTCACTGTTGCGCTCATCGACTTCGACAATGGCGAGGTTGGACCCTTCCTGCAGCAGATGGGCGCCGCCGCTCGGGCAGCCAACCCTAAGAAGACCCTGGGATATGTCTCGCAGCCGGGCTCGAAATACAACTATTCCAACGACGAGGTCCGCCGCGCGCTCCAGCACGAGGATTTCTGGTTCGCCGTCGTCGCCCAGGCCAATGCCACCACGGCCATGAACCACGCCTACGACGTCGGGAACTCCAGCTACGACCCGACCGGCGCGGTCCACGTGTATTACGAGGAGGGCCGGAATGCCCTGACCATCGACGAGATCGGCTACCCGGTCCTGCTCGATTTCCTGACCGACTTCGTCATGTCGTTCACCAAGCAGAAGCAGCAGTCGTTGGCGGCGTCCAACGCGGGCAATGCTGCGGCGTTGGCGCGGCAGGCGGACAATCCGATTCCTGTCGCGTATACCCTCTTCAACACGGCGCCGGACACGCCCAGTACCGCAGAGGCCGCGACGGAGATCGGGACAATCTGTAAGATGGCCCCCCTCGGCTGCTCTGCTCCTCCCTGTCGTCTCCTTGCTGACCGCTCACGCTCACAGATCTGATCATCATCTCCTTCCTCTCGATCCTCATGTTCAACAGCCTCAACGAGGCCATGATGGGCAAGGTCCCGACGGTGCGCTACTACGTGTACCGCATGACGCTCTTCCCCGTGGTGTACTTCTTCTTCTCGCTGCTGTACCTGGCGCTCTCGTGCGCCTGGAAGATCCGCTTCGACAAGTTCTACGGCAGCTCCGGGTACGTCATCTACTGGATGCTATCCTGGATCGCGATGCTCGCGTTCGGGCTGGCCGTCGAGAACGTCAACAACGTGCTGGGCCCGCCCTTCACGCCCTTCTTCTTCGTCTTCTGGGTCATCAGCAACGTCGCCACGGGCTTCTTCCCCATCGAGCTCCTGAGCAACTTCTACCGCTGGGGCCTGGCCTGGCCGCTGCGCCACGTCCTCATCGGCGCCAAGGCCATCCTCTTCGGCACCAAGGACCTGCTCGGTCTGAACTTTGGCGTCCTGATCGCTTGGGTCGCCGTCTCGCTCGCCCTGCAGCCCTTCACCATCTGGATGCAGATGCGGCGCCGCCGCGCTGCCGTCGAGGCCAACAGACGCCAGGTTCTGGAACGCGTGTATGGCAAGACGGAGGAGGAGGCAGAAAAGTGTTAAGGCTAATGTGAATGGTGTAATGCATTAATGGTTTTTATCATCTTTTAACGTCCAGATGTCCACGCGTCTCGTCTCGTTCGAAGAAAACTCTCTTCTCCGTGGGGCCTCCATCCAGTGGGACAGCTTGCTTATGTATATACACATACCACCCCGGGCAGAAAGAAAGAGAGAGGGGGGTGCGGCTCTTCACACCACCACAACTGCTGGCCAGAGCAAGAGACGCAAGACCAGATCAGATCAGATCCCGAGACTGGCACGACTCGAATCGAATCGATATGAGTGAACGAAACGATCAGCACATGAATCCCCATACGTACATTCAAAGATTAATATATATTTGTCTAATATGAAAATAAAAATAAAAATATATATACCCTTCTTATAAAGAAAATCTGCGAGTGGTTTTTTCCTTCTACGTAAGGTAGTGAGTGGATAAGTGAGTGAGTGAACACAAGCCCCTGAATCCTTAATCAATTAAGCGATGTCTTCCTTCCTTCCTTCCTTCCTTCCTTACTTCTCTATACAAACTCCTCACACCTCCAAATTTTTCCTTTCTCACCTTCCAATCTAATCCAATCCAATCCAATCCAATCAAGCTATCCTCCCTATCCATCCATCCATCCAAACTAAATAACTCGCCTTTCTTTCCGGTTAATTAACCCTCTTATAATCTTCAGTGCCAGTGTGCCACTCCCAACACCATATCTCAATCCCTCACCTCCTCCTCCTCCTCCCCCCCC